GGGGATTGAATCTGGGGCATAGGATTAGAGCGGGGCGCCCCCGCCACGAGCACTAGGTGTGAAGCGCGCGCGCTGTAGGAATGGGTCCTCAGCTAGAGCAAGACTAACCCGACTATCCCGAGACAACTCCATCAGCTTAGTCAACCGACAACCGAGAATCGCCCAGTTTAACCGGTGCGACAAAGCTGATGAGAATCACCTCTGGACGCTGTTGCTCCAGGACTTTCCACGCACTTCCGGCGTTCTTCTGACGGTTTTCCGACGAAAGAGAGCTCACCAAACATCCACCTCCGTGCGGTGGATGGCATGATCGCCTCCTCTAGCTTCATTTCCGGGCAAAATTCGGCTCCCGGTTCGGAATAGCATCGGAACACCATCCGATGCTTTCCACCAATCCCGTCGCTGAAACACAGACCTGTCAAAAATTAGTACAAGCAAGGAGAATCGAACAGCACAACGAAGCTCGAACTGGAGATGTTCTGGTCCTCCGCGGCCTTCGTTTGTCGTGCTTCGCGTGTATAGTGTGAAGGCTAACGGGGGCCAATGGTCGTTGAATGATGGAGATCTGGAAGAGTCTGGTGAGAGTTTGAGCTCTGGACCCTTGATTGTCGCGTGTCGTGATTTGAGAATGTCGAGAGCGGCTCGAACTGGACGCGTGATCTTCGGCTCTCCTGAACATCCGGTGGCACTCTCCCTGAAACATCTCCACTTCATCAATCTCCACTCCCATTTCCCCCGTTCCCCTCATCATATCGCTTCATCCTGCCAAGCTGCCACGCAACAACCTCCCCAACCAATGCTCCCTCCGTCCTCCATCTCTTTCTGAAACGATGCACCAGACCTCATTCTCCGTCCAAAAACCCTCAAATCTCACAGACCCCGTTTCCCTCCCCCAATGGTGGTGGCGCTGCTCCCCTGGCTTTTCCCTGATGCCGCTTTTCCCGTTCCTGTTCAGATTTCTGGCGAAATTAATTCTTTTCTTTTCTTCTCCATGGGGTTCTTGGTTTGCCTCGACCCCTGGCCTGGCGCGCTGCAGCTCGGGCCCAGCCGTGGTTTGCAGGACGAGTGGGGAGAGGAAGCAGACCACACTCCGCGGGGACCCCTCGGTTTCGGACAGGTGTCCGACGGCCGAGAAAGTAAGGGTCTTGGCGATGGAGAAAGATGGGGTCTGGGAGACTGATCTGAGTTTTGGCCAGTTCGGTGATGACTAAGATGAGACGGCCGGCTGGGGTCGTGGGGTGTGGAGCCGACGATCACGCCAGATCGCGGGGTTGTATTCTTGGCGACGATGTAAGAGAAAGACCGGAAGCGAGTTCAATCCGAGAATGATGTCGAAGTCACTGTCGGTAGTTCTAGGGGCAGACGGTTACCGAAAGTATATCGTAAGACGTAGTAACGAGTGTCGTGGATCGATATCATCGCCGCCGCCGATGCAGTGCCAACAACAACGCACACCCCACCCGGTCCTTGTCGACGTTATGTCACTGCAGCTGTACCCTTCATCATTCGAAAGGACTTGCCTATGCCTTTTGTAACAACTTTCGAAGCCATCTTTGTTCTTCCCCGGACTTCGTCTTCCGCCCGGACCGACCCCGCCGCGGCGGCGCCAGCGGACCCGCTCCGGCCGCCCGCTCGAGATGCAAATTTGCGACGAGTGAGAAGAGCAGATATGGGGGTCCGTTTAGTCTCCTCGTGTTTCATTTTGTCTTTATAGGAATTGGTTGTGCGTCGGGGCAGCCAGCAGGTGTGGATGCGGGGGTTGACGATCGGCGTGAGAAGCCTCTGCGAGGTCTTCATAGAGAACGGAAGACCAGTAACATGGCCTTTGGGAGTTCTCTGTTCCATTCGTTGATCGTTATGAGCTTACCGCAGAGCTTGTCGTCTCAAAAGCTCGTCTTTGGCTTGTTCAAGCAGGTACTTGCCGGCCCTCTCACAATCCCGTTCAAAGCTAACCAAGAGGCATATACCGCGTGAAATGCATCTGCTGTAAGCATATGAGGCAGAACGAGACGGATCCATGCTGTTTGAACAAAGAATGAAGAGGCATGAAGCTGCACCTACCATCGTCATGAGACGGTTGGACGGCCCTCGAGCCGCCCGATAGAGAGCCTGGGAATTCGAACCGTATCTTGGGTGCATTCATCCCCAACTCAGACCAGCATCTTCGTCAGCAGAACCCATGATGTCGTCGTCACACCCACACATACGGCAAAACAGTTCACAATCTCCAGGGCTCCCTCCTCCTCTTATATCTCAGTGGCGGTTCCTCCCCGACCATTCGCCCCGCATAATAGTTGTCCCCGGAAGGCCCAATCTCCGGGGCTGCGCAGCGCGTGTGCGGGGGAAGAGGCGCAGTGCCCTGTTCGAGTCCGCGCAAAACATTCGAATTGAAGGGGATATGAACGAAAGTGTAGGAAATGCAGGGTTTAATCGGTGCGGGAATAGGGGGTTTGCGTTCTAGTTTGAAGCTTGGTGGTGCTACTTTTGGGTGTGGGAGCGGGGGAGGGCTTGGAGGTGAGATGGGGAGTCGGAAGGGGCGCCGACTTGACATAGGGAAGGCTTACCCCATTTGAAAGAGAGAAGGAACACGGTCTTGGAGAACATCCCTTCCCTCTGAGATCTCTGGTAATTGCACGTAAATGCGGGTCCAATCTGCGGGGTGCGTACATTCTCCCACGCCTACCCGTTTCCTGGTTTGCAGTGCTCCATTCGCACATACATGCAAATTGACAGTAATGGGATATTTGACGACCACAAGTACTCTCTAACCGTGGACCAAGAGGTCGACGGTGACGTTCAGGAATGCAGGCGAACAGCAGATGGTAATTAGTAGAGTATGTGAATCGAATTATCATTGCTAACTACATGGATATGCGGATGTACAAACATCTGCGCCGGCTCCTACGAAAGCGTCAAGCGTGTAGCTGTTTGTAATCGACTGAATCGGAATTAGTATTCCGAGGTAAAGAAATGCCTTCGCCTTGATAACAATAATCCAAACTCTGTCTTTTACAACGGCTTCAGGTTCGCCGCTCTTTCGTGATTCAAATGCTTACGACACGGATGCGTCGTGGGTGTGGGCAGGGGAGAAGTGGGTCAACAACCGAAAGGTCAAAATAGCAAGGTGAGTCGCATGAGACAAATCGTATGGGGATGAGCAGATGGGACACGGCACACATAGCCAACGGCCAGTGGAGGACGGCAGCATCGAATGACGGGCAAAGGGTCCCCAAATCAACATCAGGACGCACATAAACATGCAGCGACAGCATTGACCACCACGGAGTAGTCAACATTGCCAAACCGACATGCCGGTGTGAACCAACAACATGGACAAAGAGAGGAGCCCCAAGAAAAACCCATCATCGGTACACAGACCGGACCCATCCACTTGCAGCTTGCGCCGAAAGAGGAGGAAAGACAATCGCACAAGGCGACGAAAGATGTGCAGACATGGTTCCTGCGAGGAAAACGGCTTGCGCCAACCCATGAACACCAAAAATTGGTGGTAGAAAGGGAGAACGAAGCTCCTGATTCCATTAAATGGAAGACCCACAGTAACGTAAGATCAGCACAACACCCTAGAAGAAGAAGTTTTCAGTTCATGCACTCCCGTAACTCCCTTTCTCCTCCCCAACCAAAAAAAAACTATTTTATTAATTCCACCAACACCGCGAAACAGTGAACCAAACCGATACGCTTAGAAGCGGAGGGGAGTGAAGAACCACTTGTTCTTGCCAGTCTGGTACCTCTCCTCGAAAGCCTTCTTAATGGTCTTCTTGGCGTCCTCACGCTGGGTGGGCTCCTTGAAGGTCTCAAGGGAGACGACGTTCTTCAAGGCGTCCAACTCCAAAGCGTAACGGGTGGGCATCAAGTGGTTGTAGTTGACGACCTTGATGAAGGGCTTAACCTTGGAACGCTTGGTGACACGCTTGGCGGACATGTTGCGGGTGACCTTGGAGGGGTAACGCTCGATACCGGCGACGACGGCGTGGGGGAAGGCGTGGGCCTTGGTTCCCTCGTCGTGCTGCTTGAGGATGACGACCTTGCGACCGGCGAAGCGACCACGGGTGATAAGAGCAACCTTTCCGGGCTTGATGACTGGGAGAAAGTGGATCAGCAGCTGTTCAGTGCTTGAGCATTTAGCGATTGTACTCACACTTGACCATTTTTTCAGTTGTCGGGTGTTGGCGAACGGGCACTGGCACAAAGTTCTGCTCTGGTACACAAAGCCCGTCGAAGATTTGCGCGGACGCTCGACACTCACTTGGGCTTAGTCTAGTAACACCAGGGCTCGTGCAGGCTCCCCGGCCGGCCCTTTAGGGTTTGCGCGCCCGTGAACAGAGACGAGCTCGACACCATAAAATAAAGATGTATTGCAAACTATATAGAGTGTTCTGTCGATTATGAAATACTCCTAGGTTCAGTCCATTGTAATCAAACGCAAGCGCCGCCGAACGCCTTTCTCCGGGCTCCTCATGCCCCAATGTCCGAATCACAAACAAACGATACAGCCCATCAATCTCAATTCCCAATGCTCAATCACGTCAAAGTCATCCTCTCACTAACACTCCTCCACCTCCTCCCAACCTCCTCCCCATCCTCCGCCCCAGCATTCACCCCCACAATCCCTTGACCATCCTCCCACACCCCAGAGCCATCCCCACCCGGACTCCTTACCCCCGGTGCCCTGAACGCTCCATACAAGCCCCTCGCCTTCCCGATGCCTCCAGATCCAGCCGTAAGTGTATCGCGCTCACTGGCACTGACTTCACTCCCGACACTTACCTCGCCTTCCTCTGAGATGGATAGAGCGGAATTCCGGTTGGAGTTCTCCTGGTTCGTACCGACACCGACACCGAAGGAACTTCCGGAGCCAGAAAGCGCACGCCACATTTTCTTCCCGAAACTCGGTTTCCTTGCGTGACCCGGTCTGGGTGTAGGCTCCGCACCCGCATTACTCACAGACAAGATCCTCCTATCGAAGCCTTGTTCGATTGGACGTAACTTCCTCTTCTCGCGCTCTTTCTCCTTTCTCTCCTTCTTTGCTGCTTTGGATTCCGCGACACGCTCGACACTCCCGACAAGGTTCTCGATCGTTCTCTCCATGGCTTCGCCGACCCTCTTCTCGAGCTGCTCACCCTTCCTAGCGAGTTCGGCGTATTCGGCCTTCCTGGTTTCAAGTTCGGTGGTGAGCTCAGCCAACTCTTGCTGCGCGGTTGCCTTTTTCTGCACGAGGATTTCGAGTTCAGCGACCTGCTTCTTCATCGTCCTCGAATGCTCAGCCCGAAGCTCTCCAAGAGCCTGCGAGTCTTGCTCGATTTGCCTAGAGTAGTTGCTCAAAGTTGACTCCAATCCTGTGCGGTGCGCATTCACCCCCTCAACAAGGCTCGACTCGAGTTTCTGTCCATGCTCGTAAACTATTGACTTGAGGCTTGCGTCAAACTCGCGCTCGTGGCTTTTGAGAGATGCACCGTGTTCGGAAGCGACACGGTCGAGACTTGATTGGTGAAGGGAAGTTGTTTGTGCAAGAGATGAAGTAGCTGATTTGCTGACCGCGTCCGATACCGCAGCTTGGTGCGTCGATATAGTTTTAGAAAGAGCGTCGCCAAGGCTGCCTTTCAATGCTTGTTCGTGAACCGAAGCAGTTGTGGCAAGAGCAGAAGTATGTGCTGCTATTGCCGAAGCGAGTGTCTCTCCGTGTCGCGCCAAGCCGTTCCCGTGATCAGCCAACCTGGCCGAAAACAACTGTAGACCGTTATCGAGTGGCTGTAATGACGCACTAACGGCTTCTTCACTCTTCACCGCGACCTTGCCCAGAGCCTCATCATGCTTCCTCACACTCACCTCCAAGCCCATATCCAAACTGCGCCCAAAGTCCTCCCCCACACTTTCCACATCAACTTTCACCGCCTTGATTGCCCTCTCGAACTCAGCACTCTGCCCAGTCACCAATTGATTGAATGAATGCTGCCCTTGCTCGATCTTTGCCTCAACGCCCCTATCAAACTCCGTCAACAACCCCCTCAACGGCCCCAAAATATTCTCCAAATCAATCTCAACAGCCTTCACCACGTTAACCTTCTCCACCACCGTCGTCGGCGTCGGCGCAACCACCGGTTCTGGCGCGAACGCAGGCGGCAAGACAACCGGCTTCCCCTCCTTCACCGCCGTCTTCAGCGCAACCAAATCCGACGCGTTATCCTTACTCCTCTTAATCAACTTCTCCAAATTCGTCAATATACTCGTAGTAGTCGTCATCAACACATCCAAGCTATCTTGTGAGACGCGTACGTGTTGTGGCTGGAAGGGTTCGCGGGATAAATGCACTTGGTCGGAGGAGGATGCGGAGAGGTAGGACATGCCGTTGATTGAATGCTTGACCGGAGATGTCGAGCGTGAACGGCGGTGGAGACTTGATTGAGAGGGGGAGCGGGCGAGGGTGTGATCCATCGTAGCTGAAGGAAGCGGGAGAGGGGGTGGGTTGCGGGATGGGGAAGCGGAGTCCCACCTATCAACAAACAGGTCAACAAACGGCACCGCGTGAATGAGAGGGAGGAGCATACATTGGGACGTTACTGCTGATGCTTCTTGATGAACCTGACCTTTGGAGCATGTTGACTCCTTGGATGCTGGTCGATGTCGATGGCTGCAACCTTGTATTGCTTGACCTGCACGCTTTGTTGTGACAGGTGCAGGGCTCGCATCTACGGCAACCGCGCTAGTCGAAATTGGGACTGTATCGAGAAGGGCGATAACGATATGTGAATGGCAGGTCTGGTTTTGGTAGGATGCCAGTAATCGACACCTCATTGCTTTCTCCTGTACAAGAGGATTGGCGAAGTACCATCAGTGTTGTCTATCAGATCCCAAAAAAATCCTAATGCCCAGCGAAAGCCATCATCTCCGCCTCTTCATCATCATCCACATCATACATCTGCGTATTCTCATCCTTGTACCCCTCCTTCCCACCTCCCGTCGGCATCGCAAACGCCCCCGCATCCATCTTCTGCTTCTTCTGAAACGCCTCAATATCCTTCAAACTCCACTGACTAACCCCCTCCTGATCCTTCGCCAAAAACGGCTGCGCCATATTCCTCAAAAACTTCTTCGCCATAACGACGCTCATATCCGTACTCAAGTTCGCCGAGGCGTCGGTGAGGTACGCGTTTATCCACTTGGGGAGTTTGTTGCGTTTGTCGGCGCGGGCAAAGCGTTTGTCGGCGAGGACCATGATTCCGTAGTCGTCTTTGCCACGGATGACTCGACCGAGGCATTGGGCTGCGTGACGCATTGCGTCGAAGGTTAGAAAGTCGGCTTCTTTGATGCGGTAGTTATCGCGGAGGAACTCCAGACGGGCCTGTTCGAGATGGTTAGCTAACTTTCGTAAAGTCTTCGCATGTCATTCGTACCTTTAAGATCCTCGATTCGGTATACTGATATGGAATACCGAACATGATGACAGCGCGCCCATAATGATGATCAAAATCAATGCCCTCTGATACCTTTCCACGCGCGACACTCAGCAACACCGCACCTCGCCCATTCGCACACGCTGTCCGATACGTCTCCAACGCCAAACTCGTCTCCTGACTATCCGGCGTTTCGACAAGAATGAGCTTATACTTCCATACTTCATCAAGAATACCCTGTAACGCTCATGATTAGCACCCGTATTTCACAGGAATTTGACCCGAACGCGTTACCATCGTCGTCCACATCGAGATAATACTCTCCATATACAAATAAGACGGGAAGAAACACACCAATCCATCCGGTGTGATCTTCGAGTACTCAATCAACACGTTCCCGTAGTTCCTCACCACACTCGGATCATTCCTGACCTCGAACTTCGAACTCACAGCGACTTGGTCCGAGCCCCTTGTAACAACCATCGGCAAGAAACAGTTTCGTGCAAGTGTCATGGTATACGACTCCTGCACCACCGTCTCAAACTGTAACATCTTCGGATACATATCCAATGGCGAGATAGTACCGGACGTAATGACCACAGAAGAGAATCGCTCAAAGACAGGTTTCATAGCAATACTCGCATCCTGACACGTCAAATGCAACACCGGATTCGGAACCGTCGCAGTCTCTGTCTCAAACGGTTCCAAAATCAACAAGAAACCCTTCTCGTACGTAGCCACCAACGTCGCGAACGTCGCAACCTCCTGCAACGCCTGATAGTCCTCAATCTGGGTCAATTCCAGCGTCCTGACAAGTGATGTGAGACGTTCTGCGCAGAATCGGAGAGGCTTGCGTTCGATGAAGGTTAGGTCTTTGAGGTGTGCGAGGAATGAGGGTGGGGTTTCGGCGATGACGTGGAGGACTTTCATGCGTGTTTTGAGGTATTCGACGAAGCGCTTCAAGAACGCTACGAAGTGTTCTGCGCGGCGGATATTGCCTGGGATGGCTTCCGACAAAAGATCGTCGGGGAGGACCGGGTTTGACATGAAATCGTCTTCAACACGGGCTTCATCCGCCTCTCGTAGTCCTTCGACGAGGCGTTGGTATTCGTCTTGGAGTTTTTTTGCGTCAGTCTGCTTCATCTCCAATATCTTCCGGTCCAAATTGTCAACTCCCCTCGTTGCCTTACGTAATGAATCTTCCGTAATGTCAATCGACAAAGACTCAATGCACACGTTATCGATGTTATGTGCTTCGTCGAAGACGACGATACAGTCTTTACTGAGTTCGCGGGAAACGCGTTCTGCGATCTTGGGGTCGAGGAGGTAGTGGTAGGAGTAGATGATGACGTTGCAGAAGGGCATCATACGGCGGGCCGTGAAGTAGGGACATTGTTTGTTGGATTCGCAGTAGTTGATGAGGTCGTCAAAGGTGTAAACTCCATTCGGGATCAACGAAGTAGGGTCGAGGAGATCGAGGTTCTGTGTCACCGTGTCAGTAATCACAAGAAAAGTGTAACAGTTGGCGTCAGCGACACACCTCATGGTACACACACAAAGCAACATCCTCCCCCCTCTCCTTCTTCTCCTTCACAAACCCCGCCGTCAAACTCCTACATCTCGCATCAACCACATTCCCCCTCCTCTCCTTCTTCACATCAGGATGCAAACACAAATTCTTCCTACTCGTCAACCCCAACGCCCGAAAATCCTCATCCTTCCCTAACTCTTTGCTGCGGAATTTCATCAACTCCCGTAACTCCGCCAACGCTTTCTCGATTTCTGTCATGGTTCGGGAACAATATACCAGTTTTCTGTGCTCAGGGTAGAACTGTTGGTAAGAGACAATGAGGGAGAGGAGGGAGATTGTTTTGCCGGTTCCAGAGGGCATTTCGAGGACGCAGTGGCCGCCGGCGTCAAGGGTTTTTTTGAGGGAGCACATGTATTGGTATTGCTCCGGGTAGATACTCGGATATGGGAAGAGGACCGGGAGGTCATCGATGAAAAACCTGTACTAATTGTCAGGATTTGATTCATGGACTGACCGAGAAAGCACACTCACTTCATGGTGGCGACCTTTGCAATGCTGGGACGCTGCTACAACGGGACCGTGACACACCCGCGCTTAAGAAGACCCCGGGCTCGTAGTTATTGATGAATTGCCGGTCTGATCGCTCTCTAACTTCCCTATATCGTATCTCAAATGGTCTTTTGGTGTAGTGTTTGCTCGTACGTACGACATATCCGTGCATTCACTTGCAGCTGACATCATTCCAATTTCGCATCCTCGAAAAAGTGAACACCATCGACCAATTGCGACCTTCGCATTTATCAAGGTCCGATTCATATACAATTCAACATGGGAAAACAACGAGGATCACCGTATTTCTCCTCTCTTCCTTACTCCTCTCCATCATGACTAACCGCCATACGTGATAGGGCACCATCAAATCCATTCCTTGGGGGAGGCTCAAATCCCTTCCTCGGCGGCTCCGGTGGAGCCTCCACATTCGGTTCAACCCCAATCTCCCCCCTCTCCTCCGCCGCTCCACCCCCAGACCTCCACGGCCTCCCATCCGCCCTCCTCGTCGCCTTCAAATCCCTCTCCAAGCAGAACGAAACAACCAAAACCCGTGCGCTCGAAGACATTCTCTCTTGGCTCCAATCCGCTACGTCAAATGATGTGGACGAGGTGTTCTTGGTGGCGTTCGGGGGTTACTATACACGTTTGGCTACAGATGTTGGGAGGAGGGTAAGGGTGTTGGCACAGACTGTGCTGGCGGCGGCGGCGGGGTTGGCGGGGAAGAGGGTGGCGCCGCTTATGCCGGTTCTTATTTCGACGTTATTGTTGTCACTTCACGACCCCGATAGGACTGTCTCTCGCACCGCCCTCACTACATTCACCTCAGTCTTCCCCGATCCCCAAAAGCAAACTGCCGTCTACCGCGTCTATCACCGCACGATCCTCACCTTCTGCATCGAGGTGTTGTTGAGGGAGACAGTGAATAGCATGAGTGATGAACGCTACGTCACCCCCGAAGATGCCGAATCGAAATACGGCCGAGTGGTAATGCAAGCCATGGGTGTCGTCGGAGTCCTACTCGCGGAAATCGAGGAAGGGGTACGGAAGAAGGAAGAAGACAATTACGTCGAGCTACTGTCAAGTGAGAAGTTCTGGGACTTCGCACAGAACTCGGATCCATACGTGCGGAGAGCGACTCTGAGCTTGATCCGTGCGTTCTGTCAGCATTGGCCCGCACTACTCGAACCCCATCTCCCGTCGACGTTCGTCACGAAAGCCTTATCCAGCAAACCTACGACCGCGAACGACCAGGTTCTACTGCTTGTTACACTTATCGATATCACTCGCGCCTTTCCTACATATTGGGCATCCGCTTCATCGACGAAGAAACCCATCCTCGCACGCTTGACAAAGTTCCTTGGTTACGGGTCCGCAGATTGGTCCAAGACGGTTGAACTCATCGACGCATTACCGGCACAAGACATTACTCTCACCACTATGGACGCCGTGACAGGTATTCTTGATGCCGTTTGGGCATGCGTTACGAAGGAGACGAAGGCGGGATGGAAGGCGGCGTTTGAGGGGTGGACCAAGATCCTTCTCACTCTTCTCCCGAAATTGTCGTCGGCGGAGGAGCAAGGGAAAGTGGTGGAAGAGAAGTCTACTCCCGTGCTTGTGTCGCAGATCATCTTCCCTGAATCACAGTCATCGTCTGCGATTTCGGCTCTTGCATCTGCATTATCTTCGCTGCCGGCTGATGTGGCAAGGAAGTGTTGGAGTGTGGTAACGAGGAAGTTACTTGAAGCGGTCAAGGGCGGGGGATTGGAGAGGCGTGAGTGGGATGCGCAGGTTGCTGTTAGATCGGCGGGTGAGCACTGGTGTACCCTCGCGCATCAGATCATCCTTCAATCCGCAGACCTGAAAGCGACGGTGCAGGAGAGTACGAAAGAGATCTTCAAAGCCGGTTTGGTGTCTGTCAAGGAACAGCGTGGGTTCCCAGCGGGCGTGACGAGTGTCATTGATGCGTTATGGCGGACATTCCCTACTATCCTCTCCGACGATGAAGAACTTACACGAGAGGTTGATGAGTTTGCGCAAGATGATATTCCGGCACTTGTCACCTCTCTCTCGGGTTCTGCACTGCTATCGATTTTAGTTACGTATGTCACGGCACGGCCAAGTGAGGTGGGTGCCGTTGCGTGGACGAGGACGGTGAAGAGCGTTCTCGCCTCTTCTGATGTGGGGAAGAAAGAGAAGCTTGTTGGTGAGCTCTTTGACGGTGCGGGAAGGCTGAGCAGTGGTCAAGTGCCGGTGTTGGATGAGATGGAAGCGTACTTGAAGGAGAAGGCGGGTGACATGGAGTTTGTCAAGACGGCGGTTAAGGCCGAGGGAATCCTTATCTCCCGTGGACTCGCTGTACAGATCTTGAGTGACCTTCTTAGCTCCTTGCGGGCTTACGTCGAGGAAGCTCCCGAGCGTGCGGTCAAGATCGTACAGCTCGTCACGGGCGTCGCGAAAGTTAACCACGAGCTTCTCGCCTTGCTCTTGCAGACGCCTGAGTCAGGTAGAAATCTGTCATATCTCCTCACACTCACGGATTCTCCACACTCCGATCTCGCTGCTGCGGTGAAGGAGGCGAAGGCTGTCTTGGGTGGTGCAGCGGAGTTGAAAAGTCAGGTTGGGGATGCGGTTGTGCAGTCCCTCCTTGAACAAGTTCAGCACCCGACACTAGAAGATCACACCGTGGCGAAAGTGTTGGCTGAGCGGGTCGTGGAGGCTTCTAGGAACGCTGGATCAGACTCGATGTTATTTGCGGCTGAGGCGTGGGAGAAGGCTATTGAGGTGTTTGCGCAGAGACATCCGTCTGCTGAGTTGGCGTTGACGAATGGGCTAGGGCATGCTGCCCATTCTTCTGGAAACGCCGAAGAGGGCCAGGTCGTGGAGGTCGAGAGGGATGGACGTGGGTTCTCTGCGTTCCTCAATATGGCGATTTTTGCGCAGGAGCTGTTGAAGAAGGAGGAGTATGTGAAGAGCATTGGGAGTGAAGCACGTGTTAGGGCGTTGGTGCATATTGCGATATGCGTTGAGATGGTGAAGGATCAGCTGGATGTTCACGACGTGAATGGGCTCTGGACAGGCTCGGGCAAGTGGGTTGAGGAGGAGATGATGGCGTTTGAGGAAAGTTACCAAGAGATCCTTACCGGGGTTCTTGCCGGCACAGATGATTGGAGTACGCTCTTACAGGACGGCACTGAGGCACCAAGCCTCGCCATTGCCTTCGTCAAAGCTCTCATGACCGAAGCAAAGGGCGCGTCCCCCACATCCTTCTACGTCGCAAAATCGTTGCACGGCGTCCTCTCATCCCTCTCCGATTCCGCCCTCCCCAGGCCCCTCGCCGAATCCCTCCTCAAATCCTCCACCCCCCGCACGTCCCCAGATATCTTCCGCTCCATCGCGATCCTCAAGGGTCTGCAGCGTGTGCTCGCCTTCTCACCCGTCATGGATCGTTTGAGAAATGAGATGGCTTCCGATCTCTCGGGCGTCAAGCGTGGAGAGGCGGAGGAGAAGGGATACAGGTTGCTTGTGTTGGTGAATGCATCGATCCCGACTGAGGGCGAGGGGGAGTGGACGCAGTTTCCGCAGCAGAGGACGATGTTTTTGGTGCAGAACGTGCTACGGTGGTACTCTGAAGCAGATACCGAGGGTGACTTGACTGCGGCTGTGCATGCGGAGGTTGCGAGGTTGTTTTTGAACGTGCTTCCTATCATCGGTGGAGTTTATGGTGGGCATTGGGAGACTCTCCTGGGGTGTATCTCGTCTTGGCTGCAGATGTGCGAGACTCAGGAATCAGATATTCTGCCGCTCGAGCATGCTGCGTTGAAGCTCTTCGCTGCTATCAAGGCTTGTCGTGAGGAGAATGACGATATTTCCGATGCCTGGGCTGGTGCGCAGACTAACCTTTACGAGCGTTTATTGGAGGTCTTCCTGCGCAGCAATGTTGGGCAGACCCAGAGTCAGCCACGGAATCTGGGTAACGGGTTGCTTACGCGGTTGATTGATGATATGCCGCTTTATATCGTGCTCGACAATCCGGCGAAGGCAGATGAGGTTTACACACTTGTTCACGCTTCTCCATTCCCAACACAGAGGGCTGCGTACCGTCTGTTGCGTGAGTCTGTGGTTTCAAGGAAGGAAGAGCTGGTTATTCGAGTTGCTACCGCACGGGAGGAGGATGGAGATGTTGGTGTTGAGTTACCGGGGGAGTTGTTGTCGATTATCTTGGATGCGCCGGATGCCAGTTTAATTGATGTTGCGGAGAATGAGGAGGCTATCCCTGCAGAACTCCGCGGGTATTGTTTTGCGTGGAAACTTATCTTTGATCATCTTGAGGAAACGTCTTACAGAGTTAAGGCAAGATATGTCGAGTTTTTGAAGGAGGGGGAGTTTGTGCATGCGTTGTTGAATTTGATTGCGGAGACGTTGCATCTTGATACGGGACGAGCGATTGATGTCTCGAAGATGGATGTCGAGCGGTTTGCGTTAGAGGAGACGGAGAGCCCGGCGGATGATTTGAGGAAGTTGATGGCACATCTCTACTTCACGGGCCTCACGCATCTTCCCTCACTCGTCCGACAATGGTGGACCGACTCCAAAAACCGACAGCTTACTCTTACTGTCGAATCCTTCACCGAGAAGCACTTCAGCTCCATCATCGTCCAACACGAACTCACCAACGTCCAAAACAACATCAACCAATCCGAGCTCAAGCACGAGAATATGCAGATTCGTGTCGCGAAGGCGGCCAGGGAGGTTGCAGCTGTCTATGAAGTTGACGGTATGCCGATGGAGATGGTGATTCGGTTGCCGGGGACGTATCCGTTGAGGCAGGTCGAGATTGAGGGGAGTAAAAAGATTGGAGTTAAGGATGCGCAGTGGAGGGCTTGGTTGTTGGCGAGTCAGAGTGTGATTACTTCGCAAGTATGTGGTTTCTACTCATCCACGGTTTGTTTTGGACCTAGTACTGACATGTCGCTTCGCAGAACGGAACGATGATCGATGCGCTCATCCTGTTCAAGAGGAATATTACGCTACACTTTGAGGGTGTGGAGGATTGTGCGATTTGTTATTCGGTCTTGTCCATCCAGGAGAGGTCTTTGCCTAACAAAAAGTGCGGGACGTGCAAGAACAAGTTTCATGCGAGCTGTTTGTACAAGGTATGTCTACCCCGGTTGATAAGAGGGATTTTGACTAACGATGGCACCTTAGTGGTTCAAATCTTCGAACGGAAGCAGCTGTCCTCTTTGTAGGACATCATTTTCATTTGGGAATTAGACAGGTTTGGCGAGCACGGCACGGCATAATGATAGTATAGAGATACCTTGGCATATAGCAAAATCGTACAAGCAAATCAGGCGAGGATCGGACCAGCTATCATCTATATCTGACCCGGCTTTACTTTCCAGCTGCTCTTAAACTTCAGGCTAGAATGATAGTCCGTCAAACTTGGCCTGCGTCCCGATGACGGTGCGACCCCCAAATTCCCGCGCGTACAGGCAACGTAACCTTGGCCTACACATTACCCTGGCGTTTCAGTTGAGTAAGTGCATGTCCCATGACCAAGCTGTCCATTGAAGACGGCATCCCAATATGCGCAATGGGGTCATGATCAGCCATCCATTGCATCTCGTGAGCAGGGTTCTCTGAGCCGAACCGGGCCGGATCAAGGTTCTCCCATCTCGTCATCGTTTCTATATAAACCCCGCCCATTCCCTCCCTCCGTTACGGATCAATTGAGTTAAGGAAAACAAGAAACACAATGGAAGCAATTAAGGAAAAGGTTATGCACGCCCTCGGGCACGACAAGTCTACGGACACCACCACTACCGACACCAAGCACGAGTCCGGCACCGGTCTTTCTTCGACTGGCAAGACAGGAACTGACGTCGAAGGTGGTCGCGATACCACTTCTACCACCACTGGTAGCGGATCATATGGCGTCCCTCACGACCAAGGCCGCGAAGCCAATGTCTCGTATGGCGTAGCTGGTGGCATGGGGAGTAAGACTGGGTACCGACAGCCCGTCGAAGACATGGTTCCTGGTCAACCCACCCACCCCGTCTCTGGATCCGGTATCGGTCAAGGTCAGGAGCGCTACGAGCAAGGCCAGGGACAAGGCCTCGGGCAAGGACAATCCGCCACTACTGCCTCCCGCGGCTCCGACTGGGGCTCTTCCTCCGCCACCCGCGGCATGGAAGAACACCTTCACGGCCGCGAACGTATCGAGACTACCCAGCGCGAACACGTCGAGCCTGGACAACCCATGGTCGGCGGCCAGCAGCAATCCTCCACCAGTGGTAACATCTACGGCAGGGGTGAAGGCCAAGGTTCGGGTGAGAGTGGAGCTAGGAGGGCTGCGTGGGAAGCTGAACACCCGGGCGAGACCTACCGTGAGCATCACGCCGAGAAACGCGCGGAGGGTGATGCGTTGGGGCAGAGGGCTGAGAGGGCGGCTGGGGTTGATCAGAGGGCTTTCCAGGGACAGACTGGAACCGTTGGGTATGGAACCGGAGGTAGGGGTGGTGGGTACACTGCTGGTGACATCCGTACTGGTGGAACTGGTATGGGAGGTGGTTCGGGTGTTGCTGGAGGCAGTAGTGTTGCCGGGCAGGAGCCCCTTGGCCGCACTCCCGCCGGCGTCGGCATCGTACCTCAGACTGTTAACATTCCCGGCGACGTTGATCTCATTGGTCCTGACCATGTTCACCACGGCCAGGCTCTCGAACGTATGTTTCAACTGTTTCCGCGAGTGATGGAAATATGCTAATGACTTGTGATTAGAGCAATTCGCCGCCGCCCTTGCTGGCTCCGGAGTTGATATCTCGGACCCCGCCGAGTTGGATTTTACGCGGTTGAGTATCAATGAGCGTGAACGTTATGGAAAGCACTTTGGGGAGGAGAGGTTTGGGGCTGCTGAGAGGGATTTCCATGCTCGTATGTGTCTTCCGTGATTCTCATATGCCTTACGGGATAACTGAGCTGACATGGGAAACACAGGCCGCGGTGGACAAGGACAAAGTGGTATTCCAGGCGACATCAATGATATTGATTTCGGGACGTTGAGTCACCATGACCGCGAGCGCTACCGCCGCCATTTTGGGGAGAGTAGGTTTGAGCAGGCTGAGCGTGAGTTCCACAATCGTATGTGATCCCAACCTGCCAAACCAACTTAGGGTGTGAACTGACTGGGACTGCAGGTCGCGGCACGCAGTACTCTAGCAGTACCACCGGTACCCAAACCGGCCTTGGCGAGTCCCGCGATATCGGCGTTAGCGACGTCAATGAACTCGATTTTGGCAACTTGAGCCACCATGATCGCGAGCGTTACCGCCGTCATTTTGGCGAGGATAGGTTTACGCAGGCTGAGCGCAGCTGGCATTCCCGTATGTAGTCTAACGGCACCGGTTCCACAGATCGCTAACGCTTTTGCTACAGGCCGTGGCACACGAAGCCAGTTCCCTAGCGACACTATGTCCAATCAGGCCGCTACCGGTGCCATCGGTTTTACTGACCCCAACGACATCGATTTCGGGAACTTGAACTCGCAGGATCGCGAGAGGTACAGTAACCACTTTGGACAGGATAGGTTTAGGCAGGCGGAGCAGTACTGGCACTCACGTACGTATCCTGATGAGCTATTACGATCGCTTACTGAATGGGTGTGTATAGGTCGCGGAACGCAGTACCAGGGCGACAACTTTGGCAGCACTTCCACCGGTACGTCGGCTGCTGATGCCGGCATCGGACAAGGCCTCGGTGCCTCTCCCTCTGCCTTCGGCCGTCCTAGTCAAGGAGGTTCTTCCGCCTTTGGCTCTGGTCAGGGTGTTCAAGGTGGACAGGGTCTTCGCCAAGGCGAGTACGACACCCAACGCGCCGGCGGCTCCCTCGGCCAGACCGGTCAGCAGAACCTCGGTGGCCGTACCTCCGCCGACTCCGGATACCCCGCCTCATCCTCCTACCAAGGCCAAGGCCAAGGCCAAGGCGGTTACCAAGGCAGTGGTGTCTCAACCGCTACCCAAGCCGCCGGAATTCCCTCCGAGCGCGCTCAAGGCCATGCACAATCGCAGAGCCTGGACGATGACGGCTCCTTCCTCGGTTCCGGCGGAGGCTTTGATTCTATGCGCGGACAAAGCGGTCCCGGTGAGGACTTGAGGCAAGGCGCCAGTAGCGACAGGGATACGTCTAGGAGGCAACAGGGGAGGGCTGGTGGGGACTATCCCAGTGCTGGGGGAACTGGTGGAGGGTACGATCAGGGGCAGCAGCCGTATGTCATAAACCTATGCGTATGCGCCTGCGTGAATATGCTAACGTTTGCCACAGTACTGATTACCAGACTCCCGGACGCGGCTTCGCTTAACTCTACGTTATCGGTATTTATCCTTCAGGGAGGAATGAGGTGAGATGTACGAGTATGAGTTGACGTTGGTAATACGTTTTGTCTTTTTGGGATTCTTGCGCCCTTCGAGGCTATGATTACGGTTCTACGTACTGCTTTTGATGTACTTTATCTCCTTTTCAGCTGTCACCTTCCCTTCCATGCATGTCATAACAAAAACTCAACTGCAACTCAATGCTCCTTCTTTCTAAATCTTCTCTCTATCACAACTATGTTCTGCATCACATCGTATTCGCACGGTGTTGCATCTTCGTAACAGCTAGCTCTGTGACGTCGGATTCGAACCCCGGATTTTGTCGCGAAGGCCTCGGTGCACAACACTTCGTAATCAAGCAGTCACAGAGAGACTGCAAGAATACGCGCAGAACCTGAATGGACATTTGAACACTCTATAACCAGCTAGATAGCCAGGATAGGGCAAGAGCTGGGGCTTGGCGGGGTCAGATATCTTCCGAAGGACGTGCGACGATCCACCCAGCGTTCGTGATCGTGAACAAGAGAAGAACTCAAAAGCAGAAAAATCACATATTAAGAACTACGACAACTCAGACTCACATGTAAGCCTTCGCCGCCAACTAGATAAAACACGAAATAACAAATAGCTAACTAAAGGTAGATATGTACCGGTATCCCCACCCCTCCCCGTTCTCCATCCTTTTGAAAAACAAAAACTCGAAACACCGGCCGCAGTAAGACGCAGATATATATGTACACATATGACTGACAAAGAGAAATCGACGAAACAATATAGAGGGTAGATAGATCGTTGGTTGGTGGTGCGTGTGTGCGTGTGAGTGACCTCCCGAAACTGGTGAGATCATCAGATAAACACCCACGCTCAACATCTTTCAGGTTGGTTGCGCTCAAATCAACACAGCAACCGCACCCAAAACGGCAACAACCATCATCGCCCCACCACAAACCAACCCCCTCCCAGCCCCAGAAGTAGTCGCCGAACTCGTCGACGACCCCTCCAACGCATCAAACGCCGGCGCAGCCCTAAACACAGTCGTACTCGCCTGCGCCTCCTCCGTACCCGACGCACTCGCGCTCGCAACGACCATAACCGTACTCGACGCTTGTATAGCAGAAGAGGCGGCTGCGGAGTATGCGACGTGGGGTTTGATCATCATGGTTGGGAGTAACATAGAGGATGTTGAGGTTGGGGAAGCGGAGAGAGCGGTGGAGGTTGTGCGGGTTCGGGTTGAGGCGCGGGGGGAGAAGGTTGAGGTGGTGTGTTTGGAGGAGGTGGTGGTGGTGCTGGTGGTGGAGGATGATGTGGTTGTGCTTGTGGAAGAGGTGGTGGTGGTCGAGGAGGTAGTGGTGGTGGACGAAGTGGTAGACTCGGTGGTCGAGGTAGAAGACTCGGTAGTAGAAGTAGACTCGGCTACGCTCGAGGTAGTAGCAGCCTCCGTGCTCGACGTATCATCGGACGACGAGGCAGACGACGCAGCCAAGGAAGAAGACGAGGAGTAAGTGCCACTGGTATCAAAGACTTCGATATTCGCAACCCCTCCGCTCGGCACAGTAACAACACAAAACTGTGCACCCCCAACACCAGCCGTAGACCCATCCGAACATCCATTGATCCCATACTTGGCCGGATTGCACTCACATGGCAACCCATTGCAGCCCTCACCCTCACACGTAATCTTGACACCGAATCCAGGGTCCTGGGTGATCCAATACGAGTCATCGGTGTAGATTGGGTTCCAGGCGATTTTAACGTATGTGTTTCCAGAGGCGTCGGCATTTGCGCCCGCGACGTATGGAGCCCAGTTACCGTGCGGAAGAGCGGAGGTACCCCAGATGCAACCATCAGCCGTCGAGACACCGGGTGGGTTGATGTAGAAATGAGAAGCGGTTCCGGCCCAGTAGGAGGTATCCGGTACAGCGAGCGTCGCGGAGCCGCCGGCGGAAACGTCGGTCGGGATGAGCATGGCTTCGTTTCCGGGGAGAACGGTTTGGCAGACAGCGAGGCCGGAACCGATGTTGTCGACTGCTTTGACGGAGCCGACACCGTCGACACAGTAGTCCCTGTCCGGGAAGGGCTTGGAGACGGTACCGTCGTCGTTACAGTACAAGCCTCCGTTCATGGACGCGGGGTAGGTGTAGGACGTCGCGCTGGGATCCCATTGCATTGCGACTTGACCGGGGGGACAGGCGTACGGACAGTACATCCCGGCGGTACACGGCTGATCCGGGGACATTGCCCAACCGGCATTCGAGGCATCGGGGGTGACGGAGACGAGGCCGGCGTCGGTGGGGAATGCGCAAGTGGTTGTGCGCTTTTCGAGATGGGCGACGGAGGGAGACTGCTTGTGGTGGTGGTGGGAGTGACCCGTGCGCTTTTGGTGGGCGGCGGTTCCGGAGGAGAGGTAGGTGAGAGCCAGGAGGGCGGTTGCGATGGTGGTGAAGGACTTCATTGTTGGTGATACGAAAGGGTTGTTGATGATTGTTGTGTAGTAGTAGAGAAAGAAAGAGAATCGTTAGGTTAAGAGAATGTCGGTTGGCCGTAGACGCGATTGCGATTGCGATTCTTCTTTTGCGAATGAATGCGGTCAGAGGGCGAATAGACAGAGGGTTGTCGCTGTCGAAGCGGTGGTGAAAAGAGAGTGTCGATTGTCGGATAAAAAAAAAAGAAGGAAAGGAAAGGAGAGACTGGAGTTGAACGGTGATATACCCCTCTACGCTTCTATCTCCCTGCTGACTTGGTGGATGGTTTGGTGGAGTAGTACTTTACCTCGAGGGACCGTGCGCAGCATACACTCCCTCCCCCTGTGTTTTGGCCGATTTTGCGACCAATTTCCACAAAGCGTATGGCGCGCCTAACACCCCTCACTAAATCGCTCGATTGGGAAGGCTGTGGAAATTGGAGGTCATCATTCGGGCTTCTTGTTATGCGATGGAAGGAAGAGGAATGCCCTGTGGATGCAGCGCGGTGTTTATGCTGCGTACGTCATGAGGGGCATGGGAGATCGGCTTTGGATCGATGGTCCAACCCAAGAAAAGTTGCAATGTAGTCGACAAGTACCTGGACTGGAAGGAAGCAGCCGCATCTCTGCGCCGCATGAAGCAAGAGGCTTATACTGCTTCACTCGAAAGAGAGAGGGAGAAATACAGGTGCCATCGGGCAGCCACGGAATCAGTGATCAGGGGCAAGATCATCTCTCTGCGCATAGAGAAGGAGCCGAGAAGCAGCTTCAGATGTATTCAGAGCTCAAGTTACATGAACAAGGCATCACTCTGGCAGAGTATATGAACTCCTTGGGCCTCTGGACAATGGCGACGAAAACCAAGGTTTCGCCCATGCAGAACTCCATGGAAGCGATTGATGACGACGATTGCCTCGAGATATCCTCGGACTATGAGCCTTTAGAGTCTCCTTCCATTTGCCGTGGATAAGACCACATGCCCGAGAAATTATTCCCGTCCGAAGGGGTTTCCCACGGTCTTCGGGGAGTACAGAGTTGGTTGGTTTGTCGATATTTGGTCGGTGAATGCTTAGACTGCTGTAAATAGGTAAATCCCTCAGAAACGGTCATGGGAAGGCACTGTAACGACAGCTGTCCGCGAGGTCATGACGTCATGACGTCATCGCGATCCCGAGGTCAATTGTGTCACCCGGCCCTGCAACCAGACGATCAACCCAACCACCAGAAATGTCCCTCCGCCTACTTAAACCCCGCCTCCGCCTGCCCCTCGCCTCCCTCCTCCACTACAAAACCATCGTCCCCATCACAAACACACACACCCGCAAAATGTCCAACACAACTTCCACAATCCCCGCCGGCCAACCCGCCGACCCCTACAAGTCCAAGAACCTCGACACCTCCACATCCCTCTCCACGAAAGTCACCGATCTCGCTGGTCTGTTGGACGGGATCAAGACATGTATGCTCACCACCCGTCGCGAGAGCGATGGGTTTTTGGTGAGTCGCTGTATGCAGCTCGCGGCGAGGGAGAATGATGTCGATTTGGTGTTTACGACAAATGTCAAGACTGGGAAGATTGAGGAGATCAAGGAGGAGGACCATGTTAACGTTTCGTTTGTTCGTGCATCCTCGGTACGCACCCCTCTCTCTTTTTTCCTGCCAGGGCTGACTTGTTTTGTTTCGTAGGGCGAATGGGCCTCCGTCTCCGGAACCGCATCCCTCTCCACCGACCGCACCTCTGTCAAACAATACTACTCTCCCACCCTCCGCGCCTGGCTCGGCGACCTCGGTGACGGCGTCCACGACGGCGGACCCGAAGACCCCCGTATCGGTGTCATCCGCATCAAGACTCATTCTGCGACCTACGCCATTGACCGAAAGACCATGGTCGGGAAGGCTGTGGAGGTCGTGAAGGGTGTTGTTGGGGGTGAGGTTGCGGGGGTGAATGCGTTGAGGGAGATTAGTGTTGAGGAGGTTGAGACGATTAGGAGGATGGGTGGGGTGAAGGCTTAGGGGGAGTAAAGGATGAGCATTGGGGGAGTGTATGAGTAGGGATTTTGTTGCATTGAATATCATGTATGTTACGAATTGAGACGTTTCGCTATTGTCGAGTTGAGTTCTAGGACGATATCTGTCAATGGTCTTATCGATACCCCACGGTGTGACATCATCCATCTCCGCACTCGTCTCCTCCACCAAAAGAACAATCCTTAAGAACAACAACAACAATGACCACCCCCCGCACCCACCTAACCCTAACCCGCCTCTCCGGCGGCACCCTCCGCATCCCAACAAAATACATCGTCAAATCTGGCACGGACGAAGAACGCGAATACCCAGATTGGGCTTACCTTGTCGAGCATCCATCGGGGATGGTTGGGTTATGGGATTTAGGGTTGGATCAGGTATGTTCTCTACCATGATCGGGGTGTAGGGTGCTCATGGTATATGTAGGATTTGGGGATGTACCCACCGCCTGTACAGGAGAAGTTCGAGACGTTCAGACCCACACCGCCGGAGAAGGCGTTACACGAACAATTTCCAACACACGTCAAACCCGAACACATCTCCTTCATCATCTTCTCCCACGCACACTGGGACCACCTCCACACCCCCAACACCTCAATCTTCACGCACCCAAACCTCAAACTCTGGGTCGGACCCGGCACCAAAAAAGCCGTGGGGAAGGGATGGCCGGAGGATGGGAAGAGTACATTTCCCGGGAAACTGTTTCAGGAGAAGGTGGAGGAGATTGAGTTACGGGATGACGAAGTGAAGTTTGGACGGTTTGGGAGGACGTATGATTTGTTTGGGGATGGGTCGTTGGTTGTTGCGGGTGCGCCGGGACATATGCCTGGGAACTTGTGCGCCTTGGCATGCACCTCCGCTTCCTCACCCGACTCTTCGGCGACCTTTACACTTTTGGCAGGGGATTGCGCACACGATAAACGACTCATAACGGGCGAGGAAGAGCCTGCGGAGTGGCGGGAGGAGGAGGGTGGTGAGATGACGAGTATGTATAAGGATTTGGGAGCGGCGAGGGTGACGTGGGGGATGATTCGGGAGGTGTTGGAGGGGGGGGATGGAAGGGTTGAGTTGGGGTTGGCGCATGATTGGGGGAAGGAGTAGGAAACTGGAAAGTTGAGGGGGAGTAAGTGTAGGAGATACCCGGTTTGTGCTTGGTTGACTGCGTGGGACGCTAGTATGCTCGTAACTCTTTCATTGTCCCGTTGTTATCCTTCTGTTTCGCTTCTGTTTCGCTTTGTAGCGTGTGGTGAGCGTCCAGGGGGGGGGGGCACGCAACCTTCCTCATCCTTCTCAATCGTCGTCATGAATCAGCAAACCCTTGGACTTCACTACCTTCACATCAGCCTTGACACCATTTCCATCCGGGTCCGTACCACCACTAGATTCCGGTCGCGCCCCATTCTGGGCCGCATTCACTCCCTCCTCCTCCTCCATCTTATCTCCCTTCCCTCTCACCTTCTTCTTCTTCATCCTCCTCGCCCGATTCTTCGCAGTCTTCTCCTCATCCTCCCTCCTGAACCCCTCCCTCCTCGCCTCAAACTCGCTCATCTCCCGCTCCCTCACACTCTCCGCATCCATCGCCGCAAGCCGATCATACTCCCTTCTCCGCGCGGCTTTATAGACATGGAATTCGCCTGAGCCTGCACCTGCGCTGGAACCTTGAACGTGTGTTACGAATTCTGGGGGTGGGGCGGGAGATGTGGATGTGGTGGAGGGAGGTGGGGGGATGTGGAGGGGTTTAAGAGGGTCGCGGTTGAGGAGGCGGGAGAGGGATTCGCGTTGGAGGGAGGTGGGGGAGGTTGCGCGTTTCTTTTTGGGGCGGTCAGAGGTTTGGTCGATTGATGTTGGGACGTAGCTTGACATCGCTTGAGGATGTTTGATGTTTTGTGAGGATTTCGAGGAGGTTGTACGGGCATGCGGAATCATGCAGCCAGGTGCGTACGAGACGTCGACAGTCCAAGTAAACGACAATTGATACTCCAAGATCACATCGTCAGTCAGCGAATCCCCAACCATGACCCCAAGCGCATCTACAACAACCACCCTTTCGCCAATAACCTCCTCCCTTCCCGCCCATACCTACCTCAACTCTCTCCTCACACCCTCCACCTCGCTAACAGACGCCTCATCATTGCTCTCAATGCTCGACACAGAGTTACGAGGCAAGATCGCGGAGTTGGGCGTGTTGGCGGATGAGATGGTTAGGGTTGGACGGAGAGTTGGATGGGAGGTGCAGGAGGTTGAGAGGGGGGTTGAGGAGATTGGAGAGCAACTGGAGAGTCTTGAGCCGAAGGGGAAGCCTATGACGGGGAATGGGGCAGATGGAGGGGCACCGGAGACTGATGGGGAGGGAGCGCTGGAACGATTACGAGTCTTGGAAGTGGTACATGCGCGCTTAGTCGCAACCCGCGACACCCTCCTCTCCGCCCGCGAAACCCTCCCACCACCCGCACCAACACCAACACCCCCACCCGAACACGCCATAACCTCCGAACTCACATTCCTCCTCTCTTCCCGCGACTTCCCCCGCGCCGAAAAGCGCGTAAAAGAACTCGAGGATCTCGTTTCCGTGTTCGATGGAACCGCGGAAGAAGACGCGCGAAAACGGTGGCTCTCGGCGTTGCGTGTCCAGTTACTGGAGGCGAAGGCGAAGGAGGAGGAGACGCAAAGGGAACGAGAAGGAGGTGGGAGGGGAAGTCGGGATAGCAGGGAGAGGAGGAGTGTGGAGCGCGAGCAGGAAGGGGAGGGGCAGGGGCAGGGGCAGGGGCAGGGGCAGCACGGCGGGGTGAGGGGGGCACAGGGGTTTTTGAGCGGGTTGAAGGGGAGGATGGGGTATTGAGCCGCCAATACGTTCCTGTCCTCGTTCCTGTCCTCGTGCGGTTCGCTTGTTACCCCGCGTTGACAGACGTGAATTCAGGACATCCAGGCACAAGCTTAAGTTTGCGTCAAGGCTTAGCAGCTGGTGCCAGTAGCCAGCAGCCAGACAGCCCCTGATGCATGTGCGCAGTTGGCAGAGCCCACGGATCTTAAGCTTACCGCAATGAAGGTTCTGTTGAGCGTTCCCGTCGTTGATACGAGCATGTATTTCGGGGTGATAGGTGTAGCTGGCCGTCGATGTACTGGATGTATGCTCTCTCTCTCTCTGGTAGAATGACGGACGGGTCAGGGCCAGCTGTCAACTCAACTCAACTGCGCCAGACAGTGCAGGCAGCCACGCGGCGGATTAGCCCTAGGTGTTAGCCCGTGCCCCGAGTAGACCACCAAAAGAGAACGCCAGATAGGAATAGGTTGCCATTATTCACCGACGACCATCTTGCTCAAGGATCGCGTTAGGGTCTGTTCGCCTGTTCTTTTGTCCGTGCGTCGTCGAGTGAACGGAATTTCTCGATACCTGCGATAACATATCGAGGGCTGGCCTGTTGACGGCCCGCTGAGGAAGAGGAATAACCCTCACGATGGCAACGCCGACGAACGATTACAACGGGACCGATGACATGACCCCACAGCGCCGTCCCTCGACTGCTGACGGCACCGTCACCGGGAACAACGCCAACATCAACCCAGCTATCGCCTCCATCAACTCACAACTATCGAATCTGACACATTATAGCTTCTCGCCCGAACTCTATACCTTTACGCGCCCATCACCAACAGCGTTCAACGTCTCCGAAGACGCATATTTCCTGCGCGGAACGCATATATCCACAAACACCCCCGTTATCGCAAAGGTTTCGCAGCATGTATTGCGATTAGAGAGGGAGTATCATGTATTTCAGCACTTGGGTGGGATCGAGGAGGCCTTTAGTGGGGGGAAGGAGGAACAGATTGGACGCGGTGAGGGCAAAGCACGGAAATTGGTGGTGGACGTGTTGGATTTGGTACATGCCCATTCACGGGCGGAGATGAATCTGGGACAAGCGCGGGGACCAGGTCCGGGTCCGGGCTCGTGTGCGGCGATTATTTATACGGATCCGGGACTGAATGCGCTTGCGGACTGGACGAGTACTGAGATGATTACAGTTCCCCCGTTCCTCGATTTTGCGATTGCGGCGTGTGAGGTCTTGGAGTTTATCCATGGACAGGATTTGGTACACGGTGAACTTCGTCCGGAGAGTTTTCATTGGAATGTGGAGGAGGGTGTCGTGAGACTCATGAACTTTGGGTCTGGGTTGAAGAGTTTCCAGAATGGGTTGACGTCGAGTGGATGGTCTTCGTTGGCACGGGAGAAGGGCGTGGAGGGACGGTTGATGTTCATCTCGCCTGAACAGACGGGGCGGACGAGTAACGAGCCTGATCACCGAACTGATATCTACTCCCTGGGGATATTGTTCTACATGTTGTTGACGAGACAGTACCCCTTCGAGGGCTCACCCATGGAAATCCTGCAAGCGGCTCTATCACGACGAACACCGGCCGTACACACCGTCAGACCCGATGTTCCCGAGGTCATCACCCACATCATCCAGAAAATGACGGCAAAGATGACGGATGAGAGGTATCACTCCGCTGGAGGTTTGAAAGCCGATTTGTTGGAGTGCCAACGGCAGTTGAGGAGTGGTGAGGCCGGGACCGGAATTGAGGCATTCCTGCTGGGGCAGAAGGACGTTACGTCCTTTTTCTGCTTACCAGCCAAGATATTCGGTCGGGATCAGGAGCGAGAAACGATGCTCGGTATCGTGCGGAGGGTGGCGCGAAGACATCAAGTAGCGAGTGCGCAAAGGATGGGAATTATCGACGTCCATACCCAGCCGAGTTTATCTGAGGCGCATTTGGAGCAATTCTCGAATTCGAGTGCGGCGAGTGATTCAGCGTATATGCCGTACTCTACCTCAGGTATGTCGATCTCTGGGTCTTCGGCGGGAGGAGTCCAGGGCCGTTCGGATGGGAGTAAGAGTTATTGTGAGGTGATTGCGCTTAGCGGACCCACCGGTGTCGGGAAGAGCGCGCTTGTCAACGTGATTCAGTCCGAGGCGAGGAAGTATGGATATTTCGCGAGTGCGCAGTTCGATCGGGCACAGCAAACGCCGTATGGTGCGATTTTGAGGGGTATCTCGAGTATTATGAGACAAGTGTTGACGGAATCCGAGGCCGCGATTGGGGAGTTTTATCAGGAGCTCAAAGCGTTCTTGGGACCGCAGTTTGGGAATATCTATTTCATGGTGGATCTCGTGCCTGAGCTGAGACCTGTGCTGAATTTCGATGCGGAGAGTGGAGGGGGGAGTCAGACTGGTCCGGGCTTGACGGGGAAGGATTCGAATTCGAATTTGGCGGCGAGTGTGGAGGCGAATACGAGTGCGGCGCCGGCTGCTCATGCGCCGTCTAACTCTAGTAATTCGAGTATCTCGTCTGCTGGGGGTGGTGGGACAGGGGCAGTTGCGGGTAGTGCGAGTCAGGCTACGGATGTGTTGAGGAGTGGAGGCGCTAAACTTCGTTTCGTGGCGATGTTCTTGGATGTTCTCCGAATGCTCGCACAATCCAAGATGATCACGTTGGTGTTGGATGATTTGCACGCCGCCGATGACGCCTCGCTTGATTTGTTGGCGAATATCGTGAATTCGAGGATTCGGATGTTGTTGCTTGTCAGTTATCGCGATACGGAGATGTTGCCGGAGAAGCTTGAGAGTATACTCGGAAGCGAGAATGGACGGGTTACACACATTCCGTTGGCGCCGTTGGGGACGCAGGCGATTACGGAGTATGTTGCGTGCGCGTTGCATCGGGAGGAGGAGTTTGTGGGGCCTCTCGCGCAGGTGATCGAGCAAAAGACCAAGGGATCGCCGTTCTATACGAGGGAGCTGTTGTTGAGTTTGCATCGGAAGGGGGAGATTAGCTTCGATTGGCGGGTTGGTCAATGGACGTATGATATCAACTCCGTGAAGCAGGAGTTGGATGTGATTCAACGGGATGAGGTCGATGTATCGTTCCTTGTTTCTAGACTGCGCGAGTTGAGTCCTGATGGTCAGGCGTTTGTGCAGTGGGCTGCATTCGTCGGGACTTCTTTCTCGTTCGCGATGGTGAAAAGCTTGTTGGGCCACCGTGTTGAGGACTTTGGTGGGAACTCGAGTGATGAGAATGTCAGTAGACCCAAGAGTTTGAGAGATATCCAGGTCAATGCGGTGAACGGATTGCAGGCTGCGCTTCAGGCCGCTATCATTGTTCCTGGAGACGCGGACGACGATAACTTCCGTTTCTCACACGACGGATATGTTCGTGCTGCATTCGAGCTCAGTGATCCTTCTGATCGGGAGAAAATGCATTTCATCATTGCGCAGATTATGCTCTGTGATGAGGATTACGACGTTTACTTTGTCGGTGATCACCTCGGAAAGGCATTGAATCTCGTGAAGACCATGGCTGACACGAGGCATGCGCGAGATGTGTTCTACCGGGCTGCGGCGAAGGCTGCGACATCCGGAGCGCATGAAGTGTCTTTGGGCTATTACCTCAAGTCGATGGAGCTTTTGCCCGAGAAGCCTTGGGATGAGCCTCCTGGTATTACGTATGAGGAAGTTCTGGAGCTTTACCTCCTCACAGCTGAGTGTCACTGGTGGTGCAGAAATCTCGTCGAAGCACAAGAATTGGTCGACGAGATCTTCAAGAAGGCCAAGTCGATTCAGGACAAAGCCCCGGCTTACCGACTTCTCAGCCGACTGCTCTATGAGAAGCGTCAGTACAGCGACTCCATGGATAAGATCATGGACTGCTTGACTCAGTTGGACGACAGTATCACCCGTGAGCCTACCATGGAGCTCCTGAACGACATGTTCATGAAGCTCAAGCCACGTGTGGAATCCATGGACTTCGAAGAAGCGCTCGAGGCCCCGATGATCACGAACGAACGGATGATTACGATCTCAAGCCTTCTTGCTGAAGCTCTTGCATCCGCATACTTCTGTTCGCCGCTTTTGTTCTTGTACAGTGCTCTCATGATTATGCAGCTTAACCTCGACCATGGTATGTTTGAAGGTGTTGGGATCGCATACCTCGCTTTCGGCACTGTAGCCTCTGCGCAGTACGGGCTGCCTCGCTTCGGGGCCGATGTTGGAAGGTACGGGTACGAATTGGTCGTTCGATATGGTGACCAAGCCACCAAGGCAAGAGGTATCCTGTCGTACCACGTTCTGATGAGCCACTTCCACGAGCATGTCCGGGTTGTGGCTCCCGGAGCATCGACAGCATTCAAGTTCGCCATCAACACTGGTGACAGGGTTTACGCAACGTTCTCCCTAGCTCATCTCGCTGTAGGCAAGTGGGCTGTCAGTGCTAACTTGGTGGAGACGGCCGCATTCTGCGACTACGCCTTGTCCGAAATTGGTACCTGGGGTAAGGATACAGATGGTGCTACCCTGGTCCACGGCATCGGACAGTCCGTCCGAGCTTTGCAGGGTCTTACTTTGGTTGACCAGCCCGACGGTGTGTTGACTGATGCCGACGGCCCCTTCAATTACGCAGAGCATATGGACTGGGTTCGTAAGACCTCTGCGAACTTTGAAGTTGCAGATGTATGGATCAGTATGTTCCAAATTTGTCCGCTGTTTTTATACGGGCATTATGACAAGGCAATCGAGGTTGGTAAGAGCTGCACTGGCCGCATTGCTCTGCACCCATGCTTGCGACAGGTCAGGTTCATGCAATTCGTTTACTCTTTGGCCATTATCGCGAAGATCCGTAGGGATGATGTCACTGGCGCTGATAGAGAGGAGTTCCTCGAGCAAGTCAAAGCGAACCAGAATTCCATTGCAACCTACATGGCCATCTATAGCGACAATTACTTCATGTGGTACAAGCTGGTCGAAGCCGAGCTGCTTTGCCTCGAGGGCAACTTTGCTCAAGCGACCGTGGCATTTGAGGCGGCCGGAGAGGCATGTGCCGAACAAGGCTTCCGTTTGGAAGAGGCCATGACCTGCCAGCTTGCTGGTGAGTTTTATTTGCGCAATGGGCTCAAGAGGGTTGCCAGGGGACTTTTGCGTGATGCTCTCTCGATGTACCTGATCTTGGGTGCCACCGGGGTTGGCGAACACTTCAGCCAAAAGCACAGCGTGACGCTGCGAAGCCCTACTCAGGGTCTTGTAGTCGACGTTGGTGTCCAAACAGACTCGGTTATGCCGAACTTCCAGGAGGGTCGCTCCGGTTCCATAATTGGTATGAATAATGACTTCCAGTTTGACGGACCCGTTGTAACACAACCTTGGGTAAACAAGTCCGGTATTGAGATCGAGAACGCCGAGCCTCCCACATCAACGGACGATCCCAACTACCTGACCTTGGATATCATTGACCTGACATCCATCATCTCTTCAAGCCAGGTTTTGGCTAGTGAGATGAACGTCGAGACGCTTTTCCAGAAGCTCCTCCAGATCGTCATTGAGAACACTGGCGGAAGTCTTAGCGCTATCGTTGTGAAAGATGACGGGATCTTTGCTATTGCTGCTGTGGGTCATGCCGAAACTGGCAAATATGTGACGTACAAGCCGCCGAGGACCCTAGTCGACGAAGAGCAGGATCTCTCTACCCGAATCGTCAACTATGTCATTCACACCAAGGAGGCCCTGTTCCTGGAGAACTCGTTGGAGGACGAGCGATTCTGTGCAGGTGCTTGGTTCCAGCAGAACCCGAACGGCAAGTCAGTCATTGGTTTGCCTATCATGTACAAGGCCACTCTCGTTGGTGTCCTTTACCTTGAAGGCGCTATTCACTCCTTGACCTCAAGGCACGTGTCAGTTCTGTCGCTGTTGAGCTCGCAGATTGGTATCTCCATCACTAATGCCTTGCTTTTCAAGTCCGTTCAGAAGGCTACTTTGGCGAACATCTCGATGATTGAGAGTCAGAAACAGGCTCTTCAAGCTGCCAAGGAGAGTGAAGCGAAGTACGTCGCTGTGCTCGAGACCATGCCTTGCGTCATCTACTCGGCCGATCCTGTCAACGGTAAATTGGATTACTTGAACGCCTACTGGTGGGCCTTTGCTGGTGCTGATGCCGCAAGTTGGGAGGATGGCGCATGGCTTAACCACGTTCACTCTGAAGACAAGTCCGTCTTGGAAGAGAGCATGGCTGCTGCCATCAGGACCGGTGCTTATCCCGAGGTTGAAGTCAGGCTTCGCCGCGCCGACGGAGAGTACAGGTGGCACTTGTGCCGTAAGATGCCTTTGAAGAATCACTCTGGCAAGATTGTCAAGTGGATCGGTGCCTTCATTGACATCGATGATCAGAAGACCGCTGTTCTGTCCAAGACCGCCTTCTTGGCCAACATGTCGCACGAGCTGCGTACTCCTTTCTCTGGGTTCTACGGCATGCTCAACCTGCTCGTTGAAACCGAGCTGGATGCGGAACAGAGAGATATTGTTACGACTGCCAAGCAGAGTTGCGAGATGCTTCTTCAAATCATCGACGATCTCCTCAACTTCAGTAAGCTGGAGGCTGGTAAGGTTCAACTTGAGCCCGATCTCATCTTTACTACCGAGGATGTTCTGGCCGACTGTGTCGAGCTTGTCCAACCTCTGGCAGTGAAGAAGGGTCTGGAGCTAGCCTTTGACATTGACCCGAAGGTACCCACTCGCTTGGCAGGTGATGCCACGAAGATCCGCCAAGTCCTCACCAACTTGCTGGGTAATGCTGTCAAGTTCACCAAGGACGGTTACGTGCAAGTGCAATGTTCATTGCAAGCACCGCCGTCTTACGTCACGGATCCAGACGCTTGTTTCATCCGCTTTGAGGTTCAGGATACCGGTATCGGTATGTCTCAGAACGACATGAAGACCCTGTTCAAGCCCTTCTCCCAAGTTGACGGTAGTACGACGAGACGTTACGGCGGAACGGGTCTTGGTCTTTCCATCTGTTTGCAAATCTGTAAGCTCATGGAAGGTGACATTGGAGTGACTGCGGAGGTTGACAAGGGATCTACTTTCTGGTTCTATGTCCGTGTCCGCTCCATCCCTGCCAACCATGCTAGTGCCAACAGCGATGAGGAGATCCGGATGCTTTCCGAGATTAGGCAACAACTTGCCGGCAAAGAAATTCTTCTTGCATCTCAGCACAAGTTTGTTGATAGGACTCTGGCACCTGTGCTTTCCTCCGCGAAGGTCCACAGAGCGTACAGTTTCCAGCAAGCGGAATCAATCATGACGCTGGCCGTTGATAGAGGTGACCCGCTCCGTATTGTTGTTTGGGCTTGTGACAAAGATATTGCGCCTGATTTCATCCGGTCAGTCCTCGAGAACAAGAAGTTGGTTGCGTCACAGATCATCTGGTACTACACCCCGAAGACCAATACCGGAGTTGGACCCATCTGTGGTGATCCTCAATCAGTTGCGTCGATGGTCGTCAAGTACGGTTCCCGATTGACGAGGATGGCCGCGCCGGTGCGTAGGGCTAAGTTGGTCATGTCGTTCTCCAAGGCGCTTGCTAACTTGAAGGATGGAGGCGAGAACGGGGTCCCTACCTCGAGTCCTATACCTGCGAAGGCGTCAACCAGCCGCCCTGGCGTGTCGAACCTGTTCACACAGAGCGAGCTCGAGAGCTTCCAGGGTAAGAAGATCCTCATTGCCGAGGACAACCCCGTCGCGCAGAAGCTCCTCACGAAACAGCTCACCAAATTCGGACTCGAGGTCGAAGCAGCAAACAATGGTCTAGAGGCCGTCGCACACTTCGAGCAACACCCACCCGGCTATTTCGCAATGTTCTTCGCGGACCATCACATGCCGCTCTGTGACGGTGTCGAAGCTACGCGAAGGATTAGAAAGATCGAGCGTGAGAACGAGTATGAGATGATTATTCCGATCATTGCGTTGACTGCGGATATCCAGCAGAGCGCGAAGGAGAGTTGTTTGGAAGCGGGTATGACGAAATACCTGACGAAGCCCTTGTTGCAAGCGAGTCTTGTGAGCACACTGAGGCAGTTTTTGTTGCAAGAGTAAATGGAAGATGGAGTGATTACATAGCGATAGGATCTCGATAGGAAAGATGGAGTATGCGTATGAGTCATTTATGACGAGTTGGAGTATTGGAGTTCTTACTGCTTTTCTTGGGATAACTTGTGTGATTTGGGTCATGTAACAAACGGCATTTTTGTATAGCACTCATGGAGAAAAAGCATTATCTTGATCATCTAATAAGACGCACATTATTGCACCTTGCTAAAGCCTAACCTTAACCCAATACCAGTCCCCCCAAAACCCTATACTTAAGGCTAAAGTTGCGGTATGGCTATTTCTTCAAACCTTTGTGACCGTTGCCGTTCGCTTCTGCTGCTGCTCGTACGGGCTTCTTGCCGGTGATTTTGCGGATGTACATCAGGTCTTCGTTGATGTCAATTTCCTTGGCTTGACCCTGGAATGAGAATGCTTTTTCGCGTTCTGGACGTCCGGTACGTTGTTTTTCCTTTTCCATGCCCCATTCGTCGACGAGTGGTGTACCTTTCCTCTTCTTCCCGTTCGAGGATGATCCGAGGAGTTCTTCCAGTGCGCGCCCAGGCATGTTTCGTCGTGATTTCCGTGCGGATTCGGCGGGGAGCATATCCGTCGCTCCAATCGCGTCACTCATGGACGTGATCGAGAGGAGGAGGTTACTGTCTGTCGATATATCCACGAGCTCCTTATCTTCTCGAATCCGTTGACGGCGAGAGATGAGGCCTGCCAAGACTTTTTCCCTGATACTCCGCTTCTTCTCGATGTACTCTTGTTCCGCCGCTTCCACCTCTCTCTCATACTCCGCATCCGCCCGTTCGAGCGCATAATCCCGCATACAATGTAACCGTACCAACTCCTCATCGCGAGCCACACCTAGATCTGCGACGCCGTCGACGAAGAGCGGGTGTGTTCCGTCATGTAGGGATTCGAGTTCTGCTTGGAGGTTGGAGAGTGTTTGTCGGAATTGGGCTTCGCGGGAGTTGTAGAAGGAGGCTGTTAGGGTTGAGAGTCTATCGCCCAGATCGCGACGTTTTTTGTCTTTTTTGGATTCGGCGGGGGGTGTGTGGGATTGTCTTGGTGAGGCGTCTGTAGCGATTCATCCATCAGTTTTTGCGTTAAAAAGAGCAGATGGACGCGAGAACGCTACCCGATAAGTCTTCGTCGTCGCGGTCTCTGGTGGGCACGGTCGCGCCGCTTTGTCTCCGTCCGCGGTCCATGTTGGTGCTCGGAGTAGCAGCCCGCGGAGCTTTGTATGAGCCTAGTAGTCGGTCGATTTTGATTGTTCTGTGGGAGCGACTGGGTGTCCGTCGCTATGGGTTCAGGGATGAAGTAGAAGGTGTAGTCAGAGAAATAATGGTGGTGATGGGGATGCGCTCGCACTGTCTGCTCCAGATCTGACCGCCGTCAGCCACGCACGGGCGAGGGACACAACGATGGCGACCTCTACAATCGCAATGGCCTACAAAGCAATTCAAATGGACAAGACTCCGCCAAGAGTACTCACCATCGCTGGATCAGACAGTGGCGGCGGAGCTGGAATCCAAGCAGATCTCAAGGTGATGGAAGCCCACAAAGTATACGGCATGTCCGCCATTACCGCCGTCACCTCCCAAAACACCCTCGGCGTCGACGGCGTCCAAGTCATGTCCCCTGACTTCGTCTCCAAACAAATCGAAGCCGTAATCTCCGACCTCGGCGTCGACGTAATCAAAACCGGCATGCTCGCAACCCAAGAAATCGTTTCGTGCGTCGCTGCACAAATCAAGAAACATGGCGTGGAGAAGACGGTGGTGGATCCGGTTATGATTGCTACGAGTGGGAGTAGTTTGTTGGATGAGAAGGCGCATTCGGCGTATATTCGGGAGTTGTTGCCGTTGGCGTATGTGCTTACGCCAAATGTGCCAGAGGCCATACAGTTGGTTGCTGCGGCGGAAGGGAAGCAGAGGGAGGAGATTGAGGCGAATACACTGGATGACATGAGAAATCTCGCACGAAGACTACACAAGCTGGGCCCGAAGAACGTATTGGTCAAGGGTGGACATCTCCCCTTCACGAAAGACTGCCAACCAGCATCCTCGGAAGAAGAGAAAGAAATCGTGGTTGACGTCTTATTTGACGGAGAGCAATTCTATGAGGTCGAAACCCCATATTCGTTCTCGAAAAACACCCACGGCACAGGGTGTTCCCTCGCCTCCGCCATCGCCTCAAACCTCGCTCTCTCCCACCCCGTCCCCGACGCAGTGCGACACGCAGTCTACTACGTTGAAGGCTCCATAAACCACTCTTACCCTGAGCTCGGTCAGGGTCACGGGCCGCTGAATCATGCGTTTAACACGCAAAGGGTGCCGTTTGTGAAGGGGAGGTTTTTGTACTGGTTGTTGGAACATCCGAGGGTTAAGGGTGTGTGGAGAGAGTATACGCATCACGAGTTCGTGGAACAACTCGGAAAAGGCACCCTACCCATTGAGTGCTTCAAATACTACCTCCAACAAGACTACCTCTACCTCGTCCAATTCGCCCGAGCGAATGCATTGGCGGCATATAAGGCTACGAATATGCCAGACATTACTGCATCCGCCGAAATCATCCTCCACATCGCCAAAGAAATGGAACTCCACATCTCCTACTGCGCCGAATTTGGCCTCTCCCGCGACGACCTCGAGAACGGAAAAGAGAGCATGCAAACCCTCGCATACTCCCGCTACATCCTCGACATCGGAACCTCCCAATCCTGGCTCGCACTCCAAGTCGCACTCGCAGCTTGTCTCCACGGATACCACCACATCGCTGCACGACTTCACGCATCGCCCTCTACGGTTCGGGGATCGGCGAATCCGTATTGGAAGTGGATTGAGAATTATGTGGCAGAGGATTATGTTCAGGCTGTTGAGCGGGGACGGGAGCTGTTGGAGAGACATGTGTGGGCGGAGGGGACGACGGGGATTGAGGGGCTGGTTGAGATATTTGGGAGGGCGACGGAGTTGGAGGCGGGGTTTTGGGGGATGGGGTTGGCGGGGCCGCCGGGGTGGAAGAGCGGGGAGGAGGAGAAGCAGCTTGAGAACTGAATGATGGGATGATTCGTACATGCAGGTGATGTGTGTTTTATGATAGACCTGTTGGATTGAACTGGCTTTGATTCGATTATCTCACTACCGCTGAATCTCGGAAAGCCGCTCCTGCGGCGAAGCTACTCGTAATGTGAAGTTGTCAAACAATGTATAACTCTCGTTAACGGCAGCCACCGTTTGAGCTCATCCATTACCTTCCCTGCTAGTTTCAACACATTTAAGATAGCCGGCTGCAGATGGCAGAACGACTGGGCTCTAAAGAGCCAACAAGCCTTCTGCATTGCCTTTGTGGAACCCTGCACTCGGGTGCCTTTATTGACCATCTTCTCCTCCTTTCCTAAACTGTCCAGGAGACTTGGAATGGTATCTACCAAGTGAGTCAACTCCTCGAACCGGCGCTAGCGGCAGCACAATCCAACACTTGGTTAATCACAGTTATATTGTGTTTGAGGGCGGCAATCAATACTTTTGGATGAATAGACCCCGAATGCCACTAACATCACTCTCATGGAGAAAATATCTGCAATGTCGGTGGTTCTATGATCACTGGGAGACGTGATCTGTCCGAGTCTCTCAATGCCTGCTGCACCTTGACTCTGGTATGGAAGGTATCTGCAGCTGTGAGCGATAGTTTGTACCACCACAAAAAGCTCGCGTCTGAGCTTCAGAACCCTGTCTCCACATGCTTACAGGAACACAGTGCCTCCTGGATCCCCCATCCACATTCCAGACCGCCTGAAGGCCCATGGCATCGTGGATACACCACACAAGATCTTGCCACGCTTCGCCGCAGACCTTTCACATCCGAGGAACACTCAGCGAACTTTTTGAAATCCGTGTCACCCGCTCCGTTTCTGTGTTTATGTGCCGAGGCAGCTGCCTTTTTCTCACGAAGCAGGCGGAGATACTTGGAAGATACCTAGGTACGTTATACACTGCAGCTGCGGCCATGTCATGATTGAATCCGAAGTTTAGGTTTGCTCTTGCCTTTGTATTCGAAACGGTTTCCCTTTACATAATCGCTAAGGGCGAGATGAGCGTGGGAACGCAATTCTAAGCAATCCCCCTCATATCCTCAATTGCTGCGAACCTATCATTCAGTTGGCACTCCCAATCTCACTAGAATCAACAACCGTCCCAATCGCATCCGCCAACTCCGTCAGCACCATCTTGACCAATTCCGGAGCCTTCGCGCCCGGAACATCCCGATCCCCAATCGCATCACGAACAATGACCACATCATACCCATTCTCCATACCTGATCTTGCGGTTCCGGTGATACAGACGTGAGCCATGTATCCACAGAGAACGATCTGGTTAACGTCGAGTGATTTCAAGGTTTCGTGGAGGGTGGTGTTGGTAAACTATGCATAACCAGGTCAGTAAGATTCAAGGCATTTGGGGAGTAGGGAGTGAGTCTTACAGAACTCGGAGCCTGCTTCCTAATAATATGTTCCCCATCCCTCGGCTTCAACTCCTTAAACTCCTCCTCCAATCCAGTACCCTGCGTAAACACCGGCGCCCCCTCCGGCGTCACATGCGTAATATGAACAACAGCTCCACCCTCCGCCCTATATTTTTCGAGTAACTCCTTGATCTTTGGGCGAGATGATTCGATGTCGTGGATCTTGAGCTTGCCCTCGGCGTATTCGTTTTGGGCGTCGATGATGAGGAGGGCGGAGGTTGGGATGTTGACTGTGGAGGGCGGTGCACCGAGGATTTGACGGAAGGAGAGAGCCATTGTTTGGTTACTTTTCCGTGTAAAGTTTTGCGTGAATTTGCTGGGTGGAGTCGGCGGCGAGCCTCTTATAAGACGTACGGTATGTGCATCGCTTAATAGGCGTCCCCGCATTCGCCATTTCGGATGCACGGGCCGATGGGTCATCGCATGTGACGTCCATCTCGTCGAACACGTTAACTTTGATATTGGTTTTTTTTTCCTATCCCAAGCTGAATCGTTTCCTCCTTCCCTCGTACGAAACAGCCATTCCAATCTCCATTTCCCACGTCAACCGCAGCCTTTGGTATGTTAAGTATATGAGTCCCGAAAACCCCCTGACCAGCAGACAGTCATTCCACCATAAAACACAACGATACATCCTCCGCAATAGAGCTATAGTTATCAATACTGTCTCACTCTCCACCTTGTAATATCTTATGCTTCTCAAAACGCGACGGTCGACCCCCGATGATGATCGTTATTCGCAACAAACCCGCTTCCCGAACTTCCGCCGGCAATAATCCTTTGTGCCTCTTCCAACACATCGACCCAATCCATCGCTCGTCCCTGGTTGATCTCGACCGTATAACTCTTCCCAGGCTATCATCACCATAACCGTTAGTATACACGTACAGGCATAAGCTTTGGGATATGACATACCGTATCAATCACGAAAACATGCTCTGCATCTTTCCCGATTCCGACTCTGACGCGGACACCGACCCCACCCAACATAACCTCCGTCTTAACCTTCTCTTTCCCAACACCCCCGACCTTCTTCGGACTCGCACCTACACCTCCCGCTTCCAGGAACAACGCGCGTCCAGTCGAGGTAACGAGAAGGACTCTATGCTTCTTCCTCGCCAAACTCAAGAACTTTGCCAACTTACTCCGTCCATCAAGGTTCGGCGCCGGCGCGTGCGAGGAAGACTGAACCAGCACCGGTCCACTCTTCAACACGAACTCATTCGGACTCGTGAGTAGGTTCGAGAACTGGATATCCATCGTACTCTTCGGTCTCTCGGCCGGAATGCCAATACGTGTGCATAGTGTTGGACTCGCCGATTTGGATGCCGTCCCGGAAACGACTCCGGCGGGCGGAGCAGTCACCGTACTCGTATTCGTCAACGGGGCCTGTAACCCGCCTCCCATCGAGCTCGCACCCGTACTTGGTCCATAGCTCGGACTAAGCGGTAGTGATATCGTCGAGCTCGCATGTGCGTTGTTCCGCATTCCCAGAGGCTGGAGGGTACTCGTGTCCCTCCCTGCCGGCGGGCCCTCATTCAGCTTAATCACCGCCGGACTCCCGTTCGTACCACCACCTCCATTCGCGACAACCTCGGGTCGATACGGCTTCAACCTCGGCGCCTTCCTCTTCCAGACACCCTCCCTCGTCCACTCCACCCCCTCAAAGAACGGATGACTCTTGATTTCGTCCGCACGAATCCTCTTACTCGGATCCAACACCAAACACCTCTCCACCAAATCCCGTGCATCAACTGGGAACGAAGGTGGGAACGAGTATTCCAGTTTAACAATCTTCTGGAATATCTGGTATTCGTTGGAGGCTTTGAACGGGGGTCGGCCGGCGAGGAGTTGGTAGAGAATGCAGCCGAAGGCCCAGAGGTCGCTGGAGCGGCAGGTCGATTTGTCGCTAAGGAGCTCGGGGGAGACGTATTCCGCCGTTCCCACGAATGAGTTTGCGCGGTCGTCTATCTCGCCCTCCTCACCCGGCTTGGGTAAATCCAGAATCTTCGCCGTTCCAAAATCAGCGATCTTGATTCTCATCTTATCGTCCAACAAAACATTCTCGGGTTTCAGATCCCGATGAATGACACCTCGTGAATGCATATAATCCACCGCATCCAGAACCTGTGCTGCGTAATACCTCGTACACTCCTCATCAAACGTCCCCAATTTCTTGATGAACCCCAACAACTCTCCATTACTGGCCAAATCCAATACGAAATACAAACTCCGTTCATCCTGGAACGTGTAGAATAACCTCAGAATTCCGGGATGGTCACCGAGTCGATTCAATGTGTTTTTCTCGATGTTGACGTACTTGACTTTCTTTTCTTTGATGATGTGACGTTTGTCGAGGACTTTGATGGCGTATTCTTTCAGGGTTGTGCGATCTGTTGCGGCCATGACGGTCGAATACGAACCCTCACCCAAAGTCCGACCAAACTGAAAGTCCTTGACGCCCTTCTTAATAATCCGAGCGCCATCTGCGGATTTCATCACTGCAGCCCCACGTTCCGCCCAATCCTCCTCCCGCGATTTTTTAGTCTGCACTTGTGATAACGGACGAGGCATATCCTGCCCCGATGGTTGCCGCGATCGTGAACGGTCTGCCGGTGGTGGCCTCTGCTGTCGTCGCTGTACTTCAGGATCGGAATACGGCGCCTGAACATGGTGACGTGCTTTGACCGGACTCGACTGCCGGTTTGCACTTCGTGGTCGTGAGTGGGAGTCGTCACGGTGAGAGTGATAGCTCCGTTCTGAGTGGTAAGAATCTCGGGCGCGTGAGCGGTCGTGTTCACCGTTTGGCACACTTAGCCCCATAGCCGTGCTTTTCTGTTCCCGAACCCCCGGTACCGGTCCTCCATTGGTGTAAGCACTCGAACTCGATGGCGGCGCAGAGTAGTAATCCGGATCCGCAACATCAGGTAATGTTGCCTTCACTGCAGCCCGCGAATCCTCCTTCGCCGTCTCGTTCTCCTTTCTGGCACTTGTCGCACTACGCACACTCACGCTCGAATCACTCCTCGTATCCGCACCACTTCCGCCACTCCCGCTCCCACTCGCACTCACTCCACCCACAGGAACCCCAAAATTCGTCAACGAACTCGTCGCGCTGGGTGGAGCCGAAAACCGTTCGTTGGCCGCGTCTCGCGTCAGATGGGCGGCGAAGTGCGCAGCTCGAGGCGTCGGTTCGTCTTCACCCTCTCCTTCGCGTCCTATCTCAATAGTCGACGATACTATAGGCACATGCTCTGACGTTGGTGGTAGTGACGATGACGGCGATCGCGTTAACCCGAGAGACCCCCCTCCATCGCCCTCCCGCCGCGACTCCTTCTCCGACGCATCGTCCGGATTCGCAATATGCAACTCCCCTAATCTCATATCATTCGTATCCATTCCTCCAATTCGAAATACCTCCTTGTGTTGGTGTTCAGTTCACCTTCCGCAGCAGCCGCTGCCAATTCAACATTACAGTTGCCGTGCGCTTAATAAAGTTAGTCCACGTATACGTCAACGAGATCTAAGAGAGACCATCCGAAGACCCAACTGCAAAATGGCCGAGGAAATCGACGAGTGGGATAAACGAATCCAGGATACAGGGTGTGCAAAGGAGAATGAAGCTGTGCTGATTTGTTACGCGGATAAGGGACGGGACTGGCGGGCATGTAAGGAAGAGGTGCGTTGATCCATGATGTAGGACGGCAAGGAAGGAAGAGCTGATCCATGTGATGATAGGTCGCAAAATTCAAGGCGTGTCATGATAGATATGTCAAGATGAAGGAGGCAGCGGAGGGCGTCAAGCTCGTCCGCTGAATGCACCACGAGAAACGAGAGCTGAGGATTTCTTGCATGCGCATACACGATACCCGTATTCTCCAGTCAGTCAAAAAGAGAAGTGCTTTGCATTGCATTATGAGAAAAAGAACCGTCTATCCCACCCAAATGCGCCCAAAAATCAGTATCCCTGTATCCTCACCCCTACCTCTCTCCCTACCCACCCATCCCTCGCTCTCATCTTCACATGTCTCTGCCGTTCCTCTATTCCCGAGATCAGATCACTGCGGCTCCTCCTTAACCCTCCCCAACCCCAACCCCCCCACCTCCTCCGTCTCCTCCCTAATCCCCCTCATCTGCTCCTCACCCATCCCAGGCCGTGGACTCTCCGCATTCATCAACCCAGCCAACCCCATCCTCCCACTCGCATGTGAGTTGTGGTTATGATCCACTCTAAACGAAAGCGCAGACGCCTCTGAGCGGTGCCGAGCATGACCACGCGTATGTCCAACCCCCAACGAATTACTCGCCGTCCTCTTCCGTTTAGGCGGGGAGTGCATTCCATTCACAGTTCCAGTTCCTCCTGCGCCTGTACCATCGATCCCCATTTCTGAGGCGAAGAGGAACGTGCCACGCATGGGAGAGCCAGATGCGGGGCCAGTCGTCGGAATTGGCGCGGGTGGTTGCCAATGATGGAAACTTATTGCTGGGATCTTGTTTGTGTTCGAGGAGGGATCCTCGATAGCGCCAGTGCTCGTCGTGGGCCGTGCTGGAATAACCGGGATCTGCCTCATCGGAATCCCACCAGCACCAGCACCAGCACCAGCGCCATTCGCCGTGGCAACACCAGCGGCAGCGGCTGCCGCCGCCGCAGCAGCCACATTGGGGTGTGCTGGATTCGAGGGATCGTGGGCACGTGGGTGCGGTTGCGGTTGTGGTGCCCTTAACAAACTCTGCGCCGCCAGAATCCTCTCCCGTTCCCTCTCCCTCTCCCCATCCTCCACCCCACCACCACCACCGCCACCCCCCGCCGACCCCTCCTCACTCCCATCCCTCCCCCCAGACGCACCCAACAACCTAACCGGATCAACACCCATCCTCCCCGCCACCCTCACGATCTCCAACTCCAACGCGACACGTCTCGTCCGCTCTTCTTCCACCCTGACCCGATCCGCTGCGATCTTGGCTTGGAGGACGAGGCGGAGGGTGTCGTCGTTCCCCGTCCATCGTTCGAGGATGTCGCGGAGTGTCAATTCGGGGCGCGGTACGGGCACGATGGGGATTGGTACGGGTCCGGGGTGGGGGTGGGGGTGATGCATACCGAAGGGCGAGTTAGTGGATTGGGAGCGGAGGTGGCCGGTATGTCGCGGTGGGAGTGCTGTTGGGGTGTTTGTTTGTGGTTGGTTCATGTTCATGTTCATATTCATGTTGTTCGCTGTTCTGCTAGACTGTGATTGTAGCTGCGGTTGTTGTGATTGGTGGCCGCTGAATTGCAATTGTCGAGGTCGCTGTTGGCGGGTATCTGAACGAAAGACTGCACCTGTGTTGTCGGCCTGCGAACGGGATTGTGCGGCGCTGAGGAGGAGGTCCAGGATGGGCAACCTTCAGAGCACGGCGATATGTGGGGTTATGGTCGAGGTTACCGTATCACCGAGATTGTCGAGGAAAGTGTAACGTAGATAATGCTGGAAGGTAACCGTTAGCATGAAGTACGTTTACGCACGGGCGGTCAGAGTAACGTTGACTCGACACGATTGACCACACAATAGACAACAACGTACCTCGAATCAGACTGTATACTCTGACCGTATAAGCTTGCTGATATGGCGGTACCGGTCGACTGATTTGGAGGGGAGTTTGATCCAACCTGCGAGTCCAATGCGGGCGAACCGTCCAACTTGGGCGTACCCTTCCCAATTGGGCCACCAATCGCGCGCAATTGCAATGGCAATGGAGACTTGATGTAGAAACGTCGAATTCATAATGAGATTTCCTACTCTACTCTGTAGATTCATGTTGCAGTTCTTCAGACTGAGCCGAGCCCGCAAGTTGGTGCTACTCTGTGAGCAGGTAGGAGGCAGGTGTACCAGCTGGGTTTGCTCAGCCTCTACTCTACACACATAAGCTGCGTAAGCTTAGTCCAATAAAGACCATTCACCCTACGCTCGTAGAAGCAAGTATCATGACTCTGCAACTCCCCCTCCGTAATCCATCCTCAATTCTCCTTCCACAACACCTTCTCCACCACGCTCCTATGATTCCCATCCTCCTTGTCCGGTCTAAATCTATTGAATCTTTTCCACTTCAGACTACGACAAACTTAACCCTCAATCTTTAGGTGTGTATCGTGCAGTACCTACATTTTGTCTGATGTGCCAGACTCGTATGGCGCGATGCGATTTGTGAAGATAACCCCTTCTCCTCGATGCTGTTTATCTAGAATAGTGACGATCGCAGAGTAGCAGAACGGGAACACTCACAACAGTGGCGGCGGTCGTCTCTTCTCTGTGCGCATCTTCACACGGTATTGCTCATATGGCACACCAATGTTTTCCCTAAATGGGTACGAACATGAGCATGGAAGACGACATTGCGATTGAAAGCTTACTTGACTGGAATAAGAATACTCGTACAATCATCTGCCAAAAAAGAACCTAGCCAGGGCGGCACGCCAGCGCAACTGCCCTACGTATCATTTCACTCACACTCCCACGCCGTCCCTCACCACTCCATATCCCCAAACTCCTCCAACTCCAAACCCCTCTCCTCCTCGAGACTCCCAACCTCAACCCTAACCTTAACAACCTCGACATCCCTCCACACCATCTCCCACTGCAGTCCATCCAAACCCTCTCCCTCTCCATGTCCCGTTCTCAACTGTCCCGTTCTCAACCCGACCCAAATCGCCCTCGGTTTCCTCGAATTGTCTGTCGACACTTTCCCAGCTACAGGAGGACCCTCGACAACCCTCTCCACCTCCGCCATGAGTTGTTGCCACGAAAAGCGTGGATGCGCGATAGTGTGGAAGGTCGAACCCACCGCCCTCCCGTGCGACAATGTCGTCAGATCTAACACTAAATGGCCGCGGCATCCTCGTGGGGAGACACGCGGTGGGATTAGGTCGTCTGGCTGGTAGCCGAGATACAAATCCCTCCTCCCTCTCGCCTCATCGCGAACGGCGGGGAATCCTCCATTGAGGTCGATACCGAGACCGATCGTGGGTGGACGGTGTTCTACGACGTAGGGGTAGTCGTCGTCCTCATCAGAATACGCAAGGAAAAGTTTGTTATCCCAAGCGTAGGTCGCATGTGGAGTCTGCGGCGGCGTCAATACATCCCTCTCCCTCGCGGTTTGATGGACGTTGACGTCGACGTCGGTGCGGGTACTCGACGGGGAGTTCGGTGGCGATAGGTTCACGTTCGAAGGTAAGATATGAATTGGATCAGCGGCTGGCATGATCGTTAACCCCATCGTCGTATGTCGTAGTCACTTCGAGAGCTTCACAGTTGATATATAACAGTGCCAATTGCAATGGGGTTGAAGTCCGTCATCCCTAACCATCTGATGGTCGATCAAGCTTTTTATACGCTCTATTGCAATTTGAGGGTGGGGAAAGCTTAATCACCTGCCCAGCGGCCCGCGGGTCGCCTCATGCTCCATGCCTGTTCGAAATGCGGGCGTGTTTGACACACGTGCACTCAGAATAAGGTCGACAATTGCGCAATTGCACGCAGTCAGAAATGACCCGGGGTCCAGCTGCTTGTCTCGGCGAAACACTGACTGGTCTTGATTCAGTCTCTTCAAGCGAGCGGCTCCAGCGCACAGGGCACGGCTTGGCCGCGCGGGTGGGGGTGGGGGAAACGGGATAGAAGCTTAGCATTGAAAAGGAAACCGTGCGTTGCGCGTTGATGGGAATTGCGACGTTTTCAAGCAATGGGTATTACGCAGTTCCCGCGGAGTGCTGAGACCGTAGGGTAGCCTTTAGTATTGCTAATCATTATCGTTGATGCATGGGGTGATCTGCCAGCTGCCATCTAGGGCACTCACGCCATGATACTATCGCTCTTTCTTGCTTTCTGATCGCGGTTGGAGAAGCTCGACCCAGCTGCAGTAACGGCTTTCGGACTCTTCATGTTCGTCCAGCCGCGGGTCTCGAAGCAACTGCAGGTTTTCTGTGATTAGATTGCGCCGCGAGTGCTCTTCGGATATGTAATTGTTGGCGAAGATAGGCGTTCACAGCCGAGACGTCATGTCGATCCGGTGAAAGTCAAACCCCCTTGACGTGTCACATCTTCCTTCACACAAACGCTCATCCTAATCCCCACCATAGCTCACCCCCCCCCCCCCCCTCCCTCACTCCCAATAACCTCCCTTACCCCCCTCCAAACCTCCTCAAGCACCCCCCTCCTCGGCACCAACCCCCCAAACACAACCTCCAACACATCCTCCCCCTCCACCAGCACAGCCAAATAATACCGTACTTCGAGTCCTATGATAGCTTCGTGAATGATCACGTCTTTGATTGCGGAGATTGGGATGAACCGGGAGGCGGAGGAAAAGAAAGGGAAGGGGTGGCGGGAGGAGGTTGTTTGGAGGCCGAGGGAGCGGAGGGCGAGGAGGGATTCTTCTGTGTGTACGAGTGTTAGCGAGTCCGTTGTGCGTTTGCAAGAGAAGATGTGTATATGTATACATACCTTGTGGTAGAGACGGTGGTAAACTCCACAACACCCCAGCCCCCAAAACCCACACCCACACCGGCGCCAAACCCCTAACCCACCCCACCTCATCCGGTACCTTCTCCAACTTCAGCAATACCCCCAACCCCGCGACCACGATGGCGAGAGAGCGCAGGATGAGGTTGATGAGGGTGTAGGTGCGGTGTTGGAGGGGTGAGAGGGGGGGTCTGTCGCTGTAGGTGAATTCGACTGTACAGGGGGATGGACGGCGGGTGCGGAGGGGCATGTTTTTCTATGACATTTATTCCGTATCCTTTGACTTGCAATTGCGAGTATGGTGGTTTGGCTGTTACCTGGTATCTGGACCGGCAACCTTATTTCGACCGGCGCGATATGATGGATGTCACGTGCACGAGCGCAGCGCGGCGACGTTGCGACGACGTGTAACGAAGAACTGGACGGCATCGCGATGAAGGGGAACGGCATTTATCCCGCTGAAGGGTTCATGGACCATGACGGTGATCACGATCAAGGTTCACGCCTCTCACGGGGACTTCAAGATGCATGGCTAACGATCGAACCAGTCCCCTCAGACAACTACGATCAACGACAGAACAGCGTCGGTACGTCCTCACAGCCTTCAACAGCCTGGACATCCCCAGATCAACCCATACCAGCCGGGTTACCAATCGATCCCATGGCGCAACCACAATATTCGACGGAGACAGCAGCCTCAGCCCCAACAGCTATGAGGGAGAACCCACACCTGATCTCGCCCGTTCCTCCAGCACAGCATGAATTCCCACCCTCGCCCCAACACCACCCAGCACCAGCGACGTCCCAATCCCCACCCACCCCAACACCCGCCGACATCGAAAAAGCCCGCATCGCAACCCTCCTCGAAATCAACACCCTCCTCTTCCGCGCATGTCTAGCAACGACACCACCCGACACCCCCATCCCCATGACTCCACAAAACAAAGAGTGTATGGAGAGACTTCAAGCCAACTTAGCATACCTCGCGACTATGGCTGATTCGAGAACGAGAAATGGCAAGGCGGGGGGTGGGAGGAGAGTGAGTTTACCTGTGCCGAAGGTGATGACGGCTCCTGCACATGTGCCCGAGGTGGAGGGGTTGTATCGGCGGTTGGCTGGGTTGTTTGCTGGGGTTGGTGTGGGACGTTCACTGTCCATTACCTCGAACACCTCACCACCAACTCAGCACCAGGGCCCACCAGCTGCAGCTGCAACTCATTTCAACGAACAGCAACACGTGCTAGCAATTCAGTCACCACCACCACCACCACCGACCTTTCACCAAACTCAAACGGGTGTACCCATGCCACAGCCACAGGCCCCGGCTCCGATACCGATGTCAGGAGGACCAGGGCGGGGACAATTGGGTCCGGGACAGGGTGTGTGGCAGGCACGGCCTCCACCACCTCAACAGCTGTCGTTCCCGGGTGGACACCAAGGACCACCACACCCACAGCCCATGCTCCCAAGTGGTTCGAACCCCGGACAGCCCCTAGGAATGGGCGCGATAGGAGGACCAGGAGGAGGGATAGGAGGCCAAGCACAGGATATCCAGAGAAGGATGTTAATGCAACAGCAACTTGCGCAACAACGACGACGGATACAGCAACAACGAGAACAACAACAAGCTCTGCCGACGGCGATGGTTGGGAATGGGTCTCTGCCTGGCCACGATATGGGTTTGAGTGGGATGCCCGGGATGGGAGGGATGTCGATGAGTCCGCCTCCGCCGGGTAGTGTAGGCGGGGCTCAAAGTGATGGAGGTGGCCGTGGTATGGGATTAGGGCCACCACCGCCGGGAAGTGCGGGGAGTGTGAATGGTGCGGGAGGGGGACAGCAGGGACAAGGGTTGGGTGGGATGCAGGGATGGTTCGCTACCTAAAAGGATATGGACATTTGGAGGAAGGGTATCGAGGAGGGTTGTCGGGGAATGACGATGATCTCGCCGGCGCAGATCTGTTCATATGTATCCCAGGATCATGGTTCGCTACCCAAGATGATGGTTGGGTTTGGGCGTTTGGAAGAGGAGAGGGGAGGACGGGGAAGGTAAAGGATATCGAGGGTATATTTAAGTATGCCAGTGTCGAGGGAGCATCAACTCGTATCTAGATCTGCTCATACGTGTCCCAGTATCATCATATCCAACGCTCGTGTCATAGTGTAGGGCAGATATATGTCCCGCCGTGAGATCAACCAATCCACATCTCCACACGCCCAGCTGTATCTCAACTCGGACGCTCGTACGACTCGGAAGCTCGCCACCGCGCGTCACCACTCAACCTAACGTTGATGCCGGCGGCATCCCAACCCCACCTCCACTCCAAAAAACGGATGCCTCGTCGCCTCCTGTGCCGTCATCCTCTCCCGCTGACTAAACCTAACCATCCTCCCCACCAAATCCACACCCTCCGCACACACCCCCTCCCCCATCGCTCCCCGAATCCCAATCCCTTCATGGTGCGCGAAGCTGAAATGGGAGAAGTGTGGGAAGGAGGCGGATTCGGGCCAGGATTCGGTGGTTGGGGTACCGAGGGTGCAGAAGTGGGTTGAGAGGAGGGCTAGGTCGCTATCCTCCACTTCGGGGTTGAATAGAGGTGTCGAGGTGGGGGAGAGGAGGGTCGCGATCGTGCAGCCCCAGGACCAGAGATCCAATTCTGTACCATAGGAGTTGTGCCCGAAGATGAGTTCGGGGGGACGGTAGTAGGCTGTGCAGACGTCTGTGATTAGGTTGGAGGGTGATTCGCTCGGCCCCGGGAACTCGGGGGAGAAAGAACATCCAAAGTCGATGAGTCGCGGGACGCCTGAGGGGTGCGGGGAGGAGAGGAGGATGTTGGAAGGTTTGATGTCGCGGTGGATGATGGATTTGGAGTGGATGAATGCGATCGCGGAATTGATGTCTCGGAGATGTCGGCGGAGGAGTAGGCTGGAGTGTGAGATCAAGCCGGACGCGACGGCGTGACCGAGTTCGTAGGGATAGAATGGGAACGCGATAACGAATTCCTCGGGTCCATTCGCGTGCGTGTAGAAATTGTCGAGTAGTTCAACAACATTCCTCTCCTCCGCCAACTCCTCCAATATATCAGCTTCACGGAGCGAATCGTGCGGAGGCCGCGGGTGGGGTGACGTAAACTTCAGCGCGACGGGGATGGAGTGGAGGATTGAGATGGCTCTGGATACGGCGGATGAGGCACCGTCGGCGCAGGGTTCTATTGAGGTGAAGTTTTGGAGGAGGTAGTCTCGTTCGTCGAAGCCGCCTGGAGGGGAGGTCGGGCTTTGGATTGGCGAAGATGCCATTTGAATGCCGAGCTCGGTCGATTGGCAATGAGTGGAGGAGCTGGATGGTGTTCAGTTTTGTTGGCCGGTGTCGAAAATCAATCGTCGAGTTTGGCGGGCCGAGCGCGGCTCATTGCGTGGGGACTGCAGGAAGGCGACTGCAAACATTGGGAACCTTAAATTCGATCGATTCTTCAGTTCGAAGATCCAGTCGTTACGACGTAAACAACTCACTGACAAAGAGCCTTGGACTGTCATGGCATCCGTAGTGCTGAATCAAGCGGTCACTAATCTCGCGGACGGAACTCTGCTGGAGAAAGAGCTTGACCCCTCGATCATCGTCGCTCCAGCCGCCGACGTCTCAATCACATCGTCTCCCATTACTATCCCTCTACAGACTATACCAGAAGACCGCCCTTCAACTCCTTCTCTACAACGACGCGATTCGCCCCGCGCCCAACTCCGACCCCAACCCTCCAACCGAACATCAACCTACTCCGTATGTTCCGAAGCCGAAGAACTCCACTCATTCCGGATACGAAACCAATACGACGAAGACTGTCTCGGTGAAGAGCGTGGTGAGGACTGGTCCGGCGTTTCTGCGGGGGAGGTTGATCGGTTTGGGTTCGTCCCGTCCGAGAAGGGGCGGGGAGAGGTTGTCAGAATTGGGATTGATAAGACAGGGCTGAGGAGGAGTTTGTCCTTGGTGAGGCCGACGTTGACGTTGAGAGCTCTCATGAGCGAGGACGCAACCTCTGTTACATCTAACTTGACCTCGACCATCGACCAGCAATCCGACCTCGCAGCCCAACCAACCTCCGAATACTCCCTCAAAGAATCCTCACGAACCAGAAAATGGGCTAAAATGGCACTCAAACGCCTCGAGAAGGGAAATACGACCTACACCTTCCCCACCACCCACCCAAAACTCTTGAAGCGGACGTTTAAGGGTATACCGGATTGCTGGCGTTCGAGCGCATGGCTCTCATTCCTCTCCTCCTCTGCATCCCAACGGCGAGCCTCAGGCGACGCCGTACCGACCGACGCCGAACTCCTTGCCGAATACGAACGGTTACAGGATGAGGCGAGTCCGTGTGATCCACAAATCGATCTCGACGTCCCACGAACAATCCACCACCACCTCCTTTTCCGGCGTCGCTACAGCGGTGGACAACGACTCTTGTTCCGTGTGCTACATGCGTTATCGCTCCACTTCCCGCATATTGGATACGTCCAAGGCATGGCATCACTCATCGCCACTCTCCTCTGCTACTACACCGAAGAACTAGCATTCGTCGTCGCTGTCCGAGTCTGGGAGGAGCGGGGCGTAGGGGCACTCTACGAGGGAGAGCAATTTGGGGGTTTGATGAGGGCGTTTGCGGAGTTGGGGGAGGGGATAGAAGAGAGAGCCGTGGGGAGGTCTTTGGAGGAGAAAGGGGTCGAGCCGATTGGGTATGCGACAAGGTGGTATTTGACGCTGTTTTCGTATACGGTTGGGTTTCGGACACAACTCAGAATATGGGATGTGTTCATGCTCGGACCCGCCCCACCATCGACTCATCACCAACGCAAGGACGCAGCGGGAGAAGGAGCAGGAGGGAGGGAAGTGACACACCCCATCCTACAAGCAGTAAGTCTGGCGTTGATGGAGGAGATGGTGGAGCATCAGGATTTGCTACATGCGGATTTCGAGAGGGCGATGAGGGTTTTGGGGGGGAGGTTGGAGGTTGAGGATGATGAGGTGCTCATGAGGAGGGTTTGGGGGGAGTGGAGAGCGATGTGAGCGACGAGGGAGACAAGGGTTCGTGGACCGGCTCGGCATGGCGTGGCATGGGAAAAAAGTGCGTTTCTTGCTTTTGGGATATTGATACCTAGTGGTTTGGTGTGTGCGGGGTGCAGTGCTGGACACTGTTTGTATCGCTATTATATTATCCTTGATAATTTGATACTTTGCATTCATCTCATCTATCGTACCTCTACATACCGTCCATCTTTTCGTTCATGATGCCTTCTTATTATGCTCCAACGCAACAACCTGCTCAAACGTCTCCTTATTCAACGCAAACGCCCTAATATAGTCAACCTCAAGCTCATGCACCCTACTCCCAAGCAACACCAACGAATGCAACGGGGGTCCCAAATCCGCCTCCGAGAGCTCCTGCAGCGTTCCCGTAACGATTCTCTGATCGTGGGATCCGATTCTCGAGACACCGATTGCGATGGTGTTGGGTGTGTATACGCCCTCACCCCGGAGTTCCTCAATCTCGAGCATCTGCTCCGCACACTGCGCAACAGTCATATACCTCGGCGGCTCATAAATCTTCCTCCCCCTCGCCATATTCTCAAAACTCTGTTCCTTGACCTTAATATCCAACAACACCAACGTATGCAACCCGATATCCCTGTTTTCCTTGATACGGTCGTAGAAGGAGTCTGGACGCCAGGTGGGGGTGAAGAATACCATGGAGACGGTTTGGCCAAAGTTGTAGAGTTGGAGGCCGCAGGCGCCGATTGCGTTCATGATTGAGGCGTTGTGGATGATTTCGACTTTGATGGAGAGTTCGTGGGCGCGGATGACGAGGTCCGTGTGGGTTGTTGCGCTGTATGGCCAACCGTCAGTCCTGCGGATCAAAAAATCGACTTGGATTTTGGGGGGAATCGTACCCAAATGGATCTCCGACAACGAGGAACGCGACATTCTTCTCCTGCGCCCCATCGAGGATCTTATCACTCTCACTCTCGACCATCTCCCTATCGGCAACAACGACCTCCTTCCCGTAAAACTCGGACAACTTCTCCGTGTCGACCATGAGGATGGAGGTGTAGGCTTCGAGGTAGACGCGCTCGCAGGATTTTACGGCTTCGAGACCGCGGACGGTGATGTCCTTTTCGGAGGAGAGACCGAGACCGACGACGTAGAGGACCATTGGAGCTGAGGAGATGGAGGGGAGGGTTACCGACAGGCTCGAAATAAGGTTTGGAGATTTCGAGGTTTGGAGGTGGCGCGGCAGGGGAGGGTGTACCGCAGTCCGCCGTTCAGCTGCTCCAAACGCAACGATGGCAGCATACAAATCAACGCCGTCAGACTTCCCTCCCCGCCTCGTCGCAATCTTCTTCGCCGTCTTCGATCCGCAGTTAGGCCCGCACGTCCTCCATCAAGTCCCCTCCGCTTCGATTCACCCGCAATCACCCTCGGCATTATTTGACTTCGAGGCACTGTCCGAGTACATCATTCCAAAACCTCAGTTATGCTCGAGGTTGATTCAGATATGTTCGCGTGGGTATAGAGTGCTCGGATGGCCAATATGTATGGTGGATAAGAAGTACGAGCGAAATGCGTTAATGTTCAATCTATGTTGCGTGTTTGAAGAGGGAGCGGATTCGTCGTGCTACGTATCCATCGTACGGCGACTAAACAGAGTCTTCAAACGCTTAGAGGTAAGATATACGGCCGAGTCGATTGTGTGTATGTCACTAACGGGAATCATCCTACAGGAGCAAAACGCATTCATCTCCAACCCCCAAAACGCCCTCCAAATCCACAACATCATCGAACAAGTCTTCGAGGATCTCAATAATTATTGTGAATGCATGATCCCCATCAACGACGCCAATACCATCAACCTCAAGCTGTTCCCGTCGTATCCGCAGCCGCCGCCGGTGAAGGCGTATCACGTACCGATTTTGACTGTGCGGTTAGAGGCGCTGATGGACGTGAATTGGGATTTAACGATGCAGAAGGTGATCCCATTTATCGATGGTATCAACAGCGTGAGAAGGATAAGTGATATCGCCGACGTGGATTACGTCCTAGCAAAGAAATGCATGGAACACCTACTGTATGTACCAACCCCCACGAACCCCAAAAACATCGTGCTGACGTGGTGTGGTGCGCATACAGCTACTACGGCTGTCTTCTCATGACCGACATCTTCCAATTCTCAAACGTCTACGCCCCAACCCCCCTCCTCGAAAACATCGTCACAGACCCCCCCCTCCAACACGAATGCCAAGCCTACGTCTCCTCCCACGGTCCCTCCTCCGCTCCCAAAATCCCATTCGCAAGATTGTTTGAGTTGTACTGCTCACTCCGGCAAGGTACCCGTCTCACAGAATGGATGGAGGCGAATGAGACGAAACTAGAGGGGATTGATGTCAGGAGGTTTGTTAGTTTTGGGTGTATTAAGGGGTTTTTGTATCGGGTGAGACGGTATCCAGTGTTGGAGGAGGGTGTGGAGGGGAGTACGGGTGCTGGATCGGGGAGGAAGGGGGTGCCGTTGATGAGGTATTTGGATGGGACGAGTACGTTTGATGAGATTGCGACGGATTTGCAGTGTCCGCCGGCGCAGATTGAGAAGGCATTGAAGGGGTATGATCGGACGATGAAGTATATTTATCGGTAGCGTAATGAGGAGGAGTCAGGACGCTACGCTTGTAGTCTTCCTTCTACAGCATCTCTTCTTTTTCTTTGACTCAGAGTACCGTATCCACCGCATCGTAATGATCCCCAACCAACCTGTAAAGATAACTCGGTGGGTGACCTCCCAAGTTCGTAATGTAAAGCTGAACCAACTCCGGCGAAACGTAATCATAGTACGGGTTAATGACCTCAACCTTGTCAATCAAATCACCCTCCTCGAACCCAAGAACCTTCTCAGGGCTTACCAACTCCATAAAGCTCTCGACGTCATGCGGATACATTGGACTCAACTTATAGAGTCCGGTACAGCATACGACGGGGATGGAATGTCTCTGTGCTGCGGCTGCAATCATCCTTGCACCACTCGAAGCCAGTAATCCCCCGTTCGCCAGGACAGAGTGGGTACCCAAGAGGACCTTGTTCACTCGGGACATCATTGCGAACACTGCGCTTTCAGGAATGACGATGACGTCGATACCGGCCTTTGACAGTGTTGTTGCCATGGAGTGCGTGGGCTTGAGGTCGTTTGGCATAGCCTCCGCAAGGATAACGGTAAACTTTCGCTTCTTGGCTGCGTGTCGGAGGAAGGATTCAACGGTCTTGGAGGATGCGTGGGTCATAATGATTTCGCTATCATGCAATTAGCAACAATTTGCAACTGGTAGATGTGCAAGTAACTCACTTGGAGTGAATGTGATCCAGAGCCTGCGCACTGATGTTCTCATATATTGTCTTCAACTCATCAATAAACTCCTGAATCCCCTGAATAATCTGCGGCTTCAAGTCGAAATGCTGCTGCTCTTGCCGTGAGGTCATAGATTTTGCTGGTTGTGCACCATTGGAGGGATGGAACATATTGGAGACAATAGGGGAGAGTGTAAGGCGGTCGAACTGGAAGTTATCCGGTGCAATTGTTGCAGGGGTCATGGGGGTAAAGGGTGCCGTCTCCCCAATTAGTTCTCGCAGTTCTCGATATTCTTCGCGGATGACTCGTAGGATGCGTCGAACGACATTACCACAGGCAAGCTCTGTACTGCCCGTTAGCACACCATCATACGTCCCTGCCCACTCATAGCTCACCTCTCGGAGCAGCTTTAACGAGCCGTCGTCCAATCTCCTTCACCTGATCCACCAATTGATCCTGGTTCGACCATCGCGCATTGGACACGACCTGTCTTAGCACCAACGCAGTCTCGAGTGCGACGTTGTGAGATCCACGGATTTGCTTCCGCTTCAAACGAGCCGCGAGCGACTCGACAGCAGCATTCACGTTCGACATCTTGAGGGTTTCGAAAAGTCTGTTGTTTCCTCGCAATATGCCTGCGGTTGATTTGGAGGTGCCCCTGCTGCGCCCGGTGTACGGCGGGGAACGCGATGCTCTGTTTGGTCGAACATAAGGGAGACGAGTATCGGTAACACCCCCAAGATGACGACTCCAGAACGAAAATATCGCGTGGAGATCCAATCCATGATGTACGTCTCCGGCGAAATCGCGGATCCACTCCCCGAGGTCACCGGTCTCGTCGAGGACATCGTCCGCTCCCAAGTCGTCGAGCTCCTCCTTTGCGCAACACAGCAGTCAGCTCGGCGCGGCTCACGATCGATCGGTGTCGAGGATCTGATCTTTATTATTCGAGGGGATAAAGCGAAGGTTTCGCGGCTGCGGAATTATCTGAGTTGGAAGGATGTGAGGAAGAACGCAAAAGAAGAGGGCGGAGGCGGCGATACGGAAGCAAACCTCCTCGACGACCCCGCAACCACAAACGCACCCGGCGGCCCTGTCGCTGCACCCGGCAAAATCCGTAAAGCCAAAGTCCGACTCCCTTGGGATCTCTCCTCCATTATCCCCATCGAGTCGCTCCACGACCCCGATAACCCGGAAGAAGAAGACGAGGAGGATATCGAGGCCAACCAAGCCACGCTCGAAAGACTGAAAAACGCGGATGAGAGAACGAGAGTCATGAGTCGGGATGAGTACGTGCATTGGTCGGAGTGTCGACAAGCTTCATTTACGTATCGGAAGTCGAAGAGGTTTAGGGAGTGGTGTGGGATGGGCGCTGTCGTCGAGACCAAACCCAGTGACGAGATTGTCGATATTTTGGGTTTCTTGACGTTTGAGATGGTTACGACGATTACGGAGGAGGCACTGAAAGTGCGTGCGACGGAACAATTACTACAAGGACAGGAAGGAGGACGGAAGGGAAGGAAGAAGGAGCCTGGATTGTTTGATGGGCCGGAGGAAGGGGTTGAGCCATTGCAGATTAGACACGTGGAGGAGGCGTATCGCCGCTTACAGCGGGTTGGTAAAGGACGTGGGCTGAGGACTTTCCAGGGTGGTCTTGTGAGAAGTCGTGTTACTCTGATCTGAGGGATCGATCCAACAGGGGAGGAAGCAAGTCATGCATTTGTGGCTCCAGGTATTGGCGTTTTGGGTTTTCATGATAACCAATGAATCGGTAGTACGGGTATGGTATAATATTATTCTCTGTCTAATAATCCCCATGCCTATACCTTCGTCGTCCCAAACCCCCCAAACCCCATCGCCCTCATCATCGCTTCCTGATCATCAACATCCATGGCCCCTCCACCCTTCTTCTCCGCCTCCTCCTTCTCCCGCTTCTCCTTCGCCTCCCTCTCTTTCTGCCTCTTCTTCTCCCGCTTCACTCTCCGTTCTTCAGCTTCTATTCTCTGTCGTTCAGCTAATCGCGAGGTCAAGTTGATCGGCTGTCCCGATGCGCGGAGTGCGTCGTGTTTCTTTTGCCGCAGCCAGGCGAGGCGGGCGCGGACCTCTTCGAGGGTTGCTCGGGTTTGGTTCAGAGATTGTCCGCTTTTTCGGAGATCTGTGAGTGAATATACGTCAGCATATCACTTAGACGGATGGTCTGGGTGCTTACGTTGTACGCTGTTCAAGTGATCCACCCAACTGAGCGAGTCCTTGTAGGTCTCATCACAGACATCACAGTAAAACCCCGCTCCCTTCCCCCGTCTTCCCATCCCAACACCCGCCGGTACTAGTGTCGTCTTATTCACATTTTCCTCAATATTCAGCCGTTCTCGTCGTGCTTCGATGCGCCGCGCATCAGGCGGTGAAGGTTCTCTGCGCCGTACACCGGCTTTGACGTCACGACGGGCTTGTCGTTCTTCGTATTCGCGTTGTTCACGTTCTTTTGCTTTTTGTGCCCATTCCGCCTCGTCGTATTTCTTCCTGAAGTCGCCGGACATTCTTTCGATCTCTGAAGTTTACCGATTGTTGTACTCGGGGAGGTTAGGAATGTCTACGTTACCGCTTCACGTGATCACGCAACCAAATGCAGGCCGCACGCACTTTTTTGGGCAACCGATCTCCTCCGTCCTCCTCGCTCCAAATCCCCATTGATTCCGCCATACAGCCCTCACGATGTCAAAGCTGTCATGGGAGGACTCAGTCCTCAACAATCCCGCCGGTCCAGGTCTTCCTGAGACGCTGAGCCAGCTCACCCCCGAAAACCGGGACGAGTTTTACGCGAGCATGAACCGTATCCCATTGTTCATGACCCAGCTCACCGACGACGCACAAGAGGACAACCCCGGACTCGAGGCCTTGAAAGCACTCGCGTATGAGGGTGAGCCAGATGAAGTCGCCACGAACTTCCGTCAACAAGGAAACGAAGCATTCCGCGAAAAACGCTGGCGGGACGCGGTGGAGTTCTATACGAAGGCCATACAGGTCAAGTGTGGTGTGAACGAGCTCGACGAAGCATGCTACGCCAACCGCGCCGCATCAAATCTGGAACTCCAAAACTACCGCAAAGTCCTCGCCGACACCTCCGCCTGCCTCAAACTCAACCCACAGAACCTCAAGGCACTCTACCGCGCCGCACGAGCCCTCCTCGCGCTCGACAAGCTGGACGAAGCCCAAGACGCACTCGACCACGCCCTCTCCCTCGACCCCTCTAACGCTTCATTAAAGATCTTCAAGGTCTCATTGGAAAAGAGGAAGACAGCAGTCAAGGAAAAACAAGAATCAGAAAACCGCAGAAAAGCAGCTGAAGATGCAAAAAAGCAAGCATTCGCGACCGCCGTAGCGGCGAGGAATTATACACTCACGACGACACCCAACCCCCCCGACATGGCCGACGCCCAAATCCACCTTACGGACCCAACTGACGCCGCATCCGTTCTCAACTTCCCTACTCTTCTGTTGTATCCGTTACATGCACAAACTGACTTCATCGCCGCACTCCCCGAAACATCCACAATCGCCGACGTGTTAGACACTGTCCTCACAACCCCAGCAGACTGGGACACATCCCGGGAATACACGCCCAGGGGTGTCGAATGCTACGTACAAACCACGGGCGACAACCGTGCGGGGTTGATGAAGGTTGGACGTAAATTGGGGGTGTGGGAGATTTTGGGGAGTGGGAAGGTCGAGGTGCAGGATCAGTGTTTGAGGATTATGGTTGTGCCGAAGGGGAAGAGTGAAGCTTGGATCAAGGATTTTAAGGAGAAGGTTGGGAAGGGGCCGTAGAGTTTGCCTTAGTTGTCCTTGTGACGCGATAATAAAGATAAAGATAGAAATATCCAAACTGCCATATGCGCTATCTGATTACCCAACGTCGTCTAACAAAACACCCAATGATGCAATTGAGACAACGACCACTCCTCACTTATACCCCATCGTCTTCTCATAATCTTCGACCTCTTCTCTCGTCAACTTATCCTGCCCACTCCAATTCGCACTCGAACTCCTCGGTCTAAACCTCGCCGGCTGCCCACCCTTCCCCCTAAAGATCTCCTCCATCTGCAACGGTCTAATGGGACCAAAGATATCGTCCGGGTTAACGCGTTGTTGTCGGCGGAGGAGTTGACGAAGTTCAGGGGATTCGGCCCACTCGGGAACAGAGAAGTTCTTTTTCTTCTTGGCGACGTCGTCGTCGTCTTCTTCGTCGGAGTATTCGCTGTCAATTTCGGGGAGTTCGATGTTGCCGGTATCGGGCAATGGTGTATGCGAGACGCTGTGACCGGCAGCGGCACTAGGTCTCGTGGCCTTTGGAACGGCGGATGGTTCACCCGCAAACCTGATGGTGTCGGTCGAGAACTTCACGCCCTCGACCATGGGCACACCCGCAGTCTTTGTTTGTGCGGGTCCGAACTTGGGCTGTTGCTGGAGTTTGGTAGCGCCGCTGGACATCATAGAAGAACCCATAAACTTGTTTGGCTGAAGCTTGGCGCCTGGAGCCCTCGCGACAGAAGCACGCATGGGCTTACCTGTCAACGAAGGCTGCTCCTGCTGTACATCTTCAGTACGGCGGCGCTTGGCCTCTTGCGTAAGCCCAGTCCCAACCGGACGGATCGATGATGGAGCAGCTGACCTCATTGATGCAATCGTAATCTCCGCAACATCAGGGTCGGCTTCGTACACCCTCTTCAACGTCTGCTGAGCTTGGGGTTGAGGTGGAGCGTACTTGCCCGCTACAGGCTCTTCACTCGGTTCACGGCCCAAATTCTGTTTGCTTGGGACCGTTCGCAGAGGTCGCTTGGGTGCCGGCTGTGATACTGGCTCCATTACAACCTTCCTCTTCTTCTCCCCGTTCGCGTCCAATCCTTGTGCCTTACGCTGCGCCTCCAGCCTCTTCCGCTCCTCTTCCTCGCGCTGCTTCTGGATGTTTTCTGCCCTTCGCTTCTCGATCTCGGCTTTCTGCGCCGCACGCCTCTCCTTCTCCATTTGCTCCTTCTTCTTGGCGTTGGAGGCAGCGGTCATTGCTTTGATGTGCTTCGGTGGTGCTGCGGGTGGAGCAGCTCGGGTCGTTCTTGCTTGTTCAGACTCGACTGGAACTGGCTCAGTCAAACCAGCTGGTTTCGTAACGGGAAGGGCAACCGGCGTCGATACTGGCATGGCAGGAGCCACGGCAGCTGGCATAGACGGAATAGACGGCATGGAAACCTGTGACGGCGGTTGAAGGGTCCTTTGGCTCGCTGTTGGTACACGAATGACAGGCTTATTCGCCTTCAACTGCATAGCACCCGGAGTGGGCCTCAGAATGGTCTTCTTGGCTGCCATTGCAAGTGGGTTCAGCTGCGGTGCATTGATGTCCTCCCTCGGCCTCGAGACTTCAGCCTCCTCCACCGGAGGTGGCGACGCCGAAGCAGAATTGGACTTGGGCAACGCGACAGGAGTGTTTGTCACACTCGCCGCTGCTGCTGCTGCCCTCGTGACCCGAGCCGGGCCCGCTTCCCCTACATCCTTCTTCATGAAACTCTTGGTCGGACTCATGTAGTTTGGCACCTTCACCGGACTCACCGCCCTCGTCAATGGCGTCTTTAATGGTTTGGAAGGAATTCCCATGGGTGTCCGTGCGCCATCTTTGACAGCGAACAACTGTCTTGGTCCAAACGGGTCGTCCAACCCCTTGCCAAGATTTTTCGCGGACTTGACCGGGGTACCGAGTCTCGAGAACGGCTTCATTGGCGACCCATTCTGCCATAACGGCGCCTTCCGGATCTTTGATGGCGATGCTAGCGCAGCAGATCCCTGGGTCTGCGTAACAGAAGAAAGGTCAGGATACAGTTTCGAGCCTTTCTCGGTCACCGGAACAGGCCCTTCAGTCAAGACTTCCTCACTCGCTGTCGGAGGCTTGTGTGCGGGTAAAGGCGATTCATGCGCACTACCCATCATTGCAGACTTGGCGAAGCGCAATGCCGACGAAGCACCCATCTTAGCAGCCTGGAACAGGGAGGTTGGCGCAGGTGAAGCGAGTACGGGCTCGGCTTCTTCCTTCCTTGCTTGACGCGGGGGCGATGCCTCCCAGGTATCCATTCCTGGTAAGCTGGGATACAGCTTCCCTGACTCCTCTTCTGGTGAACCCGTGACCTGGGCCTGCAGCTTCGTTCTTGGTAACTTGGGTGTTTGTGAGATGAAGTCAACCTTGGGTACCCAGTCGTCCTCACTCTCGTAATCCAGAGTTGGTGAGACGCCATGTGTAGGTACCGGAGCCTGGGCTTCTTTCACAACTGTTTGTACCTCTTCCCTTTCTGTTACCGCCTTCGGTGTGAGACTCATTCGATCCTCGTCTTCTTCCCTCTCTTGTTCCTCCGCCTCCGCAGCGGGTCTCGGTGTAACTTCCGCGCTTTCCACGTCGTCCCGTGGCAAAGAAACTGGCTTCGGTGTCGCCTCCGTCTGCAAGTGTCCCAACCCTGCCATAGATTTCTTCGACATGAGCGAGTTAAGCGCCTCGTGTATTCGCATACTTCCAGTCGAAAATACGCTCTTTATTCTTTCCTCGCCACGATGCAACTCCTCGTCCACACGATCAACACTCCGAGGCTCATCGATGTTCTCATCTGCTTCCTGCACATTTTCGGGCACATTTTCGGGGTTTGAGACCAGGCCCAGGGATTTCTTGGATCCCAAAGAATAGGATGAAGAACCAGGGTTTTTGAGAAGGCCTTCCAGCATGCTTGTCCTCGACCCACCCGCTTGTCCACTGGCCTGCTTACCTAGACTTTTCTTCCCCAATGGTTGTCGTTTTGGCAAAGACGCGAAGTTCAGACTTGATGCGGGCGCTGATGAAAGTGTTGGCGATGAAGGTGCACCATGTTGCGAAGCATTAGCATTGAATGAAGCGTCATGATCATCGGTCTCCTCTCGAGTAGGCTCCTCGTAGTCGTAGTAGCGTTCCTCTGTTGATCTTCGTGCTGTAGATAACTTTTCGGATACCTCTGCGGGTTTCGAGGGTGGTGAGGACGGTAGAAGGGCGGCTTGTGGAGGCGGCTGTTCCGGTGATGCCTGTCGTTGTGGAGACGTAGCGTCGTCATCCTTATTTGGCGTATCCACCTCATGATCTTTTGGAAGGTCTTCCTCAGTGTGGACAATTGCCTGTACTGCCTCCTCCACCTCCTCGTCCTTCTGGACCTCTTCTTCCATGACCTTCTCACTCGGTGCTTCCGTCAAGATCACATCATCATCTTCCTCTTCCTCAGCAGGCGTCTCCTGTGCCTCATTATCCTGAACCTCCTTTGGCGGAGGAATCACATGCATGTCTTCCGGAACTGGTTCGTCCACCATACCGATTTCCTCCTCGTTGTCGTGATTCTCGATCGCCACCTGATCTGCTGCATCTGCCAATTGATCCTGAGCAACTACTGTATCATCATTCTTCGTTGCAGCCTGTTCCTTGACGTCGGTGGGTAGGACTTCGGATTTCTCGATCTCGGGCGTTGCAGGTCGATTCTCGGCTATCAATGCACGTTCTTGCTTCTGGTCTTGATCCGTTTCTGCATCCACGAACTCGTCATCGCCAGACGAAAGCAGCTGCATTATGTCAGCATACATGCCATTATCAAGCCATAAAGAAACACTCACATCCTTCTCGACGCCGTTCTCGACCTGCAGGGCCTCCGGCGTTTCTTCCACCGATCTCGGCAGCCCCAAAGAGTCCGAAACATAGTCATTCAACCAATCGTGACTCTCCTTCACCAGCGACGAGAACTCCGCGAGCTTCTCGTCGTAGATTTGGTGCAACACGGCGCGCTCGCCGACGGCCCACGCAGGATCAGCGGCAAAAGACATTCGGATGAAAGCTGGCCCAGACAAAGTCTTTTCCAATGCCGAGTTTTCTGTTTCCAGGAAGCAATTGCCGGTTGTCGAGAGTCGAGTTTGTCGTTGCTTGCGTTGTTTTGACCTGTGTTTGGAGCGGGCGCGTATACGGTGGACCTTGCATGGGACGACGTCTTGCCGACCCATGGGGAACTTCCATAGACAGAGCGGCTGCTGGACAATAGAAAACGAAGATGAATGGATACCCGTTTAACTTCGGCCGACATTCTAACATGAGGAGGAGGAGTTTGTTTATTCAAGTTGGGTTTATGCCTGGGGTCTCTGTCGTAATTCTGCTAGGTTGATATATGCGTCTATCGTTCTCCTGATTGTCTACCGCTGCTCTCGTCTCGCGAGTCGGAACCAATTCGCCTTGTCGCCGATGTTTGTGTCTACGAACTCAAATAGCTCGCTGTCTTCCACAGCCAAACACCCGCAGTCACCGTCACCGGCACAGGTATCCCAATCGTCGGCCCGCCAAACTCCGAAGTCTGGGGCAACACGGCGGCAGTCACGTCCCCTTTCGCTACATCCCCCAATTCCTCTCGTAATTTTCTTGCGTCCTCATCGCCCAGGATCCGGGACATGTGGTAGATGGGTATACCATTCCCGGGGTCGTCCCATACAGCTATCGTTTCGTCAGCAGGGTTCTCCCATCGAAGATTGTAGGACACGGTTCCCCCTTCGTTCACGTCGGCTCGAAGGAAGCCCAGTGAGTGCACCTCCCGTAATGATGTAACGACACTCATCCGATACCGCTTCAAAACAAACTCAGTCATATCCTGTCTCCAAACAACCTTATTCGGATCCGGCACATCACGCGCCAATCTCAGCCATTTCTTCGGTTGATAAAACTCCATCAACGATTTCCTGTTTGCGGTCCATACACCCCGGTGATCACCCATCGTGCGGTGAACATCGGGTACAATCCACGGGACGTTCGTGGCTGGATGTCGTCGTGGTACGAATCGGATCAGGAAGTCCTTTGGAAGGCGTTTGCGGGTGAATGGATCACGCCGGACGGGGCTAGAGAGGATTTTTGCGAACGGGTTCGCGAGGGTAGATTTTTCGAGGGGGGTGAGGTCTGACCAGGGTTTTTGGGGGTGTTTGTGGGGTTTCACGCCGACTTTTAGGGGGTTTGAGGGGTCGAGGAGGGTTGATTTTTGGGTTAGGGGTGGGACGACTCTTCGGGGTTTCTTGGGTGTGGGTGTAGTTGGGTCTTCTGATGCGAGGTCGGGGCTTGGAATTGTTGTGTGGGTTCTGATGTTGGTGCGACATCTCGAGCAGACGTTGGCTCTGAGTGCGACTTTCATTGCTGCCGAGGCCGACACGGTCTCGTCGACGCGGACGTTCGTTAACGTCGATCGTGAGTGAGGGCCCGTACAGAGATGAGGGCAATGGAGGTGAGGTGGTTTCGGGGCGAACGAAGATCGAAGGGAGTGTCGATTGACGATGTCGAGGATGACAGGACGAGGTGTATCGATACCAAATCAAATCAAATCAAATTTCCCAACTTCCAAATCCATTGACCAGTAGTACCGCGGCCCACACCCCACCAATTGCAATCCATATCGATTTCCCCGCGATCGCGACATCAACCAGCTGACCAAACGACCATTCGCCTTCCTGTTACTACCATCAACCTCCCGTCGACCCTTCTCCTTCAATCCACCATGTCCGGCATGGCCACCGAAGCAGACTCACCCGTCCCCTTCCCCCCCCACCACGACGACTCCGACGCAACCCCTCTGCTCGGGACAGCCCACCAAGAACCCCACCAACCCCTCCGCCTAAACCTCATTCTCGGTTCCGCTCCAGTACCTCCTCCCCCCCCGTCTCACATCCCTCTACGGTCACACTAACACTTGGGGTCACATAGATCGCACAATTGGGCGCCTGGTTATTCCTCCTCGTCGTGTGGTACGAGTTATTGACGAACAAACTCCTCCTCGCATCCCTCCACCCCCTCGGAAACTCCCTCCTCCTCCTCCTCCTCGTCAATTCAATCCTCCTCCTCCAGCCAACACACACGCCCGAACAAAAGAGGACCGGAACATGGGGCCATGCCACGCTTAATGGAGCTGCGTTGGGTGTTGGTGTCGTCGCTGCTGTGGCGATGATTGTGCATAAACAGATCAATACGGACCACCCGCATTTCGAATCGGTTCATGCGAGGTTTGGGGTGGCTACGTACCTCTTGCTACTTGGACAAGCACTCGTGGGGGTCGTGCAATATTTCCTCCCGAACTTGATCGGAGGGGTCGATAACGGGAAGAAGCTCTACAAATACCATCGTGTGGGAGGGTATGTTGTGCTTGGGATGGTGTTGGTTACTGCGGTGCTTGGGACGCAGACGGATTGGATTAGGAGTTTGTGGGATGTGAGGTGGGTTTGGATCGTGGCTGTGGTGTTGATTTTGGTTGGTATTGTGCCTAGGATTAATCCTCACAAGTTTCAGTTTTTCTAGTCAAGGGGATGTGGCAGGGTATGGTGTTCGCAAGAAGTATTTGCTGAGGTATCCATTATTCCCAGAATACCACATAATGCTGTCCAATGTCACACTATGCCAAATCCTTCCTCACCAAGTGGCAAAAGCCGGATTACTCAAATTCTGCTCCACAGCCCTATACTCCGTATACAACGCCCGCCTTCTCCACCCCTCCTCCACAACCTCCCCTCCACACCACCTCCTCAACACCTCCCCCGCCCTCTCCTCACTCGCTTCCCGTGCCTCGACACTCCTATATGTACTCTCCACAGCATCAATCCACTCTTTCGGTGTGTACTGCACCTCCTCGTTCTCAGACGGAATGAGCGGTTTCAGTTGGCCCCCACCGTTGATACAACCCGAGGGACACGCCATGACTTCGACGTAATCGTACTCTTTGTCTTCGCCGATTTTTGGTTCTAGGCCTTTGCGGCGTACGACGCGTTTGACTTTTGATTTCGTGGGTTTGAGTTTTCGGACGATGTTTTGGATGTTGCGAAAGCCGTAGCAGGTCGCCATCTTCAAGAGTACCTCGCCGTCTTTTTCCAGGATGTATTCTTTCATGTCGGAGGAACGGATAGTCTTGACAACCACGCCTTGTTCGGTCGCGGCGTCGACGGTGGGCAGGTCGAGGAGGTTCTTTGCGGCGGAGGTGAGGATGTGTGTCAAATACCCACCCGCGGATGACCCGGGGTGGGACGGGTAATACTCCTCATCCGACAAATGAGCTTCATGACACGTACGCAAATCGACCTCATGCTCTTTGAGCATCTCCACAACCTCCATCGTAGTAATAACACAATCCACATCCCTCACCCCCTCAACCTCGAAATCCCCCCTCGACGCCTCGAGTTTCTTGTCGAAGCATGGCATGACGCTAACGTGGTATACTCTGTCTCGCGAAATGGAGAGGGCGCGGGTTAGGGTGTCTTTGAGGTATGCGCCCATGATTTGTTGGGGGGAGCGGACGAGGGAGATGTGGGGGAGGATTTCGCCGTGGGTTTTTTCGGCGTAGCAAATCCAGCCGGGACAGGCGGATGCAATGAGAGGGAGGGTGGAGTTGGAGTCGGCGGTGGGGTCAGCTGCGGTGTCGGAAGTGGAGGGGGTGGCCACAGGGTCATGGGTGTTGAGTTTGCGTTTCCGGGCGTTGGTGAACCGGGTTTCGAATTCGCGGGAGGCTTCGACGAGGGATACCTCCCTTGCGAAATCAGTCGAGTGAACGGATGTGAAGCCCAGTTTTGTCGAGAGAAAGTGCTTGAGTCGGGATTGTGCTTGGTAGGGGGTTATGCCATATGCCGCCGCGATCGAAGCACGGGACTGTGGACTCAGAGAGAGCACGAACGTCTTCCGGTCAACCTCACCCTTATCCTTCTCGGCATTAATAACGCTCAAAACCTCATTATGACTCTGCATCGTAATCAACACCGACTCCGCACTCGTAATGCACCCAGAACAAGCGAGACAGTCATTCAACGAGATGGACGCCGTTTCGAGTTTTTTTTGGGAACCGTCTTTGCCGACTTCGTAGTACTCTGCGCCATCAACTTTGATTTCGGAGGGTGCATTGGAGGATTTGGATATTTCGACAGGTTTGATACAGGCTTGGCCGGGAGAGATGAAGTCCTCGACGAGGGAGTCTGCAGAGAGGATCCGGCTCATTGACGACGATACTGCCTCTGAAGAGACGAAAATGCGACGGATGAATTGACTGGGTATAAGAGAACCCTTCGTACTGAGCACTCAGGATTCGCCGCCGTCTATCACGTATGTGCACAGCCACACCAGCCGCGCCTCACGTACCGGCACCGCCTACATACAGGACTCGACGCGACGTAAAGGAGGAAGGAAAGGCCGAGTACGCGTGAACCTGGAGGAAGTCCTATCAAGCGTAAGAAGGGTGTGTAACATCTCCCATCCGCAGGAGAAGCGTTGTGATTAACCGCGGTTCGTAGGAAACAATGCAACTCCACAAAGGCAAGGGCGTAGCCTCCGCAAATACCTCCGACGATACCCTTCCCTGGATTGAGAAATACCGTCCAAGCACCCTTGAAGAAGTCACCGGCCACCAAGACATCATCTCCACCATCGAGCGCTTCATCGATGGTGGGAAGGTACCACATATGCTGTTGTACGGACCTCCTGGTACTGGTAAGACCAGTACGATCTTGGCTTGCGCACGGAAGATATATGGCCCGAAATACAAGAACCAGATTCTGGAACTCAACGCTTCGGATGATCGTGGTATCGACGTTGTCCGGGAACAAATCAAGACATTCTCATCGACGCGGCAGATATCCATGGGACCAGCTTCAGCTGCTGGACCAGGTTTCAAGCTTGTGGTGTTGGATGAGGCGGATGCGATGACCCAGGTTGCACAGAATGCACTGAGGAGGACGATTGAGAAGTACACGCGAAATGTCCGGTTCTGCATTATCTGCAACTATGTGAATAAGATCATCACGCCCATCCAGTCGCGATGTACGCGGTTCCGGTTCTCGCCGTTACCGATCGAGAGTGTTCGACACCGCGTTGATCACGTTATCGAAGCCGAGGGTGTGAAGATCACGGATGACGGGCGGGAAGCGTTGCTGAAGTTGAGCAAGGGGGATATGCGCCGTGCGCTGAATGTGTTACAAGCCTGCCATGCCGCATACCCCAATACCTCCGAAGAGGAAGTCTACGCCTGCGTCGGAAACCCCCACCCCGCCGACCTCTCCCTCATCCTCAACTCCATGATGTCCGAAGAATTCTACACTTCCCTTCGTACCATCACCGAGATCAAAACACTCAAAGGACTGGCACTACAGGATATCTTGGGAGGGGTGTATGAGCAGTTGGAGGGGGTGGGGTTGCCGGTACAAGTAAGAGTGACGGTGTTGGAGAGGTTGGCGGAGATTGAGTATCGGTTGAGTACGGGCAGTACGGAGAAGATCCAGTTGAGTGCGATGATTGGGGGTGTTAAGGCGGGGTTGGATTTGGCGGTGAATGAGGTGTGATTGGTACCGGTGGAGGGAAGGTGTTAAGAGAAGAGTGATCTACGCTGACAATGGAGGAGGTACGGACACCCATAGCTGCGTTTAGGATTTCGTAGACTGATTCGGTGTTAAGACAGCACACATAACATATATACCCCATACAATACACCTAAATCCCAACAGCAGCAGCCTCGACAGCCCACTGCCACCCCCAATCCATCTGCATCGCCAACCCCCCGGCCTCATTCCACTCACTCGGCTGCATAACCATATCCCACTCCATTCCTCCCATGCCTCCTCCCTCACCTCCAGTTGTGATACCGTGGTTTTCGACGTTAAGGGAGGGGTCCGCGGCGAAGATTCCGGCAAAGGTGGATTCCATTCCACCGAGGGCTGTCCAGTCGCCTGCTGCGTGGGGGTCCCAGGGTGTTCGAGTCCCGGAGGTAGCGTAGCCGTTGTTATTGGGGATGTTGATGGCGAGGTGGAAAGGTCCGTAGGGATCCGGTGGGACGGCCGGGAACTGGGTGGCAGTCCCAGTTGTAGAGGACGTGTGGTTGGTGTTGATGGAGTGCGACGTGATCCCCACCACCTTGGCGAAATCCTCCGCCACCTTGGCAAAACGGACCATCGTCCCACACATCCTCACCGACTCCATGACCTGCAACAACTGACTCACCCGCCTCCTCAACTCATCCGGATCATGACTCGGCACAAAATCAACCGCGCCATTGGGGTATTGAGTGTTCGACGACGACATCTGCGCAAAGAGCGCAAGACTGAGGATCATCGAACTGGAATAAACGTAAAACACATCCAGCCACGAAATCCCATTCAAACACCCCGCACGCCACAACTCGACCAAGAACTCCCCACACCGGACAGAGGCAGTAACACAAACCTCCCTCATCTCCTTTACGCTCGCGTCATCTTTCCCAACGCCAACACCACCATTCGCAGCCTGCAACAGAAACGGCCTCGTAAGAAGTGCCAGCGCGTGCTGATACTGCACATGTAACATCACCACACTCCTCCACTGCGTCTGACTCCCCCTCATCCCCTCCTCCCACCCCCGGGCCCTCAACTGACCCGGTAATCCACCCTCCCAAGCCCTCAACGAATTCATGATCTGTTTCGCACGGAACACCAAGCCAGGCCCAGTATGCGTGGGATGGTAGACACCACGCCGAATACTCCCATACAACATATACAACCTCGACGCATGCTCCAGATACAGCGGAGGCGCCAACCCACCATCCAACAGCTCTTCCGACGGAACCCCGATATCCACCTCCGCGTCCTCAATCGCCGAAGGCCGTCCCAGACCACAGCACAGAAACTGCTCGAATTGGTAGAGAGTCCACCACACCCTCTTCCGTAGTTCTCTTCGCAAGGGCTCGAACCCAACGGAAGCGCTCGCACGATGCATCCCCAACGCAATCGCTAACCTCCCCGCCGCACCAACGAGTGTCCACGCCGAATTACGGTCATTCGCATTATGCGCATACAGAGCCAGCAACAACAACGCACAAACATTCGGCAACGTCGACGTCGTGAGAAGATGCGGAAGCCGCGAATGAGCTGCCCTAAACCACCTCCTCTGAAACTCGAGCGAACCAGGTTCTTGGGGTAACATCCGACTCCCGAACACGAGGACCATGTACAAACAACACAACCACCCACTCGGCACACTTGTCGCCGACCTCCGTTTCTGTCTGTAGAGAGACTCATACGTCCCCTGAAACGAGGCTCGGTGGAAAAGCACATAGTTCGGATGCACCAACCGAAAAAAGGCATCGACGCATGGATCGGCTTGTTCCCGCACCGGGAGCTCGACACCCGTATTCGCACTCCTCGAGCTCTCCGGACTCGTTGCGTCGTTATCATTTTCGGGGTTATCCTCGTCATCGGACGAACTAGGCGAGGGAATCCTCGAGTCTGGATCGAATTGCGAGTGTGCACGAGATGGAATCGCACTTGCGTTCACACTCCCAATCGCACCGATCCCCATACCCATACCACCCAACCCCATCCCCGCCCCTGGTGTCCCACGCGCCATGATACCCCCATCCAACGCCCCCGCCAATTTATCCCTCACGAACTCAAACCGGCCGTTCCCACCAGCACTATGATTCCCCGAGGGCGACGAGGAGGAACGCTGAGCGACGAGTTCTCTCAACTTTGCGAAAAAGGCAAGAGACCCCGAGGGGCCGATATAGTGTGGCCTCCCACTCGTATCTTTGATCAAACTTGTATCTTCCTTGACCCTCGGTCCACCCGGCGTCCTGTTCCCCGTTCCTTTCTGCCCCGTGGTCAACCCACCGCCACTCGCCACACCGGTACCAGTGGTAGTGGTAGTGGTGGTGGAGGGCGCGGCGGGTACAGCGGCGAGCGTAGCAGGCGGAATAACAACCGACGCCACAGGCCCTTTCTCGCCGTCCTTCGCTGGAGGCACACCCCCCTCAATCCCCTCAGAAAGGGCCTCAAGATCCGGCATATCAACCCCCATACTCCTCCCAAACGCCAAGATCTTCTCCGCGGTCAATCCCTGCTCATCTTCCGCCTCCCCAGTGCCAGCTTGCCCTTGCTCACCCGTCCCAGCACCAGCAACAGCACCAGCACCAGCACCAGCACCATCTGGAGCAGTACCAGTCGTCACGAGGATATCAGGAAACACCCCCTTAACCAACGCCTCCAACGCCCTCCACCTCCTAACCCCCTCAACCCCCATCCCTCCAACCCCCGTAGTCCCATACACCCTAACCTTTCGTGGAAGTGTACTCACACATTCGATCCCACTCTCCAAACACAACTTACACGGCGGCAACTCTTGCCCGTCAGTGGGAAGAGAGGCAATGTCGACGTCGGGGGGAATTGTACGGACGCATTTGCATCGCCGGGTTTTGCATGCGTCGCAGGATATTTGGGTACGTTTTCGGAGGGAGGGGGGGACGCGGCGTTTGGCTTTTGTTTGTTCGGTCCGAGTTCCTTCTACTGTCCCTCCTCCTGCTCCTGGTCCTGCTCCTGCTCCTGGTCCTGCTCCTGATCCTGTGGGGGTGGTGGAGGTGGTGGTGAGGGAGGAACGTTTGGGTGGGCGTTTGGAGGTTTGTGTTGGCCGGGTCGTTGTCGTTGTCGTGGTCGTGGTGGAGGATTGACGTTGACGTTGAGGTTGAGGTTGAGGTTGGGGTATGGAGTATGACGGGATGGTGGGTAGTGGTTGTGGGACCGACGATGAGGTTGGTGTTGGGATAAGCGAAACCGGTACCCTCGGATCATGACTCTGGCTCTGCGAGATCGGCGTCAAAAACACACTCCCGTTCGCTACCGAGCCTGGAGCCGTGATTGACGCCGGAGTCGGAATTTGTATTTGCTGAATTTGCTGGATCTGTGTGTGTGCCGGCGTCGCCCTCTCACTCGCCTGCGCCGACGCAGCCGCACTCGCCAGATGAGCAAGAGGGTTATCATACCCCGACGTCGACGCCGACTCCACCCCCATCCCCGTCCCATTCGAAGTCGCACCATACAAATCCATCCCGATCCCCATCGTCCCTGCCATCCCTCCGTATCCATGCCCACTCCCATCGTAAATCGGCTGCTGAAACACCGGTCTCGTCTGATCTCCCCGATACACTGGCACCTGCTGCTGAACCAATCGAGCATGCGTCGCCGGAGGGGAGTAGTTCCCATTGGAACTGCTCGTCGAGGAGAAGCTCTGGTGTCTCTTCATGGACTTCTTTTTTCTTTTTGGGTGTATGGGTTGACGGAAGAGTGCAGCCGGGGGCCTCGCGTTGCTTTAAGCTGCGTACAGGCGAGCGCGCGGGGCGGCCGAGTGTGGGGGAGCCGGTCTGGGGGGGCGCCCTGGCTAAGCGGGGGGGGCCCGAGGGTGCCGAGAGCGTGGGAACATTGGAGACAACTCAGGGTAACATCTTGACTGGCACTTTTACTCCTCGTTACTCCGATCCTTCTTCTGCCTCCAAATCTCATTCGCCTCCTCGAAATGCCTCTGTCTCCTCCGATTCGCCAACGCCACGTAATTCTTCACCGGTTTCGCGAACCCCGTCCCGTCCTGATTCAGTTTCAACTCCTTGCCATTCTCATCCCTCGCTAAAATACCCTCGATCTCAGACGCAGGCGCAACGGAGTGCAAAAGATGTCGCGCCATCGTCTCTTTCAGTTTTTCCTCGTGCCAGGTTGAGTAAAGCGACGACACCAATCCACGAAGAATTCTCGCCTCGGCCAGCGGGTCCGCACCGCCGCGTTCCCACTTCACACCCTCGAACTCACAGTCATACAGCACGAGCGGCAAATCAGACGCCATATCATACACCGGTTTCGTCGGAAACTTCTCCACATCCAACAAATCCCTCACAATCGTAGCCTTTTCGTGTCCTTGTCCAACGAGGAGCAAAATCGCGACCATACACCGTACCTGATGCCACAAAAACGCCGTCCCCTCCAAATCAAACACAAACATTCCCAACGCTCCTTGTTGGTTTTCATCAGACACGGGGGAAATAGTGGCCCGTTTGACACCCCGCTTGAAGTTGGTGATCTGCTTTGTCGGATCCAACTTGCAAAAATTCCGAAAATCATGCTCACCAACGAAATACCCCGCAGCCTCCCTCATGGCCTCGATATCCAACCCATTCCCCATCATCAAAAAATACTTGTAATGCCGACCCGAACACGAAAACCTCGCGGAGAAATCCGCGGGAATTTCCGGGGTCCAGCTCAAAACCCTAATCGACGGCGGCAACAACCGATTCAGTTTCTCCACATACGGCAACTCCTCCCACGCACCACTCGGTACGCCCACATGCACCGTTCCACCCCCTTCGACATCGAGTGGTCCATTCGACCTAACCTCCAACGCACAAACTTGACCAAACGCACTAACACCCCTATCCGTCCTCCCACACCTCGAATACCTACACCCATCCCCCGCCTTACTCTCAATCAGCTTCCCCTTCTCCAACGCCTCAAACAACACCTCTTCCACGGTCGGGAGCGCAGTCGGCTCGGATTGTGCTGCGAGGCCTTGGTATGGCCAGCCGAGGTATGCGAATTTTAGGGCGATGTAGCGTTTTGAGTACCGGGACATGTCGAACGCTTTTTCGATTTTGGGTTTTTTGGACATGGGGAGGCCGGTGGCGAGGGGGGTGATCATGGTGCGGGGGGATGTGATTGTGGTTGTGAGGTGGGGGAGTGGGATGAAGCGGGAGGTTAGTTGGGTGATTTTTGTTATGTGGGGGGTGAATGACATAGACAGCTCGATCCGTCGAGCACACACGCGTAAAGACGTAACACGTAGATTCTTGGCGGAGGAGGTGAGGGGGGTTAAGGTTTGGAGCGCGGTTTTCTCGGGGATACGTTACAAGGCATGACGCTAGTCCATATTCGGTAGCCACTGCTCGACCCGTAGTGGATATCGATGAGTGAGTGGGACGAGATGGTTCGTATTTGTTTTGATTCTTCCTTCTGGTTTCCGTGTCCTGGCCTGCACGGACTGTACGGCAATATTTCTTCTATCTTATACCATATGCTTTCGATCATGCCCAACTTCATTACCGTTTACTACCCTCACTGCAACACAGCCTTCTTCGTAGCCTCCACAATCTTCGTCACCTCATCACTCCCCTTCTTCATAACCTTCTCCACCTCCGCCTCCTTCTTCTTATTCGCATCCTTGGGCAACTGCGCACTCTTAAGCAACTTCAACGCATCTTGACGTGCACGTTTCAGGACTGTTTTTGAGGATTCTCCGATTTTGGAGACTTCTGCTGCAATTTTGTTTCGTGCTTCGCGGGTTGGTTGGGGGAGGGGGATGATTAGGCCGAGGGGGTTGCCGGAGGCGGGTTGAGGGTTGAGGCCGTGTGGTGATTGTTGGATTGCGGTCTGGACGGGTTTAACATGCTGAAGGCCATAATAATCAGTTTTGACAAACTGAAGAAATCATCCGGAGACCCCACCTCTTCCTCAAAAACACTAACCAACATCGTCTTTCCATCCTTTAAACTTGCCACGGCAACATCCTTCAACTGCAACGCACCCTCCGGCAGCTCGATCTTCAAGTTATCCAGCAAGGCCGGGTTCTGTCTTCCTTGCCTCAGCTTTGCGGTTTCCTTTGATAGCCAGTTAATGGCTCTGTCCACGTGGTCCTGGAACGGCTCGATGGTGAATTCGGGTAGATTTACACCGTCATCGAGCTCGTCCTCCTTCTTTGCCTTGCCGGCTTTGCTCTTCTTGAAGAGTACAGGACTTGAGGTGAATGACCGTGCGATCTGGCATGGTGCTGACCGAGGGAGGATGGTGGATGCTTGACTAGAGGCAATGGTTGTCAGTCAAAGTGTTCAGACGGTTCTGTAGATTACCTACCGAAGAGCTGGGCGCGCTGCCACCCTTGATGAATGAAGACAAAGACGGATCAATGATCGTGACGCTGCCATCGTAATTGTAGATGGTGTTGTGTTTCGGTTTACTTTGTCGCGAACTTTTGAAGGGTCGTGCAGGAACGCGCGGGGCGGCCGTCAAAGAAACGTCCTGCCGAAACGAAAAACCTCAAGACCAGGGCAGATGCTCTGGAGATGATGGTGTCTTCACGAAAACGTAAGTCGAAGAGGATGAAGGTTGAGGGCAGAGTGCATGGGTGTCGATGGATGGTTGGGAAGAGAGGTGTTGGATTATGCTAGGTGGTATGTGATATTTATGATATGATATGTAGGAGGATTTATGGATGGTGGGTGGTGGACTAGGGACGGTGTAGGTTATGGTAGATATTTCGATAGGCAATACTATATCACACGCTTCTGCTCACGCACTCGTACAATCGTATCTAGAAGATGGCCAACGCATTCGGAGGACTCGCGACACCACCAACCACAGCCAAAGGCTCACTCACGAAAAAGAACTCCCACCGTCCCAAGCGCTCACACTCCTTCACCAAATCCTCCAACCAAAACATTTCTCCGATAGGCATACCCCACCCCGCAAGCACGAACTCATGGAGTGCCCATCCTTCGGGCGACTGCGTCGGCCAACACTCGAAAGCGGGGGCGTCGGAGGCGATAGCGGCAAAGTGGGTGTCGAAGAGGAAGGAGCGGGAGGTGGTGGATTGTTCGAAACCGGCGAAATGGGGCGGAACGACCTTAGATCTCTTTTCGCGTTCTTCGACGGAGAGGGCTTGGTACGCTTCCGTGAATCCAGAGCGGATGATGAGGATGTCGCCTTGACGGAACGTGATGTTCTTCTCTTTTGCGATCTCGAGGACGGAGTCGAGGGGGATGGAGTAGGTGTCGCAAGCATCGTATTCGATTCCTTGCTTGACGGCCCAGGAGCGGTAATCGATCAAGACTGCACGGCCGACGATTCCTTGTTTGGCCATGTGGTGAATTCCGAGGGTCGTGGAGCCCTCTTCGTGGATTTCTTCCATGGTTACACCACCGTAAAACTTCCGCACACCTTGGAATCCGAAATGGCGGAGACCGTCCCATTGGGAGCCACTTTGTGTGTTCATCTCGATAACGTCGTCGTTGACGCATCGAGGCGCTTTTTGGATGATCTTGTGGTTGAATTTTTGGCGCAAGAATCCGGGGTGCGACGGGTTTTGGAGGGGCCAGTTTAGGGAGATGCGGGTTCCGGTTTTGATTAGGGAGGCGGCGGCGAGTGTGTTGTCGGGGGTGAGGAGGTTGAGGGTTCCGAGGTTGTCGGACTCGCCGTAGAGGCCCCAGGCGGAGCCCGGGGGGTGGGAGGGGTCGAGGGGGAGGTCGGCGTAGGTTGGGAGTTTGTCTGGGATTGGCATGGTGATGTTTGGTAGTCGATATTTTGTACTTGTGATTGGGGAGAGGGACCACAGGGGATCGAAGGTATATGTATATGAGGTGGGTTGTTGGAGGTGAAGTCGAGGAGGGTTTCGGCGGTGAGTTTGTGCGGGGAAGTCGGATGTCGGCTGCGGTTCGTCGCGGAGGCAATTAACCCGCAGGGAAGCAGATTTCAGGAAGACATGATGCTCGAGCAGGATAACACAGCCGGAATACTGACGGTGATCCGTCGGCCAAGAAAGTATGTCCTTCACCCGAGCAACCCGTCCGCTGGAGACGACGATCGCGATTCAGCGGCTGTCCTCTCCCGGGTTCTCCACTGTTTCCAAAGTCACAGCCTCACATTTCTCAACTGCATATTGAAACGTCCAAGTTTACGTAACATCCATCCGCCGGCTTCAATGCTCCTCGAAACCTTTCCATAGACGGTTCGGCAGTTGGGCGCTCACTTGCATCCGGGGCCCGACCGCGGCGGCAGCAGGCATCCGCGACAGTGCGCGTCTCTCCAGACCAGGCAACATACTTCCAGGCAGCTGATCCGGTTGACTGTAACCTCGAGAATTGCAGGTAACGGACAAGTGAGCCGGCGCAGGTCGATGAGGCGGATGCGTTGCATGTGAGCGGATACGTGCTCCGGCGGTGAACTCTACTCAACGACAATGACCTTGACAGTCACTCGAAGGCTCAGTTCACACCTCGGCTATAAGAACCATCCCATCCTCCATCCTTCTTCCTTCCTCACCAACAACAGTCACAAACCACACGAACTATGCCGAGTACTACAACACCACTCAACATCCTCATCATCGGCGCTGGCCTCGGTGGCCTCTCTACCGCTCTCGCTCTCGGTTCCGACGGTCACAAGTGTACGATCATCGACGCCGCTCCTTCCTTCGGCGAAGCTGGCGCTGGTATCCGTATCCCGCCCAACTCCTCGAGGCTGCTCATGCGTTGGGGCCTGGACTTTGAGAAGATCAAGAAGAGCAAGAGCGAGCGTTACCACTTCTTGAGGTGGGACGACGGAAACACATTGCTGGAGATCCCGTTTGTTGGGAAGGATTACGATGCGCCTTACTATCTCGTTCACCGCGCTGATCTCCACTCTGCGCTGCTCGAGAAGGTGGAGAGCATGGGCGTGCCTGTTCTTCCGCGCAAGAAGGTTGTGGAGTATGACTTTGACAATAAGAACGTTACGTGCGAGGATGGAACGAACTACTCCGCCGACCTCCTCATCTGTGCCGACGGCATCAAATCCATCGCCCGGCCCCTCCTTACGGGTAAGGAAGATAACCCCCGCGATACCGGCGACGTGGCCTACCGTATCCTCATCCCCGGCGAAAAGCTCCTCGCAGACCCCGAGCTGTCGGAACTCATCACGAAGCCCTGCACCACGTCTTGGTGTGGTCCAGACGCCCATCTCGTCGGTTACCCAATCCGCGACGGCGAACTCTACAACATCGTCGTGTGCGCCACCAACCTCTCCGAGCTTCCGGGAGAAGAATGGATCGTCAAAGGATCCAACGAAGAACTCTGCGCACGCTTCGCATCCTGGGATACCAAAGTCCAAAAACTCTGTAAGCTCTCAGAAGGGTTCCTGAAGTGGCGCTTGGGTGATTTGCAAGAATTGACCAGGTGGAGCAATGATGCCGGTACAGCCGTCTTGTTGGGCGATTCGTGTCACCCTATGCTTCCCTACCTCGCTCAAGGCGCTGCGCAAGCCGCCGAGGACGCAGCGACGCTTCGGGCGTGTATTCGCAAAATTTCGGGGCAGGGGGTCACGTTGAAGGAAGCGTTGTTGGAGTATGAGAGGTTGCGTAAACCTCGCGTTACGACCGTGACCAAGTTCACGCGAACCCACCAACATATCCTTCATATCCCTGACTCCTCGCTCCAACGCCGCCGTGATGCGGCGATGGCTGGTGGCGATCATGAGGATTCACCAGTCTTCTGGGGATGGCGCGAGCGTCGTCTTTGGTTGTTTGGGTGTGATGCGGAAAACCTCGAGAGTGTTGCGAAGCCGTTGCCGGGGAAGGGTCCGGGAGAGGGATTAGCTGGGGAGGTTGTTGAGGAGGCGGAGGCGGAAAAGGGAGGGGATGGGGGTTGGGTCGTTAGGAATGTGCAGGAGAAGGCTGGGGAGGTTGTGCAGGGGGTGAAGGAGGTCTTGGGGTTGAATGGCGGGATGGAGAAGGAGGGGCCTTATTCTGCTGCTTGAGGTTGAAGCGTGGGAATATAGTGTTCTGTTGTACTATTACTGATATGTTGGGAGATGCTGAGGTCTGTTTTTAAATTTCATTTTCGTATTCCTTTATCTTGTCTTCGTGAATGGTTCTGATCTGTCCCTCCCATCCGTTCTCGCGATAACTGTTGGAGTCGGCGACTTACTGGCATGACTGCCCAGGGTGATTAAGTCCCAAACAAACAAGTAAAAACCCTCGCTGCTTCTCCTTCCCTGTCCAGCACTTTGATCTGGAAACGGATTGACGCGGAAGGTGCAGCAGCGAGAACCTCTCATTGTGCTGTTACCCATTAATGACTCCAGGTTGGGGGAGATCGTGCAGCCGGCTCTCCTGTCGCCGTGGGTCCGGTGACCTTTTAGATCTCATTCAAAACCTTTCACTACAAAGTTATTTCTAGCCGTCCAAAACCTTGATTAGACAAGTTCTTGGATATCTGAGTTGTAGATATGTTGCCATACCCATGAGAGCAATCATTGCGGGCACGTACACCAATCTGCCAAACAGAGTTGGGATCCCAAAGGCCGTTACAGTGACAAACTCAGAAAGGAAACCGTCGATGTTCCAAGGGAAGGAGTGCGATACGAGAAGTTGATAAAACAAAGAACATTCAACTAGATTACAAAAGCTAATAATCAACTAATCCCTACTCCATCCCGGATCCCCACTCCACTCCCTTATTTCCTTGCCACGCCTCATCAAAACCCCAATCGTAACCGGGAAAAACACCACAATCAACGCCGCGAAAATCCCAAAAGTCGCACCCCCTCCAATATTCTCCAGCATAATCGGCGTAAAGAAAGGGGTGGTATACGACAACAAGTTACGAAACATGTTAAACACGAGGGTCGCTTCGGGACCTTGGGCAGCGTAAGACTCGAGAAGGTATGTTTGGATTACAGTCGTGGCGACTTCGATTCCGAAGATGTAGACACCCTGGCCGACGAGGGGGGTTGCCCAGGCGCGACCAAATTCGATGGAGACGCCGAACATAATCAAACCCAGGGGCGCCGTGATCAAGGCTGGCCAGATTGCTTTCATGCGCATTTCCGGCTGCCATTCTTTCCCGCCTTTGAGGGCCCGTTTGGCGATGAGGTCGATTGCTGGCCCGGCGAATGCTTCACCCAAAAGAGCGCCAATCAGTCCGGAGAATGCGCTGAGGCCGACATCTAGGGGTGTGAAGTGGTATGGCGCGGGCGAGAAGAGGAGGGGGATCTCGGCGGTGATCCCGACGTGGAGCATGTATGCGATGCCGAACCAGAATGATGAAAGTAAGACGGCGGGATGTTTGAACATCATGAATGGACGGGAGAAGACCCAGAAGAAGGAGTGCCGGCGGGATTCGTCGCGCTTGGGGATGCGGATGCCGTAGCGCGCCCATAGACTTCCCATACGGCCGCGCTGGAAGTCGGACGGGGCAGTGGTGGTTGAGCGGATGTAAATGGTCTCTGGGACAAAGAAGATTTGGAGGATGAAGCCGATGGCGATGAGGATGAGAGAGATCCATTGACTCCATCTCCAACCGAGGCTGGGGTTGTTGATGATTGCACCACCGATAATTCCGCCAGCAAAGGGGGCGACAACGATTGCGAGAGTACTCGTACCAATCTTCTTTCCTTTCTCGTGACGGAAGAAGATGTCACCGATACTGGCTGGTCCGAGACCCCAGAACGAACATCCACCGAGACCTTGGATAACGCGACCGACCATGCAAGCACCGTAGGATTGGGCAGATGCGACGACGATGGTACCGATGATGGCGATGATGTTGCTGACCAATAAAATCGGTCGGCGTCCAAAGAAGTGAGAAAGCGGGGACCAGAGGAAGGGTCCGATGGCGTAGAGCGCGACGGGGGTGTTACCCAGATAAACAGCCGTAGCCTTCGGAACGTCAAACGTCCTCGCCAATGCCAGAGTTCCGGGAACAAGAGCAGTTACGGCCATGTAACAAACGAAAGCGAGGTAGGAAATCGTTGCCATTGCCATGTGCTTGCGGAAGGAGGACCAGTTAAGGGGGTCGGCGGGGTCAGACGAGGGTTGAGGCATGAGAACGATGCCATTGCGGGTTTTAAGGTTGGAGACATCTTCGTTCACGAAAGGTGAAGGGACCTTGCGGTCTTCGCTATCGCCTTCCTTGTTGTATTCGAGGTGCTCAGCCGTCGATTTGGACATCATTGTAAGCTTCGAGGTAGTGACTTGGCCCACACTCGCCATCTCAGGTTTATCTCATCCCTCGAGGATGAACTTATACATTTCATCGACGCAACGGACAAGGAGACCCCATGACCACTCAAACACGTTTGCACAAACTTGCAGAAGCGAAAGCAGCTTCCCTGGTAGGCCTCCTCTTCCAACGGCAACGATTGTGCGGGGAGGATCATTCCGACCTTTTCCATTCAGCGGATAGTTGAGCCGACCAAGTACGCCATGATCATCAGTGGCTTCATACAACCCGGAACGGAATGTTGGCAATGTGGTAAGGCCGGCTCGCTTGCAATGCCAAACATGGGCTCGCAAGATTTCACCCCGAAACTGCGCCTGGTCGGGTACAGGATTCCAAGGCTCCGTAACCGCCTCATGAAACCTTACCATCGCAAGCAGGCAGCCGTAGCAATGGATCCTGCACTTGCATATGTAACACCGGAAGCTGACAACCCCGAGGGACCAGAGCCGGCTGGCTGCTCGAGCTCACGCATACCCAGTGATTCATTTCGCCTACGTGATTCCTGTTTGAGAGAACCCTCAGGAATGCAGCAACCTGTTACCTTCAGCTTGATTCGCAATACCGAACGGCTCTCATCCTCCCGTTACCATTCCAGACCTTGACCTGGTGTTATGGGTCGGTTCTCTGCTTCCGCGCGGCGCACGGTCCTCGAATCACCCGGGCGGCTGCTGAACCGAGCGCGGATTTCCCCGCAAGAATTCGAAACGGCAACAGTCAGCAACCCATACACGGCTCCGGTATTGCTGGAATGAGCTGGCTTATATCAAATAGACCTCGCGACCTCCAAGGTCCTTGATACATCGTCAAACATCAAATCAACTACCCACTATGCCATCTGCTGAATCTGTCCCCTCCACCTCCCTCGCCGCGATCCAGGATCCAAAGACGAACCTCATCACCGCCTGCGAGCGTGAAACACCCACTCCCTCGCCTACTCAGGTGCTCGTGAAGGTCACTCATGCCGGGGTTTGTGCCTCCGACCTCCATTTGGCACGCAAGGACTTGCCATACCTCCAGCCCACAGTGTCCATTGGTGGACATGAGGGTGTGGGAAACATCGTCGCATTGGGCGACGACGTCAAGGGAGACTGGCAAATCGGTGACAAAGTTGCCGTGAGGTGGTTACACTACGTCTGTAAAGGCACTACCACCGACGCGAACGGCAACACCTGCGAACCCTGCACAACCGGCTACGAAAATCTCTGTCCCTCCCGCAAAGTCACCGGAAAAGACATCGAGGGGTGTTTCGCTCAATACGCTGTCGCAGACTCCCGTTACCTCGTCCGTATTCCGCCTAACGTCTCCGACGCCGAAGCTGCACCGATTCTCTGCGCTGGAGTGACTGTGTACAAAGCTCTGAAGATCTCGCAGTTGAAGGAGGGGAGCTGGGTCGCTGTTGCCGGTGCTGGAGGGGGGTTGGGACATTTGGCGATTCAGTATGCGAAGGCGATGGGGTATAAGCCTCTTGCTCTCGATGCTGGGAAGAAGGAGATTTGTATGGAGTTGGGAGCGGAGGCGTATGTTGATATCATGGAGACGAAGGACTGTGTGAAGGATGTGCAAGACATTACGGGAGGTGGAGCGCATGGCGCCTTGATCTGTGCGTCTTCTGCCAGGGCTTATGCGGATGCCGTCAAGTACCTTCGTAGAGCGGGTACGTTAATCTGTATCGGACTCCCGCCGAAGCCGTCCCCCATCCCGGTCTTGCCGGAAGACTTCATTGCGAGGGGAATTAGGATCATGGGAACTTCGACCGGGACGTTGCCGGATACGGTCGAGGCTTTGGAGTTCCTTGCGAGGGGGCAGATCAAGCCGAGGATTGAGGTCAGGGGGTTGGGAGATGTGGAGGAGGTGTTGAAGGAGATCGAGGGAGCGAAGGTCAATGGGAGGATTGTTATTAAGATGTAAGTCACCCATTGGTGATGCTACGTATATCTAGTCTAATTGAATCCGTTGTCGAGCTCGCTTGCTTTTATCACTTCCTCTCCCCATCCGCTCCTGCCTGCATCCCTTTCTACTCTTACGTCCTCGGTCCATCCCAAGACCCTATCCCAGATCTTCCTGCACTCGTCTTCACTGGGTATAGTCGATCCACACCAAGCTACGTATCCATCTGGTCTAATGAGAACGATGTCATTACCCCAGACCCGTCGCACATGCGGTTCGTCCGCAAGGGAGAGTAAGGAGACATCAATACCGCGTGCAGATCTAGAAGCGGAGCGAGTAAGGGGTGTAATGTCCACGCACGTAAATCTAACAAGGGTGAACCCTGTAGCCAGATCATCCAGTACGCTTGTCTCCCCGTCCTTCTTGAACACATGGGGTGCACGACATCCGGGACGTGTACTAGGCTTCACCGCCTCCGGAGTCCATGGCCACTCATCTTCGTCCTCATTCCCATCTTTTTGTTCTCCGCCTTCATTGGAGTACGAGATAACAGGCGAGTCCCGATACCGCCACCCATACTCCACTCCAAGATTTTCATTCTCTCCCTTCTCGGCAGTATACCACGCCCCAATCCCCTCCTTCTCCCCCCGATCCGCCATCTCCCACGCCTTCAAATGCACCTCCATATGCCTCCAACTCCTCTCCAAACACATCCTCGCAACCTGTAGTCTCTCCCCCTCATACGACTCCAACAACCTCGGACCAGCGTGGCCGCGGATGGTGAAAGCAAGTTTCCAGGCGAGATCGTAAGCGTCCCCGACGCCCGTGTTGAATCCGTACCCGCCGAGGGGGGCCCATTGGTGTGCGGCGTCGCCGAGGAGAAAGAGGTTGTCTTCGGAGTAATGGTCTGCGACTGCGAAATTTGGTTTCCACACGCTGCGGACGAGGATTTCGTCGATTCTAACGTCGGCTTTTAGCACTCTCCTGACGATTTCCTCGGCGGGGAGAGAGCCGATTTCTTCGGATGCGTTGGTGTTTGGTGGTGGGTGGAAGAGGTGGACGGTGTAGGTGTCAAGTTCGTCTTGTGCGATGCAGATTCCGCGGTGAGTGAGGAAGATGTGCCAGAAGCGGCCGTACTTGAGCATGGTTGGGTCGCGGGAGCGAAAGTGAACGAGGGAGACTGGCGGGGCTGGTGGTAGGCGATGCGATCTGATACGGGTGGAGGTTGACCGGAGAGTCGAGCCAGCGCCGTCGGAGGCGATGACATAGATGGAGGTCATGGTTGAACTGCCATCAGCGGAGCTCAAGGTTGTCTTGCAATAGGCCCCTTGCTCTTCAGTCGCAGGGTGGAACACAGTATAGTCTACATTGACAGGAGCCAGGAATGTGATCAATGGGTGCCGCTGACACCGTCCTCTCAACACCCTCTCCAAAATCGACTGCTGAATCCTCAACCACGGCTCCCTCGTCCACCGCCCATCATTCTCCCTCCCAATCCTCTCCCGCCACTCATTCGCACTATCCAAATCCCATTTCGCGAGACACTCCCCCTCCTCACCCAATCCCGTCGCGAACAACACGTCGAACCTCCATTTCCCATCCACGCCTTCTCGTCGTAACTCTTCGACGAGGGTGGGGTCAACCATGCGGAGGATTTCCATGGTGCGGGAATTTGTTAGGTCCATTTTGGGCCATTTGGTGGGTTCGGCGTAGCGGTCGATGATTGTGCATGGGACGGAGTAGCGGTGAGCGAGGGTGTAGGCGAGGATCAGGCCGATTGGACCGGCACCTGCGATGAGGATGGGAGTGTCGACGTTGGAGGTGTGCGGTATGGGCGTCATGATAGTTTGGGAAGCAGCTTCTGGTCAATGGACCTGTCAATGGTCGTGTAGGTCGCTTCCTCGACGTTGGAGACGGTGTACGCACAACGCGTCATGGATCGGGTCCTACTGCAACCATATCGATACGCACGGACGGGAAGTTAATTCTTCTGCAATTCCCCTTCAATTAAAATGCAATTTCCAACTTATCTTACGATTTACCAACATTCTCGAATCAAGCAAGATTGAACTCCGTCCCAGCAGCACAGACCGTAACAATCCTCTTATCCATAAACTCATCCACCCCACTCATCCCCCCAAACCTCCCATACCCACTCGCACCCCCGACGCCACCATTCGGAAGCGTAGGCTCGATATAGACGGTAGGTCCGTTGACATGCGTCGCTCCACAACGGAGTTTTCGACAGATTTGGGTACCGGCGAGGGTGTCGCGGGTGAAGACTGAGCCGCAGAGGGAGTAGGTGGAGGAATTTGCGAGACGGATAGCTTCGGCGTCGCTGGAGAAGGTTGTTAGGGAGAGCACGGGGCCGAAGGATTCGGTGGACCAGATGTCCATGGAGGTGGTGACGCCGGAGACGACGTGTGGTCCGAGGAGTGAGTTCCGGTTAATCTTGCAGTCGCCCAGGAGGATATGTGCGCCTTGGGTTTTTGCGGATTGGATTAGCTCCACGACCTTCTTTGCTGCTGCACCGGTTTGGAGACCACTGATTTGCCCACCGTCACCCGTTTTGAGGGCTTTGCATTGTGCGATGAGCTCGGATCTGAACGCGGGTGCGATGCTTTCGTGGACGAGGACACGTTCGGTCGACATACACACCTGACCCGCATTGCAAAGACCACCAAAGATGATCGCTTTGGCTGCGGAGGGAATATCCGCGTCCGCACGCACGATCGCAGGTGCTTTCCCACCGAGTTCGAGAACGCAGGGTTTTAATTCCTCAGCGGCAAGACGAGCGATGATTTTCCCGACGCGGGTGGAGCCGGTGAAGTTCACCCTCCTCACGCTCGGAGCGCGGACGAAGAATTCTGTCATGGCGGGTGCGTCGGAGGTTGAGACGGGGAGGTAGTTCAATACGCCCTTGGGGAGACCGGCTTGGATGAGGGCGTCCACGACTAAGCGCTGAGAGCCGGGGGAGAACTCGGAGGGTTTGAGGATGACGGTGTTACCGCACATGATCGGGGTTGCGATCGCGCGGACGGTAAGGGTGATGGGTGCGTTCCAGGGAGCGACACCGAATACGACACCGGCGGCTTCACGGAGGACCATGATCGTGGTGTTTGGGCGGTCGGCGGGGACGATCTCGCCTTTGATGTGGGTTGCGAGGCCTGCTACTTCGCGGAATTGTGCGACGGCGGCGTTGATGTTGACTTTGACCCATGATGGCGTAGCGGCGACTTCGGCCGTCATGAACTCCTTTACTTTATCTTCCCATCCTGACAAGATATCCGCTGCTTTGAGGAAGATCAGGCGGCGCGTGGAAGGAGATGTGTCCCTCCACGTCTCGAATGCGTCTTCGGCGGCTTTGAGGGCTGCGGACCATTCAGATTTGGAGGCGGAGGAGCAGGAGTGGACGGGAGAGTTGCTGAGGGGGTTGAGGACGGGAAAGGTGGTGGAGGTGATGATGTCCTCGCCGTGGATGTGAAGGGCTACTGGGGTTTCTTTGTGCATGGTGGGGTAGTTTCGAGTTCGTCGTGCAGGTGCAAACTGAGAAGGAATAGCTGCTCGTTTATAGGATCCCGGATTTCACTGCTTGCTTTGACAGCAGCTGGTATCCATCGTATATGTAACTGATCCTCGCTTGCCGGGTACCGAGTGAAGCGGGGAGGATCGAGGTGAAGCCGGGGTGTTGCGGTAACGGCGGATAGCTATAGCCGTAGAAATTCATATGAGGGTCGAAAAACGCAGCACGACGGTTACATGACCCGACGCTGTTGATGGTTGGGCCGTGAGGTCGTGAGGTTTCGGCTGCCTGAGAGCCGTTCTGAGGTTGGGGCGGGAGCAAGCAACCGAGCGCCAGCGCGCACGCAGCTTGCTCGGCCCGCCATACCGGTCGGTATACGTACGTATGAGGGCTCCACGGGCGGGGCTGAGCTGTACATGTGGCAGCAGCTGAGCCCGTCTACCAGTCGACGAGGAGAGCGGAATCGTTAGAATTGTAACGTTGAGGAAGGTAAAGGACAGTCGGACCGACTAGTCCGCTGTAGCTAATTTGCGTCAGAGCTCGGGCTCCAATTCCCACGTTCGAATTTGTCTGACAGGTCGGACATCCTACCGATCAATCGACACAGCCTACTCCCACGTCGTTGTACTTCCTCGTCATTGTACTCTCTGCCTGTTCTGCCTCTTGGCCTATCGTTGTCCTGCCCCTTGGCCTATCGTAGTTCTGACCCTTGGCGTGTCGTACTTCTACATCTTCGCCTGTGCCGTCGTTGTACCAAATGGAGCCCTTGTATTTTGAACGGGATTTGGGAGTTGTTATATTCGGTGAGGACTTCGAGAGCACCGGGTTGCTGACTGGCGTCTTGCAGTCATTCATGGGGAAGGGTCTCGGCGTGACGCTTGGTACGAAAGATGTAACGGATGGAGTAGTAAGAAGTGATTGTTATTCGAATGAAGAAATAAAGCTACCAAAACCTCCCCTTTACATAGTAAAGTTCTGCAACGGCTTCCAGGAGCCGTTCCCCAACAGAGCCGTTCCCCAACGGAGCCGGTACTCAATAGAATTAAAACCAGGTACGACGTACCTGTAGAATCCGTAGTGTGGTTCGACACACTACACTCTCCCCCCTCTAAACGGTACTAACAGCAATAAAAAACTCGTACCAACAGAAAGAAAGGAGGTAGGTTCTTCAAAACCTGTTGCCGATCCTGTACAAGTGTTTTGCCTCAGCGCACTTGTGCAGCCTTTTCCAACTCTCCCACGACGAATCAGGCTTGCCTTTTTCACTCTCCCATTCCACCTCATAGTAGGTGATCCTCCTGCCATAATTAATAATCGTGATTAATTCTTGTGAGGTAACTTGGGCAAACGAAGTGGGTTTGGCCCGTTTTCGAACTTTCCAACTTTGTCAGCAGGTATGCTGTCGGCTGGCTCCCAGGAGTTGTCATGTAAGTTTGTTCCTTTCCATCAAACCAGATACTCCTGTGTGCGGGTATTTTCATCTCTGCGAGATGCAATAATGCGTTCAACCTCTTGTTTTTCTCGAGGGACAGAACTTCCAGCAGGCAATGCCGGGTTCACTGGTACATTGTTTTGTCGTTCATCCTCTGCCATGTAATATTTTTTCAATCGCGAAATGTTGAAAGTTGGGTGAGCCTGTGAACCAGCGGGTAACACTAGCCGAACTGCATTGTCGCTGAGTCGCTCCAGAACTCTATAAGGTCCTGCATAACGGCTTTCTAGTTTTCCTAACTTGTCCTGATTGCTTTTCAGGACCAAGACCCAGTCTCCTTTGTTGAAATCGGCAGGTACAGATCGACGTTTGTCAGCATGATGTTTCTGTTTCATCTGGTTTCCATGGATCGTATCTTTCGCCGCGGTGTGTATGTCGGTCAACTTTTCGAGAAGTTCCTGTGCTGCTTGAACATTGCTGTAGTTCGTCCGGTTCGGTCCAATAGGGTGATAACCGTAGTTCATATAGAATGGTGTCATATTTGTCGTACCATGTTTTGAGTTGTTGTATGCAAACTCCAATGACGGTAGGACTTCATCGCAATCATGGTCCTGAACATAAGGACGAATCATATGTTCCAGTGTTTTGATCGTACGTTTCGTCTGTCCATCAGTCTGAGGGTGCTCAGCAGTTGACATCAGTAACTCAACCCCAAGTGAGCCTTGCAGTGCTCTCCAAAACTGACTGGTGAAACGAGGATCTCTGTCTGATACGATTGTATCTGGTAGGCCGTGTAATCGCACAATATTGTTGATGAGGGTTAGGGTTAGGGTTAGGGTTAGGGTTGTAGTAGATTCGGTCTCAGGCTGAAGCCGACCGGGCGGCTGCTGAGACACCCGTTCTTTGGCTGTGGGTGTGGCCGTGCCCTATCGGCTTCAGCCTGAAACCGTCGATGTACTAGTAATAGGAGTGCGACACACTCTACACAGGTTGCGGGCGCAGGGGTGTGGTACGAGGATTTACGGGTTTGGCACGACAGGACCCTAGATATATAAGGGAGGATACGTCCCTATTTGAATAATCAGACCTCTTACACTCATAATTGGATATCTCCCACAGACGTATTCGTCACCTGCTCTCAAGTAGGTAATAGTGTATCGTTGCTTACAGCCCCGTAAACCCGAGATTCATCCTTCTCAGCTCACGACCTCCATCCTCCTTGCGTACGGCAACCCGTTCCTCTCATCCTCCATATTCTCGCTAACGAACCCTATACTCCCAACAACCTTCCTCATCAACCTCCCATAACCCATCCCGGGCGTGATTTTTCCCAACACGACGCGCTCCGCACTCTCTACGTGTTGTGGTACAACGATGCTCTTCCCCATGAGACATTCGTGGCCGAGGAGGGCGAAGGAGATGGCTTCTTTCGCTTCGGGAGCGATTTGCGTGGTCGAGAAGAGGTTGATGGATGTGTGCGGGAGGTGAGTAGAGAGGTAAGACGTTATGTTCGGGTTATAGGCGCCGCCGCCACAGAGGTAGACTTCGTCGATTGTGCCACCCGGTTGTAGATAGCGCTCGTAAGCTCTCACTAGAGACTCGGCCGTTATTCGGGTGATGGTAGCGATGACATCCGGATCTGTAGCACCGACGGAGCGGAGAGAAGAGACGAGTTGGGACGCAATGTCATCGCCAAAGAGTTCTCGCCCGGTGGTTTTTGGGAGGGCGGCACTGAAGTAAGGATGTGCCAAGAACTCATCGACCACGTCCTCATACACACGACCTTGTGCACCGATGAGACCGTCTTTGTCGTACTCCTGTTCACCATTCGTAATGATCCGTACCGCAGCGTCGATCAACACATTCCCCGGCCCCGTATCAAATTCGAAACACGACTCGATGGCGGAGTCACCCGCTGGAATGATCGTCACATTACCAATTCCGCCAAGGTTCTGAGACGCGCGGGTCAGCGTTGGATGAGCAAGGACTGCGGCGTCGAGGAAGGCGATGAGGGGAGCGCCCATACGTCCAGCTGCCACGTCGCCGACACGGAAGGAGGAGATCGTCGTCAAGCCCGTAATCTGCGCGATAACAGCAGACTCTGCCATTTGGAGCGTACTCTTCTGCTGCGGAGGTGCTGGCGAGGGAATATGCCACAGTGTCTGCCCATGCGATGCGATCGCGTCCACCTTTCCTTCCAGTCCATTCCTGTCGATAAATGACTTTGCTGCGAGCCCGAACTCACGCCCAAGCGCGAAGTTGAGGTCGCAAATCTCCTCCATCGTTACGGCATTCTCGCGACACGCTTTCAGTACCCGTGCCTTCAGCTCCGGTGGGACGGGATGTTCGGTGTAGTCGAGGAGTTCGAGGCGGAGATCGTTGGGGGAGGAAAGGATGGGGGTGATTGCGCAGTAGGCGATGTCGATTGCGTCGACGGAGGTACCGCAGTTGAGGCCGATGATGTTGAGTGTCATGATCCGGCCTGTAAAACCTTGCGCTCAGGATCAATGGATTGTGAAACTGGAAATGTCGCAAAGATGAGGTTGATCTCAATGATCCGTTCCATAATGACTTCTCCGTCCACTCGGGGCCACGCGCCAGGACCACCGGGTATATCGGTTCATATCGGACGAAGCACCCTCATCCCTCAGACCCTATCCGCGTGAAAGCAAGCCAAGATCGTTCATATCATCGTTACTTGTCCATAACGGCGGATCAAATTACTGAATCGAGTAAGTGGGGCCCCAGTCGGATTCGAGAGGAGGTCGGATGATAGCCCACCACTGCAAACCAATGCTGACTTCAGTGAACTACGGCAATCCAGTGTCGGGTACTGGCTCCCACGCACTGACGCCGTTATTTACCCCACCCAGGCGAGATATGGGTATATTCGACCCGGGGGTGGGCATAACGGCGGTTCATAAGGACTTGGAAGGCCGACACCATGGGCGGATACGTTTGTCAGATCAACACTCCAACGTCACCACGACATGACATCCGCACCATCCCTTCTCACTCGATTTCGCACGCCGTTATGGCAATCGCTGCTTGTCGGCTTGGTTCTCTTTTGCTGTCCCGGGATGTTTGACGCAATCAACGGTATGGGCGCCGGAGGTCAAGCAGCCTCCTCCACCTCCCTTGTCGCAAAGTCGAATTCGGCTCTATACGCGTGTTTCGCCATCATCGGATTCTTCGGCGGGTCTGTCAATAACACCATTGGGCCCCGCTGGACTCTTTTTATCGGTACATTTGGGTACGCGGTGTACGTGGGTAGTTTGTGGTGTTTAGACCGTGGAGGCCCAGAGGCATTCGTGATTGCTGGGGGCGCTCTATGTGGGTTGAGTGCCGGATTGTTGTGGACTGCGCAAGGATTTGTGGTCATGTCTTATCCGCGTGAACATGAGAAGTCGAGGCACTTTGCGTATCAGTGGAGTATGTTGGGTGTTGGCGCGGCGATCGGAGGGTTGATCCCATTCGCACAAATCATGAGGAATGGAGGGAAGAGTGGTGATAAGGTGTCGACGGGGAGTTACGTGGGGTTTTTCATTGTGATCTGTGTGGGAATCGTTGCGTCGTTCTTCCTCGCCGACCCAGCGGTTGTCAAACACAAGGATGGCACCCCGGTTACGACTACGAAGCCCATGAACTTCCGTGATGAATTCAAGAGCGTCTGCGGTCTCGTCTTCGACTGGAAGATCATGGCCCTTGCACCGGCATGTCTCGCGAGTAACTGGTTTTACGCTTACCAATTTAGCATGAACGCCTTCTACTTTTCCCTCCGCTCCCGAACACTCAACAGCATGATCTACTGGCTCACCCAAGTCTTCGGCACCTTCGGTATCTCTGCTATCCTTGACGCAACAGCCCTCGGTGACCGACGTCGTCGCGGCATAATTGGACTCGCCGTTATCTCCATTTTCGTCCTCGCAACCTGGTCTGGCGGTGCAGCCTTCCAATCAACTTTCTCCGAACATAACCCCTCCCCTTCCTCGGACTGGACTGACTCGAACTGGGCAGGTCCATTCGTGCTCTACGTTCTCTACGGCATGGCAGATGCCATGTACCAATCCTACTGCTACTGGCTCATGGGCGCCATCACGAACGATCCGTGGACTTTGGCTCGATATGCCGGGTTTTACAAGGGATTGCAGAGTGCGGGTGGTGCGCTGAGTTTCGGGATCAGTGCGGCGGGTGTGGGGTTCATGAGGCAGTTGATTGTTTGTTTCGTGTTGCAGGGTGTGAGTTTGCCGTTGATGTTCGTTGTTGCGAAGACTGTCAGCAAGACCAACTACGCGAGTGGGGAGGACGCAGAGGAGAAGACAAGAATGGAGGTTGGGGAGAAGGATGCCGCGGTTATCAGTGTTGCCTGACGTGAGCTAGGCTTTGTTTTGGCCTGGATTAGGAGCAGAGGCGTTTAGACGGAGTCATCATGGTATCAAAGATATGTTACACTACCTATAACCTCACTATCATATCACTCCTGCTCTGCTCTCCTCGTACATACCCATTAGACTAAGCCTCGGCATCAACCTCACCAAGAGCCTCACGCCTACTCTTGCTAGCAGGGTCAAAGTACGGTCTCTCACCGAGAGCAACAACACGGTTACCCTGACGCTTCCCGCCATAATCGTAGGTCGCAGTGTGGTAAACAGAACGGTTATCCCAAATAGCAACATCATTCTTATTCCACTTGAAACGAACCTGCAAATCGTGGTTATCCGTCACCAAACGGTGAAAGTAATCCTTGAACCAGTCACTCTCGTATTTGGTCAACCCGTTGATATGGGAGAAGTGGGAGCCGAGTGCGAAGATGGATTTCCAGCCGGTGACGGGGTTGGTGCGGACGATGGGGTGGATGGCGGTCAAGTCCTCGCCGACGTTCTCGGGAGCACCGCGAGGAGCAGAGTAGAGCTTGAAAGCGTGCTTGTCGGCGGCGGCGTTGAAGTTGGGTTGAGCGAAGGTACCGGTGGCAGTGTCGAGGAACTGCCTCAATTTGGGAGAGATACGGTCGTACAACTCGTAGCCGGAGGCCCAAAGCGTATCACCACCGGTGGGGGGAAGCGTGTGGATCTTGAGGATGGTGTAGTTCGCGGGGACGGGCTCGAATGTGATGTCGCTGTGCCATCCAGTGGAGGCAAAGTTGTCACGGACCCTGTTGTTGAGGCGGTCTGCGAACTGGGAACCATAGTCGCTGTAGAGCTTGCGGTTGAGATCAGAAGAGATGACGGAGATCTCGTCGTCCTTGCGAGTGACTTCGCCGGAATCCTCATTGATACCGATATCACGTCCAGAGTTGATGACGGGGTGAATGTGAAGGCCGGAGGTGGCAGGCTTTCCGGTCAATTCACCGAGGAGGAGACCGAGCTGCTTCTGTTCATCCGTGGTGAGGGATTGGTTGCGGAAGAAAACGACGCCACGATCAGAGATGGTGACAGCCAAGTCATGGATCAAGTCTTCACGGTTCGGAGCGTTGAGGACAGCACGGAGGTCGACATCCGGGAACTCGCGACCAATGATGGGGGTAATGTCAAAGGAGTTAAAGGAGTCAAGGGATCCTCCGTAGGTGTAAGGCGTGGCCTTGGGGGTAGCATCGATGTCAAGGCTTTGTTGAACTTTGTTCTTGAGGTCGTTGAAAGTGTAAGCCGGAGCGGCGGTGTCGAGAGAAGGAGGAGCCATTGTGCTTGATACGGTTTGACTGATGCTTGTTGTGAGGTTGTTGAAGGTGAGGATTGATGTTGAGCGAGGAAGGACTAGAGTGACATCTTATATTATTTCTGCCAAACTGCATTGCGAGATCGTCTGGTGTAATCACGTACACCTCCCACGGGCCACGTCGCACGATGTCGAGCACGCAATGGCACGCGATTGATATCATCGGCTAAATGACGGAAAGAGCACCAATTGCGGTGCATACAGGTTACGAGCCCTCAGATGGAGCCTGATTAGAAATTGTCACCGGTCACTCTCCGCAAACATGGCATTCCGAGACTTTCGGGCGGGTGAGCGGTACGTTCCCACGGTAGTGCCGCAAAGCGCACCCGAAGAGAAGGGGATGAACAATGACGTTGATCGCATTGCGTGATGAAGGGGGAGCTGAAAGATATCGGCAAGATGAGCCGGATGGGATGATAGGACATGTGAATTCACTGCTTTCACGTTTCAAGAATTATACCGGGTTTTCGAGTAAGGCCATAGTCAGTGTAGTAGGAGCAACCGTAACAACAGGAATGGACTGACGATGGACTCACGATAATGGTGAAGGTATCATATTCGATATAAAATGTATCCAAGAAAGCCTGGCTTTGTACAACGGAACAAGCGAGTCTCAGCATCCTTTCGCACTTCTTTTCCTGCTCTGCATTTCCCCTCACGTTCGCTCCCGCTCCCGCTCCCGCCCCCTCGCCCTTCTCCCCTCTCCCAACTCATGCACAAGAAGACTTAGTTGCGGAACCTGAAATCCAAACGCTGGTTTCCCTTGTCACTGGTATTCTTGACGTACTCAACCTGCACCTCATGCGTAAAACTCGCCCACCTCTCCTCACGCACCCTGTTGGTGTGCCTATACCAGAACTTCAAGGAAATCCAAATAACGATCGAACTAGCCGTCAATGCAATCAACACAGAGTTACCACGGTGGAAGTAAGGCTGGTCATCGGCGCGATAGATGTAGGCGCCGGGAACTGCAAACAAGTTCGCTGCGCCGATGATTGCACCGGAGGCAACAGTACGCTTTCCAAGGGGTGCCATGTTCTCCGTCATCCATGCGATGTTGAGGGGGTGCGTGATGGGCCATCCACCGGCGATGAGGATGGCGAGGTACCTAACTCCCTTCGATGATGTCTCCGGCAAAGCACGAAGCATGATCCATCCAACCATAAACCACGCCGCGCCAAAAACGCCATGGAACCCACGTTCGCCGACACGGTCCGAGTTCCAGCAGAGAGCAACGGAGGCAACCATCTGCAGCAGATAGGGTGGCGCCGTCAAGGCGTTCGACACGAACACGTTGTAGCCGAATGTCTTGATGACAGTCGGCATGTAAGTCTGCAACGGGGTAATAGGCATCATGCCGACGAAGGTGAGGACCAGGTGAGCCCAGAGGCGAGGGTCAATAGCAGCGTCACGGATATCAGACCAAGTAACTTTTTGTTCATAATCGGACTTGACGGGGTCGTCGCGGATGAGACGGGTCACAGCAATCTTTACCTGACGATCGGTGAACCATCCCTTAGGACCACGGAGACCACCCTTAGTCCTCCCAGGACCTGAGGGGAGGTAGAAGAACGTAAGGATGGCGACGACGTTCGTGATCACTCCGTCGATGAGGAACAGCCACTTCCAACCTTCGAGCCCGGAGATGCCGTTCATCTTCAAGATACCAGCAGCCATGAGACCAGAGACAGCAGACGCGACACTCTGGACTCCCCAGAACGTAGCAAGACGGACAGCCAGCTCCTTCGTCGAATAATACCCACCAAGATAAATCAGCGTAGCAGGGATGACTCCACCCTCCGTCAACGCGATGAAGAACCTTACAGCGTAGTAACCACCAACATTCTTGATGAAGATGTGAGACCACGTAACGATACCCCAAGCGAACATTAGAATAGGAATCCAGCGGTGAGGACCGACTTGTTTGGCGATGATGGCACCGGAGAAGGTAGCGAGGGTGAAGACGAGGGCGTAGATGAGGGTTGCATTGTTCACGGCATCGATGGTGAAGCCGAGATCAGCAGGGAGGCCGGCGGAGATTGCACTGTAGCAGCGTTAGCAACTGTCGAAAGAGGCGCGCGAATCAAGTAGGAACCTACTTGGAGTTGTTCGTGCGATCCATGTTCAGGATGAAGGTCGTGAGGAGAATCCAAGGCATGAGATGCGTATCGAGCTTACGGCGAACTTTGTGTTCCTCTTCGAGGGTGTATGCCAGATCACGGACGAAGTGCTCATTCGAGGCGATGAGCGTGAAGTCGTCGGAGATCTCGGAAGGTGAATGGGAAGCCGCGACGATTCTGGCGAGCTCCTTCTCCTCGTCGCGGTTCCCGTCAACGTCAACAACGACTGGTTTAGGATGAGCGAGCTCGGATTCGACGGGGAAGGTTGACATGATGGTAGGGAGATGCAGATTGGAGCCTGTGGTACTACAACAGGAGGGACTTCATGATGTTTATCTACACTCTTGCGACTTTGACACAGGTCCTCCTTCCTCCTCCATACGTGCTCCCGTGGCTTGTAGACGCGTTCAGGTTCATGAATGGCGACATGGACCGTCCCTTCATCCTCACATACGTAGCCCATGTCTGCGTTGCATTTTCGGGCAAGTTTCATGCTTCTATCACACGTCTTACGGTTCACTCCGCACGGGTTACCGTCAATCTCCGCTTTTCTATGCAGCGCCAACATGCTCGGCCAATCTTGCCGGCCGGCACCTAAAACTTGACCTAAAACTTGACGCTCCAGGTTAAAGTTCTTATCTAAACACGGCTTTGTTTGTATCGGAGGTCTCTACCGTCTCCACGCGCAAGTTCAGTTGAGGCATATGGAGCGGTGTTGGGATGGTGTGCTCGGCCGAGGAGATCGCGCGATTTGACCGTTGGGACACAACCTTGAGCTTGCGGAGATGAAACCGGTGAGCTCAGCTGGTAAACAATGCATGATATAGCCTGAATGTTCATGAGAAGTTCTCGTATATTGGATTGCGCGATGTCAGTTTGTTCATGAGGTGTACTCGTGCATTAAAAGCTGAAGATAGGGATTAGCTATAATGATGCGGAGCATTACGGGGTCTTGCTTGGACATACCTGGGCAACGCATGGTTGTTTCTGACGAGAAACTGTAGCAAACGTGCGAAGTTCTTCGTAACAATACAAGTTTCATTTCGGAGTCATTCCTAGTCCATGTACACTGCGATCGCCTGAGATAACCATACGTCCCTTCCCATCTCCTCGCACATCCTCCCCCTCCGCACTTCCCTCCCACTCTACCATGCCATGCACACCCCAATCACACCCACTCACTCCACCTCAGCCCACCCCTCATCCCCATACTCTTATCCCACTGCGGCCCCTCTGCCTCCACGATATATCCCTGCTCACACCTATCAAACCTAATCTTCTCAACCTCCTCCTCATAATACTCATCAAACCTCTCATCCAACGCCTCAGTGAGCGAAGATACGTGATGGTGGTGAGAGGGGTGGAGCGCGGACCAGGGGGACTGGCAGGTTTCCGCGGTACAAGACTTGAGAACGAAGAGGAGTGCGTCGAGGCGGCCCAAAACTTTCTTCAAGGGGTATCCGAGGAGTTCGTAGTCCTTGATCAACGTACTGTTCGTGTATAGGTTGGTGAGTTGGTACGGATCCTTGTCGAGATCATAGAGCTCGTGCTCGTTGTTGCACCAGACCGAATAGTAGAGGCTGTAATCTTCACCCACGAGACGGAGGGCTTTGTACGTGTTGTTGGTGTAGTACCCCTTGACGTCCTCCCCCTCATGATGACTAAACCCATATTCACCCTCCTCAAGCGCAAAACCCCAGTACTCAACACCCGCATGTTCCCTCTTGCCATGCTTCTTCTGATGCTTAATGCGTTTATACGACAGAGGAATAGGCGTACCATCGAACTCCTCGCGCAACGGAATCCCAGCAATCGAGAAGAGGGTGGGTGCGAGGTCGACGTGCGTAGTCACAAGTCCATCAACCACCTCACCCTTCGGCACACCAGGTCCTCGGATGATGAGGGGAACGGCGATATCCTCCTCGAACCCACATTCCTTGCCCGGTTGGAGCCTGTGCTGACCGATATGGTACCCGTTGTCAGAGGTGTAGATGATGTACGTGTCATCCAGGAGTCCAGCCTCGGCGAGACGTGCGGTGACATTCAACACGATCTCATCGACGGCTTGGAGTGCACGGAGACGCTGACGGTAAAAATGGTCGTTATACTCGACGTTGTTCTCGCTCTGCTTCTCCAGCTTCTTGATCCAGTTAACACCGCTGGGTGTGTCGGGGTTGAAGTTTGGCGTCCGCGGAACTTTTGCGTCGGGGAAGAGATGAGTGTGTCGATCCGCCGCAAGAGGAGCCGTGGTCTTGAACTCGGGTCCGTTGATGATATCGAGTGAGTTGAATTCGACATTTGAATGCGGGGCAACCGGAGCGATGGCGAGGAAAAACGGCTCAGACTCCTCCTCATACCTCTCAACCGCCTCATCCAAGAACCCATATGCCTTGGCGGCGAGAACATCCGTGCTATACTGCCCCTTATGCGACATCGGCTTCTCACGATTCCTCTGAAACGTCGCATTCCGATACTGATATGTATACGGATCCAACAAAAAATCACTCCCCGTGAACCCCTTCACATGCGGCTCATCATAGTTATCCACCGTATGCGCATTAAACAACTTCCCCGTATAATACGTCCCATACCCCGCGTCGTTCAACCATACCGGTAACCACTTGTCGTTGAACCCGCGCTGGACGAATTTCGGGTACCCACCATACGGGGGGTTGACGTCCGTTACGTTGGTGTTGTGGGCGAGGAGACCGGTCCAGAGGGAGACGCGGGAGGGACAGCAGAGGGCTGTGGTGACGTAGTGACTGTTGTAGAGGGTGCCGTGTTGGATGAGAGTAGAGTTGAGGTGCGGCATGTAGGAGAGGGAAGACATGTGGAGGTCTTGGTCGTCTGTGAGAATGAAGACGATGTTGGGCTTCTTGCGGTCATGGAGAGGGAGCTGGAGAGGGTGTTGGTCGAAAATCGCATTGACGCTAATCGAGCTGACAGTCTGGAAAACAGTCGCCGTTGCAGCGAGGAACGCACTGAGGGTTGCGAGCTTCATTGGGTGATGTTGACGAGGTGTTGGAGATGAGCCGCAGCGGAGGATGGGTTATGTCGATCATAAAAAGACGGTCTACTAAAGACCCCCATACTGTCGTTGTAAGCTACTAGATACCCCGCTCGAGAGAGACTGCTCACAATCTCGACCACGCGATCTGCTTAGGAGGCACCTCCTCATCCCGTGTCGCGTATCTCCACCAGGTGCCCTCATAGCCATACATGCGTCTCGGCTCATCTCTGATCACGCAATCCAGTCAACCTCTAATTATGAAATGCCTCTCACGATGGTCCCCATGTTTGACCAGCTGCTATCACGTAAGCCGTCGATCAATTGTCGTGCTCGGTATTTTCGGTAGGTTCAATTTAGAGTTCGCGCCAGTTCCAATTGAGTTGTTCGGACCGTGCGCGAGACGTCCAGGCAACCGAGAGCACGGGAATTCGAAACCAGAGCACGCAATGCGAAAATTAATATTGACTACGAGCCATACAATCCAATATCCGCCGGGTACGGGATGAGGGGGCCGATAAGCCGCTCTGAGGACTAACGACTTCAGTCGTCCCTAGGAGCTGATCAAAAAGCAATCAGTCCTCGAAGAGAATTGATCCAACGCTCACCACCCCTCCTCCAAAATATCACCTGGATGAGCAGAAAAGCCGTGAACCGCTGCAGGAGCAGTGTCGCTGGATCGGACGTTCTTCCTCGTACGCGTGACAGCGCCTACGCCGAGCTTGAACGCGTCGACTACGACGATGAACACACCGAGGATTCCCCGCTCTTGAGACCTTCGCACGACGTATCTATCCACAAGTCCTACTCCAGCTGCGGATCAACGACTAAGGACGTCCTGATCCAGGTTCGCGACATCGAGTCCGCCTCCGTCACCCCTACAACCTCCTCCTCCATCACTGCCCCAAACCCTCCCCGCATCGGCAGTATCATCGCCGTCCTCCTCCTCGGGTCCTTGATCTCCAACGCAGATGGCTCATTCGTCCTCGCCACCAGCGTTTCCATCTCATCGGAGTTCTCCTCCCTCCAAAACAGCTCATGGCTCATCGCTTCGTACACTCTCGCCATGTGCGCGTCTCAACCACTTTACGGGAAACTCTCAGACATCTACGGGCGGAAAGGCGTGCTACTCGCTGCTTACGCGTTTTTCGGCATCGGGTGTGCAATCTGTGGTTTCGCTGGAAGCATGGGGATGTTGGTTCTTGGCCGTGTCGTCTCCGGTGTCGGGGGTGCTGGGATGAGTGCTCTCGTTTCGATCCTCATCACGGATCTTGTACCGCTACGTGAAGTAGCGAAATGGAGATCCTACGTCAACGTCGCTTCCACATTCGGCAGGAGTATTGGTGGACCCTTGGGAGGGTGGTTGACTGATACGGTTGGGTGGAGGTGGTCCTTCTTCGGGCAAGCACCATTGACGTTATTGGCTGCTGTTCTTGTCTACCACAAGCTCCCCGACACCGGTTCCTCCACCTCCGAGCAGATCCACAGGGACGACGGCAGTGGTACCAAACCCCAAGAATCCCACCGCTCCAAACTCACCCGTATTGACTTCGTCGGCGCCGCCCTCCTCGCCTCAACAATCACCGCCTTCCTCCTCATCCTCGAACTCGGCGGTACCCGTCTCCCCTACACCTCAACCCCCCTCATGCTCATCCTCCTCTCCACCTTCGTCTCCTTCGCTCTCTTCCTCATCACCGAATCCTGCGCGTCCGAACCGATTTTTCCGTTGTCCCTACTTTGCAATGCGCAGGTGTTGTTGAGTTATTGGGCGATGTTGGCACAGTTGGCTGCGCAGATGGGGATGATGTATTTGGTGCCGTTGTATTTCCAGGTTACGCAGTCGGCTTCGACGAGTGTTGCGGGGGCGCACTTGCTCCCGGCCGTCGTGGGGAACACTGTTGGTGCGCTGCTCACGGGGGTCTTTATCCACCGGACGGGGCGGTACAAACTCCCAGCCGTATCAGCGGGTGTAGTAGCTGCTGTCACCTACATCCTTCTCATCCTAACCTGGCATGGCGAGACGAACTGGATCCAATCCTTGTTTATCATCCCCGGTGGTTTCGGTACAGGGATTGCGCAGACGGCTGTATTCATCGCTCTCACTTCCGCCGTCCAAAAATCAGCCATTGCAATTGCGACGAGTGGGTTATATCTCGCTTCCAACATAGGCATGGTACTGGGTGTTTCGCTTACCTCCGCCGTTCTCCGGACCTCCCTTGCCCTCCTTCTGGGGAAACAGGACGTGCCCGAGGAGGTAATTACGAGGGTTTTACAAGACGTGGAGGAGGTTCAAAAGTTGGCAGAAGGGGATAAAATGGTTGTCGTGGGGTGTTACGTCCATGCAATCGAGTACACACACGTACTGAGTCTCGTTTTGGCTGTAACTGCGGTTGTGGCCGGGCTTTTTCTTCGGCAGAGGAGAATCGGGTGAGAAAGCAGAAAGCGTCGAAGTAACTTGTGATAGACAGATGTAGTCGCAAGAATCAATGGAAGACGTAATATCATCTATGAAGTGTGAGGAGCTGCAGCAAAAGGATGAGGTCGTACCCGGATTCGAACCGGGGTTGTTCGGAAGCCAAGGCGTCAGAACCGAAAGTGATAACCGCTACACTATACAACCAGATATGGTACCTGAAAACCAAACGTTATCCAAGTTCACCGGCAAAGAGAACGTCGGCGTACGAATAATGATTCTGTTTGCCCCTCTGCACCAGCAGTATCACAAAGGAGTTGGAGCAGTGCAGTTAGCATTGGCAGCCCGTATGGTAGCAAGTGTTCCAGGCCAAGCTGCCTTCGTTGTCGTCTCAAAATGCGATCTCTATCGCTTTTTTATTAACCTCACATACTCATACACTCCCCACTCAATATCCTACACCCCAACTCCCCTCCCCTACTGCTTCTTCTCCCCATTCTCAACCATGCCCTCACACCCAACAACCTCCCCAACCTTCTTCTCAATCCCCCCCAAAAACGACGCATCCTTCCCTGTCCCAGCACCTGCTGCGCCCATGCGGGAGGAGGATCCCAAGTCGTTCGCGGCCTTCATTTCGGAGATCGCGGCGGATTTGTCGTGGGAGCCGGCGTCGGTCCAGGATTTTGCGCCGGTTACGGAGCCGATTGTTTCCTGTGGGCACAAGTGTTAGTACGTGAAGGACGGGGGGAAGAAGGGGAGGAAGTGTATGTACTTCGAAGGCGCCTTTGGCGTATTGGGCGTGGCCGTGGATGAGGGAGGGGCTTGTGGAGTCTGACATATTCGCTTGTTTTTGTACTTATGTTTGTTTGATGGAGGTGCTACTGGTGGATGGAGGTTCAAGGGTATATATATCGAAGGTCCTCGAGATGCATGACGTCATGAAGCTTAAGGACTATGAATCGATATCAATACCGAGACGAATGAGTTTTCAATATGTGCGACGTGCTTTGGAACGATCAAACTTCGGTATTCATAACTACCTCACCTTACAGCTAGATTTTAACGGCGACTGTGACATAGTCCTATACACGTAGCCACACCCCACTTCCCTTTGATGCTCATCCCCATCTTCCTTCGTTTTACTGTCCCTCAACCTTCTCCGCAACCTCCTCAACCTTCTTCTCTTCCTCCCCCGACGTCGCGACCTTCTCCTCAGTCTTCTTAACCCCGAACCTCTCCGCGCGCTTCCTCGCTTTGTCCAACTCCGCTGGGTCGAGCTCGGCTTTCCTCTTTTCCGCCGCCGGGGCTTGCTTCACGTTTTTCTTGGCTGCGGCTGCGGCGGGTGCGGCCTTGGTCGGTGCGGGTTTGGGGACAGCAGCGGCGGGAGCAGGGGCAGGCTTCTCCTTCGGTGCCTTCGGCGCAGGCTTCTCGACCACACCGAACCTCGCCTCACGTCTCTTGCGCTTCTCTTCCTCAGCAGCTAAACGCTTCGCTTCCGCGTCGTCCTTCTCGGTCGTGGCAGGCGCAGCGGCAGCGGTTGCAGCAGTGGTGGTCGCGATGGTGGAGGGCTTGGTGGAGGGGGCACCGGTGTCGAAAGAGGCACCGAGGCGCTTGAAGGTGAACCCGGATTCCTTGGTGACGGTTTTGGGTTTCGGGGCTGCTGCGGGTACACTACTCGAATAGATCAGCGTCACCCTTCATACTCACTCACAGCATCGTATCGGCGCTGATATCGGCTCGACCACGGTAGGGTAAACAACGTACGCTTTATCCTCACTCAAATCTGGCTTCGCGCCCTCCGCCTCAACCTTCTCCAAACTCGGCTCAGGTGCAGGCTGCGCATCCGTCGTCCCAGAAGCCGCCTCCGCGCTCAGATCATCGCCTGTCGTCACCGATGGGTCGGTCACAATTGCGGCAGAAGGAGCGGGGGTAGGGTCTTCGTCCCAGTTGATTTCTTCTTCGGGAGGAGCAAAGTCGGAGGTCTTGGACATGATTATTATTGGGATCGAGGTGGTGGTTGTAGGGATGGTAGAGGACGCGTCTGTGAGGGATGCGAGATGATGAGCGTGCGCAGCCGACGGGGTGCGAACGGTTGAGAGGATGGTGGAGAGAAACAAGGGACGGTGAAGGCAGGATGGAGGCCTTTTAAACTCGCTTGAAAGTGAAGAAATAAATGTTAGAAATGACAAAAGGCTGGGAAACAGTCAGCATGCTCATTCATGTCGACCCTGCCGGCCCCAACAGCACCTCACTCAAGCGTCAACGTCGTACAACACACGTCGCTCAGTCGGTCCGTCGTCAAAGGCATGAGAAATTCGCCTGGACAGAAGTTGGGTGATGCGTTTGCGAGACTGCAAAGAGAATGGGAATGTTGCTTTCTTCTTGTTGGCATTAATCGCCTTCGTATGCTTCAACTGCGACGTGGTACGTGGAATGACGAGGGAGCGGCGTCTGCAATTACGGTACTACCCCACATCAACCCTCTCATGATTTTCCATCCCTAACATTCTCATGACAGTGACGAAGCAAGATCAGACTTCTTCCATGGCTTCGATGGGTACATGACCCATGCCTTTCCCGCCGACGAACTCAACCCAATAACATGCTCCCCGCGCGGACGTAACCTCCGAGACCCGAACGACCTCGGCGTAAACGACGTCTGTGGAGGCTTTTCCCTGACATTGATTGACTCGCTACCGACGCTGGCGCTGATGAATCGGACGAGGTTTGAGGAAGGGGTGAGGGGAGTCCTCGACTCCTTGGGCGAAGAAGGGTTCGATCTGGATGTGCGGGTGCAAGTCTTCGAAGTCACGATTCGAGTGTTGGGAGGATTACTCTCGGCACATCAAGAAGCACAAGGATTGGATTGGTACAACAACGAACTCCTCCACCTCGCGCACGACCTCGGCACACGCCTCCTCCCCGCCTTCGAAACACCAACCGGAATCCCCTGGCCCCGGATCAACCTCCGCAACGGCCTCGCACTCCACCCATCCGAAAAAGAAAGATCGACAAACAACGCCGCAGGCGCCGGCTCGCTCATCCTCGAATTCACCCTCTTGTCCCGCTTAACCGGCGATGAGCGATTCGAATCCGTCGCCCGCCGCGCGTTCTTCGCAGTCTGGGATCGCCGAATCCGAACACGCCGAGGCTCAGGACTGGGTGTGGTGGGTAATGAAATCGATGCTTGGACGGGTGAGTGGGGGAGTTATATCACGGGCTTGGGCGCGGGGGTTGATTCCTTCTACGAATACGCCGTTAAAGCACACATCCTCACCGGTGACGAAGCATATCTCCGAGTCTGGGACGAGTCGTACGCAGCCCTGCGTCTGTATTCCGCAGATAGTGGCGGATGGGTCTGGAAGAATTTTCATGTTGTGCATGGGTGGGTAGCGACCTTCTGGATCGACTCGCTCGCTGCGTACTTCCCGGGCCTGCTAACCCTCGTCGGCGAGGTGAAGGCCGCGGAAAAGATGTGGTTGGTGTATTGGGGACTGTTGCGACGGTATGCGGCAATCCCGGAACGTTGGGATTGGAGACGGAGGGAGGTTGAGGTTCAGGTTGGGCATTATCCGTTACGGCCGGAGTTTGTGGAGTCCACGTATCATTTGTGGAGGGCGACGGGAGATGAGTATTATCTTTCCGTAGGAGAAGTGATCATGAGAGACTTGGAGCGGAGGTGTAAGACAAGGTGTGGGTGGGCTGGGCTACAACGCGTGGAGGACAACATCGCCGGCGGGAAGGGAAGGGAAGCAAATTGGCAGGATCGGATGGAGAGTTTTGCACTGAGTGAAACATGGAAATACCTATTCCTCATGTTCGACGAGAAGAATCCATTGCATAAGGGAGATGCGCCGTGGGTGTTTACAACGGAGGGACATCACATCTACATTCCCTCTCACCTTCGACAAGTGAACCCGAGCATAAGGGAGCCAAGAGCGCCCGCGACAAATGTGACGATGAAACGGGTGTGCGAAAAGCCTGCGCGACAAGGGTTCTGGAGTGGTGTTGCGAGCAGAACGGATCTCCACTTTCCGGCTATGTTAACGGGTGCGGATCTCTTTGTATCGCATGTGCGGGGTGTTCCGTTCCCATCGACTCCCGAAGGTGTCTGCTCTACCGCGATTCCATACGCCGAGCAATATGAGGTGCTGTTCGGGAAGAAGAGCTTTGAAGAAGTAAGCACTGACCGCGGTGGGTTTGCCGACATGGCGGTAAAAGTTGTGAAGGAGATGGGGCGGGTGATTGTGAGGGAGTTGGAGGGAACCGTGATGCGGAAGCCTTAGCCCAGGCACCATACTACTGTTCTGGTGCAGCAGTGACGTCACGCGAGTCAGTCCCTAATACTACCTCCAGACACAACGCGAGGTCAGCAGTCAATCATAATGACCATCTCAACACCCTCCTTCCTCCACCGCCTCGAATCCCTCCTCACCCAGGGCCTCCCCGACCCCCAAACCTTCCACCACGCCGTCCTTGCTCGCCTCCGCCTCTCCCTCACAACAACCCTCTTCCAACTCCTCCTCCAACTCCCCACACAACTCTCAACACAACTCCTCTCCTCCCTCCAGTCCCCACCCTCCCCATCCTTCGTCGAGAAAAACACCAAAATGATGACCTCCGCACCCGGGTTCGAGGGCCGTTGGATAGCGTTTGGCTTGAATCCTGCACTGGATTGGGAAAGTATCATCACGAGTTCGGATGAGAAGTGGACAGTCATCTTGTTCTTCCACGCAGGCGGCTGGGTCGTGGGCGACGAACTCACCCACCACGCCTACCTCTCCTCCCTCCTCCTCTCCCTCCGCCGCCACCACGGCCCAAACACCGCGATCCTATCCCTAAAATACTCCCTCGCATCGCCTTCCTCGACCACCCGCCCTGCGCAATTCCCAACGCAGCTGGTGGAGGGGCTAGCGGCGTACGCTTACCTCTCCCATACCGCACGTATCCCACCCACCCGACTCATCATCGCCGGTGCGGGGAGTGGTGGTGCACTCGCCGCATCCCTCGCTCTCATCCTGTGTGATCCGGAACGTGACCACGTCCTCCCAACCCCCTCCGCACTCTTGTTGTTTAGCCCGTGGGTGAGCCTGAGTTTGGCGCAGATGGATCAAACCTCCTCTTCAAATTCGGACTCGTCCTCGCATGTCAGGAATGCCACGACGGATGTGTTTACGCCCGTGTTCCTAGCGGACAGCGTTAAAGCAAACATGCCCACCCATGCGAAGCGTTCGTATCGATCTGAGCCCCGGTTGGCGGCTGACCCGCATCTCGCACTCCTCCCACCCACATTTATCTCCGTTGGGGAGAGGGAGGTAATCCGTGACGACGTCCTCGGGTTCGCTTCGCGTTTACGGGGTGGGGAGTGCAAGATTGATACGTACGAAGGCGCAGGATGGTGGGACATCGCACTCGACCCAACCGCATCCTGGGGAATTGCTCAAGGTGACGGTGAAGCCGGAGCCGAAAGAGCGGCGGGGTGGGCTGCGGGTGTTCTGAGGGGCCATGGTAGGGTTAGGGAGTATGTTTATGGGGAGGGATTGGTTGAGCAGGAGGGAGGAGGAGGGGGTGTGGTGGGTTTGGGGAGTATGAGTGGGGCGTTACGGAGGGGGGAGTATAAGAAGTTGGGGAAGATTGAGTTGGGTGAGGTGGTGTCATAACGTACACCAAGAAGAACAGACAGCAATACAAAACTCATATACACACAAACGCTCAAGTCTCGACACGTGCAACCTCCCACAAATACGCCCCCAACAACTTGATCCCCTCAACATAATTCCCCCGATCCAACTTCTCATTCACACTATGCGCACCATCATCATTCCTCCCCATCGGAAGCAACAACACGTTTACGCCCAACTCTTGCTCGAACGTCAATGTCACCGGGATAGAACCACCTTCGCGTGTGAGATCGGGAGAGACCCCAAAGACGGATTGCACAGCCGTCGAGGCAGCGCGGTAGTTCCAGTGGTCGGGTGATGCGACCCAGGGGCGACCCTCATGCAAACACGTAACACTACAAGTATTCTTCGATCCCAACCCCTCGAAAACGGCGTTGACGTGGTTCTTGACGAGACTGGTCAGGTGATCGGGTTCCATATCCGGAACGGTACGGATACTGAATTTCCCCTGTACTTTTGCCGGAATGACCGTTTTTGCACCCGAGGCCGAAAACGCACCTTCGATTCCGTGGAGGGAGAGGGAGGGGTATCGCCAGCGTCTCATCAGCGTCTCTTCCACCCCTTCGCAGATTTGGGTCTGAGATCCCAACGCGGACTCGAGCTCGTGCATGGAGAATGTGAGGTTTTGGTAGAGGGAGCGTTCGGAGTCGGTCAGGGGCGCGACTTGGTCCATGATGCCTGGGATCGTGATCGTACCGTTGGGTAGGACGAGGGATGCGAAGATGTGGGAGAGATCGGTGAGGGGTTCGTGGACTGTTCCGCCAAAGACACCGGAGTGGAGATCGGCTGCGGGGCCTGCGATGGTGATGTTGAAGTAGGAGACGCCGCGGAGGCCGTAAGTTAGACAAGGCTTTGTCGTTCCGAGCCAGTAGTTGTCGGAGATACATACTGCGTCGACACCATTGAAGAACTTATCTTTCTCCTCCCTAATCAAGTCGTCGAGGCCTTCGGATCCGTATTCCTCCATTCCCTCGAGACAGAATTTGATGTTGACAGGGACTTCGATTCCGGCTTTTTTGTATGCTTGGAGCGCACAGATCCACCCGAGCACGGGGCCTTTGTCATCGGTCGAGCCACGGCCGTACATGCGTCCCGTCTCCTCATCAATCGTGAGCGTGAACGGATCAGTATTCCATCCATCATCCTTGAGCGCAGGTTGCACGTCATAATGCCCATACACCAAAATGGTCTTTTTCCCCTCGTCTTCTCCGTACTGTGCCAACACGATCGGGGGCAAGTCGAGGTCGGGCTTATCGGGTTGTTTACCCAACGCCCTCTGTTCGACCGTGGAACATCCGAGGTTCTCGAGCTGCTCGGCTAGGAAACCGGCCATGCGGACGACATCGGGGCGGTTGGCGGGGTCGGCGGAGATGGAGGGGATGGAGACCGCAGCGCGGAGGAGGTCGATCGAGGCTGGGACGGCTTTGTCGACTTCGGCGAAGAATTTGTCCATTGGATTGTTGGTCATGGTTGGGATTGAACTGGGTTTGGGGGTACTTGGAAGGGAGGTTTGGTTGGTGGTGACGTTGAGCGCCGAGTGCAAGGCGGCTCCTGCTGCGTCGGCAAAGGTTGCCAGCGTGTGAAGGGAGTACCCGGCCGGTCATGAACGACTTGATTAGTAAGATGGATCATTCAAAGTGATAATTGATCCAATCTGGGACGAACGACTCACTACGCGCATCATATACCGCGGCCGGGTCGGCACTGACTGGAGCCTTTATGTGAGAAATGAAACCGTATCCTCGAAGAAACTAGATGCAAATGAAATACCAATTGTTGCTATGCTATACCCTTCCTATACTCCTCCTATGCCTACAACTACTCCGAATCCGAATCAAACCTAGACATATCCCCCTTCGAAACATGCTTCTCATCCTTCTTCTTGCTCTTCTTGTCCTTCTTGTCTTTCTTGTCTTTCTTGTCCTTGGACTTTTCTTTTTTATCGCTCTTCTCCTTCTTGCTGGACTTCTCCTTCTTCTCCTTCTTTTCCTTCGTCTCTTTCTTGGACTTCGACATCTTTTCCTCCTTGGTTGGCTTCACGGGCTCATCCTCGTCGACGTCCTTGAACTCCTCCTCACTAGATTCGTCATCATCAAACACAACCTTCGTCTCCTCCACCTCCTTCATGTCCTCAGCGCCATCCTCGCTTTCACTCTGACCCTCAGCCTCGCTTTCAGCGTCAGTTTCCGCCTCATCCTCATCCTGACTCTCCTCAACCTCCCCCCCAGTAGCCCTACACACGACCCTCGCCCTCCCCCTCCTCCTCCCCCTAAGCTCCCTCTCCTCCTCCCCATCCTCCCCCTTCGTCTCCTCAATCACCTCCCTCGCCTCCTCCCTTAACCTCGTCTTCGCCGGCCCCTCCGGCAACCCCTGGAGGTATGTCCGAAGGTACGCGATGTGCGTGTCGGGGATAATCGGATCGAGTGCGTGTTTCAGGATGAATGTTTGGAGGTTTTTGCGGAATTTCCAGGTTGGGCGGGAGGTGGTGTAGGTGGTGAGGTAGTCGAGGGCGGAGGTTGTTGTGGAGTCGGAGGGTTTGTCTTCGCCTTTGCTCTTTCCCTGAGGCTTGGGCTTGGGTTGTTTCTTCTGCTTCTTCGTTTTCTTGTCTTCCGTCGTGGAGTTCTTCTCCTTTGTGACTTCAGCTTCAGCTTCATTATCCCCAAACTTAATCTTCGTCCCCGCAGACGCCGCCGGCTTCTTCTCCTCCTTCTTGTCCTCGCCGTCGGCGTCCGTGGTTTCTTGACGAGCCTTCTTGGCCGCAGCACCACCCGTGACGTTACCCTCCTTCCACGCCTCAGCTCTCTTCCTCTTCTTCTCGCTCAGATTCGGGGGAGCTGTGGTACTGGTCTTTTTCAACGCCGATTTCTTCGGCTGAGCTGATCCCTCGGCGCCGGCGGCGGGAGCATCTTCACCGTCTTTTGATTGATCTTTCTTGAGAGACAAGAACTTTTGCCAAGCTGGAGGCATTCTGGAATGATTATGGAGGTGTGTTTGTTTGTTCGAACTATTTTGCTTCGATACGAAAATAAAGTTGTATAAAGAATGAAGTGCGACAGGCACGCGCCGGCGCTGGGATTCGAAACGTCAAAGGTAACCTCCAACGAGATCAGAGAAGGTCAACGGACAGGATGAAGCTCGACATTCTGAGCGTAACAGGGAAGCGGAAAGTCCTGGATTACGGCGACAATGGTCTCCTCGGTAGGTCAATCATCACACGTCATGAGTATCTGATCTGACAATGGAAACGGCCTACAGGCTCCTGCGTCGGCATCGCACACTTCAAGAAGCTCAACCGCGTAGGCGAAGGAAGTACGTCTCGCCTCCATCTCTCCCTCCTTTCCTGCCTTACGAACGTATACTAACGAGCCCACCTTCGAACAGCCTACGGCATCGTCTACCGCGCCCTCGACACTCGCTCCCCCTCCACCCCAATCATAGCCCTAAAACAAATCCGTCACACCATCTCCGACACCCGGGACGGCATCCCCACCTCAACCCTCCGCGAGATCTCCCTCTTGCGCAGTCTAAAGCACCGTAACATCGTTAACGTCCACGACATCGCCGTGGATCCGGAGAATGTGGATGAGGTCACGCTGGTAATGGAGTATTGCGAGGTATGTTCTTGAGCGTTGTGGATAGGTGAGGCATCGAGACGCATTGCTGGCGGTTTGTGTGCGTGTAGCAAGATCTGGCGAACCTACTCGATATCCACAAAATGCGATACACCCCCTCCGAAGGTACCCCCTATTCCTCTCCCCCATTCTTCCATCCCCCCCTAACAAAGTACGATGACCACAGTCAAATGCTTGATGCACCAACTCCTCTCCGGCCTCTCCCATCTCCACAAACACTCCCTCCTCCACCGCGACCTAAAACCCCAAAACCTCCTCCTAACCTCCACCGGCACCCTCAAAATCGCCGATTTCGGACTCACACGCCCCTTACCCCCCTCCTCACGTCCAATGACGCCAACGGTGTGTACAATATGGTATCGGCCGCCTGAACTGCTTTTTCCGGAGGGGGTGGGGGAGGGAAGTGGTGGGGTGAGGTATGGGCAGGCTGTTGATATGTGGAGTGTTGGGTGTGTGTTTGGCGAATTATTGTTGGGGCGGCCTTTGATGCCGGGAGGTGACGAAAAGGAGCAGCGTGAGCTAATCATCCAACTCCTCGGCCACGGACCCGCTTGGACGCGCTCTGGTCGCACCTCCTCCTCCCTCCGGTCAGAGGGTCAATTGGAATACCTCTTCGCCTCCCACACGAAAGAAACCCGGCGTCTCCTCCGTGGTCTACTATGGTGGAATCCCCGCGACAGGTACCGCGTTAACGAGTGTTTGAGGAGTGCATATTTCAGGGAGGACCCGGTGATGCAAAGGGAGGAGATGTTGCCGACGTTTCCAGAGGGGAGGGGTGAGGTGTCGAGAGGGATGGGTGGGAATGTGAATGGGGAGAAGAGGGGGAGAGGGGGGGATGATGGGTATGTGTTTGAGTGGGATGAGAGGGAGGATAAGCGCTCGAGGCGGTGACTCAACAGCGGGGTGAGTGTGGATTGTGGGTAGATGACGACAGGATACATAAGGAGTTGATCTCTTTGAGTGGGACGACCAAGCGGTCAACACGATGAACCCAACCCAACACAACGAAGAGAAGAACAAGTGATGGCAACAGACTCAATTCCCATCCAGCCATAGCGTACACAAAATGTAAAAAGAAAGAAAGAAAGACTTATTTCGCTTTTCATGCATAATGTGCCCTTCCGACCATGTTTTTCGTAACATACACTATCGCCTCGCCAAAACCCGTGATCCGGCAATCCTCCACGATATCGTCGCACTCCAAGCTTCATTTAATGACGCTTCGCTCCGCAAGTTTCAAGTGTCGCTCACTGCTTCTTGGGCCCACCCAAAGGCTGTCCAATATCCTTTCCTCTCAACTTAACACCCAAAGCCCTCTCCAACTTCCCAAGCAACTGCTGGTTCGGCACCGCCCTCGCGGCCTCATAATCGTTAATCACATTCGGCTTCTCATTCACCTTTTGTGCCAACTCACTCTGCTTCATCCCCTTATCCATCCGTGCCTTCTGGATCGTCTTTCCGAGGTCCATGGAGATAGTCTTGGGTGGTGCTACCTCGTTTTCTCGGTCAATCTTGGTGAGGCGTTGGCCTTCGGTTCCGGCGACGGAGTTGGGGCCAGAATATTTTTTCTCGGTACCGACGATTGTGCCGGCACGTTGGGCTGCGTTGATTGCGGAGGAGGTACGAGCGGTTGCGGTGCGGGTTGAGGCAGCGCGGGAGCCAACCTTGACGACGTCGTCCCAGCCGGCGTTGGATTGCATTTTTGTAGTGTGGTTTGTGGTGGTGTGGTAGAAGAGTAGATGTGTGGAGCGATTGAGCTCTGTAGGTGGCAAAGGTGAGTAAGATGAAAAAGGAGGAGAGGGATAGGGGATCGTTACCTTATATATCAGGATCTTTGGGTGGCGATTCGGTTTTGGTTTGGTGGTGAGTTTGACATCGAGTTGCGCTTCCGCCGCGCAGAAAGATCCGTGAGCTTCGGTGACGCAACCAGATAGATGAAGTTGGGTTAATGTTTTATTTAATTAGGAAATGTCGTGAGAAACGAGCCGAAAGCATTCATCAGCTATTCGAGTTGCAGTTGTCCATCTACAAGCCGTCTATCTGGTCCCTTACTCAGCCGCAGCCCCCTCCTTAACCGCCTCCCTCCCCATCTTCTTGTCCAACCGCACAGCCGGATTACTCCCGATAAACCCAAGACTGACCTTATGACCCAACAACTCCCTAATATTATCAACTCCATACTTAATCATCGTCGGTCTCTCCAACGACAATCCCCACCCAATGACTCTCACGCCTTTTGGCAATCCCATAGGCTCCAACATCTCAGGACGGAAAAGTCCGGAATTCCCGATTTCGACCCAGCGTTTGAGACCAGAGTGGTACGAGAAGATTTCCATGGAGGGTTCGGTGTAGGGGTTGTAAGCGGCTTTGAACCTGAGATTCGTGACGCCCATTTTCGCAAAGAAAGTTTCCATGAAGCCGATGAGATCACCGAGCGTGAGGTTGTAGTCAGCGATCACACCTTCGACTTGGTGGAATTCCGCCAAGTGCGTAGCGTCAACGGATTCGTTTCTGAACACGCGGTCAATGGAGAAGTATTTTGCGGGTTTGAAGCCGCCGGGGGCGTTGGCAAGTTTGTAGAGGATGTTGGTGGAGATGGAGGTTGTGTGTGTTCTCAGGACCAGTTTCTCTGTCTCCTCCTCCTTGTACGGATATCTGTACCCAATGGACCCAAAGCCGCCCTTCTCGTGGACGTCTGCAACACGCTGGACGTACTCTTTGTCGTCAGGCAACCCGGCGCCTTGTGGGTCCTTGATGAAGAAAGTGTCTTGCATGTCGCGGGCGGGGTGTTGTTGAGGAACGAAGAGGGCGTCGAAGTTCCAGAAGGAGGATTCGACGAATTTGTTGGTTGGCATTTCTTGGAATCCCATCTCGAAGAAGATATTCCTGAACTCCTCGCGGACCTTCATCAAAGGGTGGAGGGCACCGCCGGCGGGTGGGACACCCTGTGCGTTGAAGTTGTATTTCTTGAACTCTGTTTTGCGCCACGAACCCGATGCGATCATCTCCGCAGTAAGATCGGTTTCGAGTTTTTGGATGGTGGTGGAGAATTTGGGACCCTTCTCCACGCTGAACGACAGAGACTTTTGCAACGCAACCAACTTCCTCTTCTTCAAATCCGCCAAAACTTTCGCGTTCTTCAAGTTTCCAGTCTCCTTAACCTCCTTCAATTGCGCCTGCGTCACATCCTCAACCTCATCAACACACTTGACCAACTTTCCATTATCCTGCTTGATCCACTTATTCCTGAACGCAGCTTTCTGTCCCAAACCCGCAACCTCCTTCCCCACCTTCGCCTGCAAATCCTGAATCGTCAACCCCTCCAACGCAGCCCTAACAACCTCAAAAACCCTCGCCTCGTAACTTCCCTCCGCGAGAAGGCCTTCTGCCTCGGGTGTGAGGACCCATGTATCACGGGTAATGTTTTTGTAGGTCAACATCTCGCGCGCGGCGAGGGAGTTGAGCGCACCCTGGATCTGAAGCTGCTCGAGGGTGGTGCCATCGGGGGAGGTGAGGGAGAGGGTATCCGGGATGGAGGAGTCGGTGTCGAGGGTTGTGAGGATCAGGGATTGGAGGGATTCGGTTGAGGGAGCCATCTTGGTTGTTGACCTTGATTTCCTTCGAGGAGCTCTTGGTGGAAGAGTACTTTGTCGGTGCGGTTCAGATTTCGGGGCTGGTGAGGGGGAGCGTGCCTGAATACGAGTCTACGTTACCGACCGAGAGCTCCTCGACCCCTCCATTTGTAAGAGGGTAAACAGGCTGGCATTCCAATATACTTGTCGATCAACTCTTCGTTATCAGCATGCCGAGCAAAAACGCGAACGCGCCAAAGGCAGCACCCGCGGCGGTGGATGCGAAGACGGTTGACAGGAAAGATGTCAAGACTACCGAGCCACTGAACCGTATATCTGCCCCGTCACTCTACACCTTCCACGAAACTAATACGTTCGGGTAGCAAAAACCACACACTACGAATTCGCCGGTCCCATAGGTGCGCTTGGCGTAACCCTCCTCACCCCAGCCTTCACCTACCTCCTCTACTTCGCCTGCAACGAAACCTCCTGCTCCTCGTCCTTCCTCTCCCTCGCTTCTCTTCAATCTCAATGGCCGGGGTGGGCTGGATTGCTTGATCCTGAAGCTATCAGGGCGTATCTGAAGTGGTGGCAGTTGTTATTGGTGTTGTGGGTTTTCATTCCTGGGCCTTGGGTAGAGGGGACAGAGTTGAGGGATGGGACGAGGGCGCAGTACAAGATGAACGGGTTCCGGACTTTCGTGGGCGTGATTGCGATGCAGGTTGGGGTGTTGTTGTGGTACGGGCCCAGACATGCGGTGTTTACGTTTGTGTGGGAGCACTACCTCGGACTCATCACCGCCGCGTGTCTCTTCTCCTTCGCACTCGCCATTCACGTTTACGCATCCTCCTACATCCCCGCCAAGAATGGTGGCTCTAAGCTCCTGGCATTGGGCGGGAATTCTGGGAATGTGATTTACGACTTCTTCATTGGCCGCGAATTGAACCCCACCCTCAACCTCCCCTTCCTCCCTGACCAACCCTTTGACATCAAACAGTTTGCCGAACTCCGCCCGGGTATCATTCTCTGGGTCGCTCTCAACATCGCGTTTGCCGCGCACCAGTTTGTCGAGTTTGGGAGGGTGACGGATAGTATTGTGCTTGTCTGCGTTTTCCAGGGATGGTACTGTTTGGATTCACTGTGGAATGAGGAGGCGGTATTGACAACAATGGATATCACGACAGACGCGTTCGGGTTCATGTTGTCCTTCGGTGACCTCGTCTGGGTTCCCTTCACCTACTCGCTCCAAGCACGATATCTCGCTTCCCATCCCATTGATCTGGGGTTGTGGAAGTCTGCGGCGATTGTAGCTGTGCAGTTGACTGGGTACTACATCTTCCGCTCTGCAAACACCCAGAAAAACACCTTCCGCAACACCCCTACCCACCCCTCCGTCTCCCACCTCACCTACCTTCAGACCTCCTACGGTACACGCCTCATAACATCTGGATGGTGGGGAACTGCACGTCACATCAACTACCTTGGTGACTGGATCATGGCGTGGGCCTGGTGTCTCCCCACTGGATTTGCGACGCCAATCACATATTTCTATGTCGGGTATTTCGCGGTGTTGTTGGTACATCGGGAACGGAGGGATGAGGAGAAGTGTGGAAGGAAGTATGGGAAGGATTGGGAGGAGTATAAGAGGAGGGTTCGATGGAGGATCGTGCCGTATGTGTATTAGAGTTACGGACACTGCCAAATAATACACGATCGTTGCCGTAGCCTGGCCCAGGCGATTTTCCACATATACCATGATCGACAAGATCGGTCCGAGGCGTCAACTTCGATGATCCATAGGATATCGAGATGTTCATCCTCGACTTGCTTACAGCAACACCGGTGTACCAAATTGAAAACCTATTTCAGTACCGTATTTCAACCATTATACCTTCAAATGAGAGCTCAGGTTTCGGCACAGACTGACCCGCGTCACGACTCGCATGGTGGCTCAATAAGGTTTTCCCAGGACCTACACGCGTGTGAGCTGGCCCGCAACCTTATTTTCGAACTCAACTATTCTCAGCATTGCAGGCAGGGGAAATGGTTACGGTCATGAGCCATATTTGTTACTAATATTAGTCACGAAGCTCTTCGGACTTTCTCGATCCGGGTCCGTGAAGTTTCGGATCGGAGGTTTTTGTGGAGGGGGGGTGAGTGAGAGGAGGGCAGATTACGATCTCAATTCGAGCAGGTTGGTGGGCTATTGTTTGCTGTTTAGACATGTATACAGTCATGGGTCAGGTTGTTTTCCACCGGGAACGCAATGTCGAAGTCTCTACCGATCTCGAGGCTGAGCCGCTCGACAATTCCCAAGAACACTTCTCCATTAGAGAGGGCTTGGCACTCTACACCAGGTATTTCTCTAGATCCATCTTGATCTCGTGTCGTCATCCACGGCCTTACCTCTGCGGAGGGACTGCGCAGCGGCTTTCGGAGCAATTCATGCCTGGACACCTGGCCAGGTGATATGAACTGGGTATACCGGGTAACATGCTCTAACATCGCCGCTCGTGATAATATCGAATCATCCATCGATGGAGGCGTCATCGTGACCCGGTCTGGGAATGGCTGATACCTGCTCAGCTGCTCACCCCACTGCGGCTGGCTAGATTGCTGCTGGGTACGTATATATCAGGAGGCATCCCACCCTCTCAGCCGGCGAGGAATCCTTTAGCGAATTACAATTGCTAAACCCCACAATCGCTCCAAACTCCAACCAAGACATGTTCATCAAGAGCTTCATCGTCGCCTCTCTCCTCTTCACCACCTCCACCCTCGCCAACCCCATGGCCGCCCTCCACCGCCGCCAAGCCTCCGACACAACCTCCGCAACCCTCACCTCCATAACCGGCACAATCGTTTCCCCCGCTGGCCCAACCCAACTCTCCTCCCTCGTCTCCGCATTCTCCTCTCAATCCCAATCCGCCGCCTCAGGCTCTGGGTCGGCAAGTGATCTGGGATCGATCGTGAGTAGTTTGTATTTGATTGCGGTTAATACGACGGGGACGATTACGCCGCTTGGGACTACGGCGACGGGGATCCCGGAGTATTGTACGGGGGTTGTGAGTATTTATGCTTTCTTGTCGGGGGCGGCGAGTTCGTGCCAGAATGCCTCGACCACTGCTACCTCCGGGTCTGCTTCTGCTGCCTCTGCCTCTGCCTCGGCTTCGGCTTCGGCTTCAGCTTCCGCTTCGGCTGCACCGTCCAACAACTCCTGCGCCCTCATCGATGAATACTTCACCGCAGCCGAACTCGCCCTCGACGCCTGTACCAACCCCTCTGCTTTCCCGTCCGGTATCGCAACCTCGTACCTCGGCATATTCTGGACGAGCGCGTGTGCGATCTTGGGGGGTGGAGGGAATGTTAGTGTTATGACGGGTAGTCCGGATGGGTTTAGTTATAGTTGTGCAGCGTTGACGGTGTTGGGGAGTGCGCCGGCGAGTGCGAGTGCGAGTGCGAGTGCTACATCGGGTTCGGCTGCGGCGAGTTCGGCTGCGGCGAGTACGACGTGAGAAAATTGTGGAGGAGATTGAATTAGTCTTTGGGCATGGAGGAGATGGGTGTACGTTATGGATGTGGTTGGAGATACAGTATTGATTTACGGTTTTTGGATTTCAAAGAAGGGCGATCTTTGTATGAATAGAATGGATGTCCTTCCGGCCCGATTGATAAACGTATAATATAGTTGGAGGTTATCGTGTTATGGTGAGGCTAGAGCTTCCCACGGATTCCAAAAGTATCGCGCGCGCAAATCTCGACATCGACGTGCAACTGCCGAGTCCTCGGTGATCATGACATGATGACAGCCTCGAGAGAAAACAACGTCAAACGACGGAATCTCGACTGATCCGTCGATATCGAGCTTATATAACCCTTTTATAATCCTTCTTGAACATTCCATCCGTAATCCAGCGTAGATCACCTCCAAAATCAACCCCTCACCCCTATCGGCCGCCTAAATCTTGGATTTCCTCTCCGCCGCGACCCATCTCCAGTCGACCGACCCTTCTCCGCACCGGACCCGACAGGCACGAGCTCGAAGCCCATTACCTCATTAAACAAACCTCCGTGTCCTCCCGGCCCTCGGAGACTCTCCCTCAACTACATATGCCCGCACGCTACACCCTCCTCGCCTCGGCATCGATCCTTAGATCTGCGATCCGTCCGTCTTACTACACTTCCTCCTTCGCCGCAATGTCTGCCCGTCACGCTTCCTCCTTCCAGAAAATCAAGGTCGAGAACCCCGTCGTTGAGCTCGACGGAGATGAGATGACCCGTGTTATCTGGCAAAACATCAAGGATAAGCTCATCCACCCTTACCTCGAGCTCGACATCAAGTACTACGATCTCGGTATGGAGGCGCGTGATCAGACGAATGACCAGATTACTGTTGATGCCGCAGAGGCGATTCAGAAGTACAACGTCGGTATCAAGTGCGCGACCATCACCCCCGATGAGGCCCGTGTCAAGGAGTTTGGATTGAAGGAGATGTGGCGCTCACCCAACGGTACCATCCGTAACATCCTCAACGGTACCGTTTTCAGAGAACCCATCGTCATCCCCTCCGTTCCCCGTTACGTTCCCGGATGGCAAAAGCCCATCATCTGTGGTCGTCACGCGTTCGGTGACCAGTACCGCTGCACCGACTTTGTCGCTCCCGGCCCCGGTAAGTTCGAGATCGTCTACACCCCCAAGGAAGGCGAGAAGAAGACCATGGAGGTCTACAACTTCGAGGGTGAGGGCGGTGTTGGGTTGGCAATGTACAACACGGACGCTTCTATCCGCGGTTTCGCCAAGTCTTCCTTCGAGTACGCTTTGTCCCGCGGTATGCCCCTCTACATGGCCACAAAGAACACCATCTTGAAGAGATATGACGGCCGTTTCAAGGATATCTTCCAGGAGATCTACGAGAAAGACTTCAAGTCCAAGTTCGAGGCCGCTGGGTTGTGGTACGAGCACCGTCTTATCGACGACATGGTCGCGCAGATGATCAAGTCCGAGGGTGGTTTCGTTATTGCCTTCAAGAACTACGATGGTGACGTGCAATCCGACATTATCGCCCAAGGTTACGGTTCCCTTGGGCTCATGACTTCCGTCCTCATCGCTCCCGATGGCAAGACGATCGAGGCCGAGGCCGCACATGGCACGGTCACCCGTCACTTCCGCGAACACCAAAAGGGCCGCGCAACCTCCACCAACCCCATCGCCTCCATCTTTGCCTGGACCCGTGGTCTCGCCCACCGTGGTCGCCTCGACAACAACCAGCCCCTCGTCGACTGGGCCGAGAAGCTCGAGAAGGCGTGTGTTGACACTGTCGATAAGGATGGTATCATGACCAAGGACTTGTTTTTGATTTCTCAGCCGAAAGCGAAGAGTGGATGGGTCACTACTGATGAGTATTTGGCGGGTGTTCAGAAGAGGTTGAATGGAGAGTTGGAGGGATCTAAGCTCTAAGCGTGTGTGTGTGGAGTTTGTCGGAAAACAAGAGAGACGATAGGTCGATGGAGTTACGTTTCCGCATGGTACCGGTGTTGGGCTACGGTATAAGGCTATAGGTTTTCTATCTAAAATACAGTTTCAGTTTGAGCATTGCAATCTCGTCCTCCTCTCCTTCAAACTTCCATAAAAGCTATCGTTGACATGCCTGCGTAATCATACGCACGCGTACGTATACACGGAGAACCATCTTTGCGATGATGTCCTCGGTGCTTTCGGTCACGGCGCTCTCGGGCTTGGATGAAGACGTCGACCGAGCGTAGAATGCCTTCATATAGGTGGTCAAATCGTGAATCTGTAAATTCTATGGTAGTGGATATAGGTAGGTTGCTAGCTAGCTGTAGGACGTTCCCGCTTATTTTCGCAGCCAACCCGGAAACAAACAAATGACTTGTGTTCTCCATATCCCAAACTACGAATACTCATCCTCCCCACCAACGACCTCCCACATCAACCCCTCCTCACCAACCTCCTCCTCCCGACTCCCCATCCTCAAAATCGTGTACCCATGCTCCCCACTCCCAGCTTTATCCCGCCCGTGTTCTCTTCCATCCCATGATATTGGCGCATCCTCGCTTCCTTGGACATTCAGTGACCAGCATTGTGCGTCGCTCGCATTTGCCCATAGTAGATCGAATATATCCGTGATGATTGTGGTGGGGATCAATCCGCCCATGTAGGAGATGTGTGTTAGCGAGGTTGGTGTTGAGGATGGGTTGGGGGGAGGTGGCGCGTAGGTTGAGTAATATGGGTCGATGCGGCCAGTATCGGTGTCCCATAGCCTATCTGAGCCAAGCTGGGCAAGTGCAATCCATTCGTGTAAATCCAACGCCCATTCTTTCCAGTAATCATCGCCTAGTGTACATCCTTCTGGCGGAGTGAATGAGGGCACTGCCAATGCTTGTGATGGGTTTCGGACGTTAGGTGCTACCATCATTGACGCAGCACCGGGACAGAGGTGTGTAGTGAGCACCAATATCAACTCTGGCGTAGCTTTCGCCACGGCGAACGTGAACTGTACGGGTGCGGAGAGCAACGTCTCCGTGAATGACCACCGCAACCTCTCAAACTCCTTCTTCCCAGCCACCATACCCGACGCTTTCAGATCAACAGTAACATCTGTGCACCATCATTAGTCAAACTAACCAAATCATTGGGGGATACAGGACACGTACTCCACCGTCTCTTCTTCCCAAATTTCGATACATGCCCCTCCAACCCTGCTTTCTCATATGTCTCCTTTGTAAGCGCCATCCGTAGTACGCCATCTGCAATGCAAAAGGTATCTTGGGAGTCGATTTGGGTGTCGCTGAGCGCCAACAAGAAACCTGCACGCACACAATCCATTAGCACTCAATCATCCACGGTAATGAGAGGTGCAGTGTACCATTCTTGATCAACCCATCCAAAACAGCACCCTCCAAAAACCTCCCCAACGGCACCTCCGCAGACCAAAACTCCATCCTCGGCAACTGATCCCGTACACATTCATACAGCTCGGTGGGCAAGACAAGGTCAAGTGATGCATTGAAGGGATGAGTGTTGATAATGCGCTGTGGGCGGGATGGACCAGTTGGGGAAGGTGTGAGCATTGTTTTGGTGATGTAGCATCGTGATTGAGATGTTTTGTGTGGTGGGAAGTGGATCATTGGAGGTGGTGGGTGGGGGTGTGTTATGGGTTGCCGAACGTGGATACGGAATTGTTCTGGAGGGTGTAACGACGACATGTGGCACGTGACGTCCAGAAATGGAAATATACCATATGGAACGAATGATCTGTGAATATTCCTTCGTGAAGCTTTCGTAAGACTTCAGAAGATTCTCTTATCCTCGGCGTGCTTACGGAGCATGTTTTACATATGCTCTGACCGGGAGACCATTCCGCATGTCCGGAGGGATCCGGACGGACATGGGGCATCATGGGGAAGTCGGGAGATCGGCAACGCCAATAATGGCAGTAGCTGAGGCTGTCAATGCCGGATGGCGTATTCTTACCGGGATCATTATGAGGATACGTAGGCGATGAGGTTGTCCGAGGAAGGTTGTGTGATCCGTTGTCTTTACACCGGCGGGGTCAGAGGGTGGGAATCCGTTGTTTTTGGAAAGAGGGGAACCGAATAAGGAAAGAAGGTAGTTAGCAGAAGACCGATCATACCATTGAACATAACTATTTCCGCTCTGCCAGAGAGTCGGGGTATAACACGATTTGTATCAAAAATTGCAGCACACCGGGTATATATCATTCCTCATGCACATCCCCCATGGCCATCACCCATCCATCCCCACTTAATAGTACTTTGCGTAGTTCTTCAACACAAACTTGTTGAACCACTGGTACAAAGTCTCAGGCGCATCCTCAGGAGCCAAGTGTCCAGCGTCGTCGAACTTCGTGTATGTCAACCCACGCTCACGCCTAAAGACACCACCACCGAAAGGCAACTTCGTGTTAGGCTTCTTCTGGAAACCCTGCTTGCCACCCCATGTAGTGTTCTGCAAAACCATCTCGGTACCGAGGTGGTTAATCGCGAAATCGAGCTTGCCGCTATAGATGTGGACCTCCATCTCCTGAGAAAGACGAGGAATGATCTCGTAAGCAGTAGGAGTGAAAAGACCGGGGTCGATGATGTTCTGGATGGTGTCGTTGCACTGCTGGAAGGCAGGGGCGGACTCGATGTGGAGAGCGGCACGGACATCGTCACGGAGGAGGTACTCGGTGTAACCAGAGTTATCGACGGTGTTGTTGCAGTCGTGGTCAATGTTGTAGACATCGAAACAGCGGGTAGAGTACGGCTGCTGGAAGATTCCACCGAGAGCGACAGAGTAAAGATCACACTCAGCACCGTCCATACCCCACCAGTAAGGAGCGAATTTGGCAAAGTACTCCGCGTCGGTGTAGGTAGCGCGCTTAGCGAGGTCACCCTCGAACTCGAGGTCACGCTTCTTGTAAGCCGTGTCGGGAGGGGACATGAAACCATTGATAGGACCAGACGGAGGGTAAGTGACCTGAGCCAAGACACTGTCGAAGCCACAGTACGAGGACTGGTTGTTCATAACATCAAGAACGACTTGGTCAACCTTAAGGGTGTCGTTCTGCTCGTTCATGTACGCAGCAACCGGAATGATCTGGTTAGCGGCGTAGTTTCCAATAAGACCGTCACCAACGGAAATGGCCTTCATCTTGATGGGCAAAGTCTTGAGGTTGGACTGGATCTTGTCCGCGATGTAGGGGACGTAGACACCAGCGTAGGACTCGCCCATGATGGTAACGTCCTTCTTCAACAGCTCAGGGAACATCGTGAAGAACTGCTCGAACCAACCATAGAGACGAGCGGTGATGGCATCATTATCCAACAAATCCTCCTCAGTCGAGTCAGGACCGAAAGAGAAACCGGTACCGAGGGGCTGGTCAATGTAAACCATGGACGCAGCGTTGGTCCACGCGAGGGAACGAGCGGAGGGGACAACAGCACCATCACCGAACTCCAGAGGACCGTTCTCCTCGAAGAGACCGACGAGGGAGGAACATCCCGGACCACCATTCAACCAGAAAACGAGGTCGTCGGAGTCGTTCTGGAAGTACCAAAAGAAGATGTTGTCATCGCCGTTTTTCTCAGTGGGCAATAAACCGGCGTAGGAGGTGGGGAGGGAGAAGGAGACGTCGGGGAGGGAGGAGACGAGGTAGTCTTTCTTGTTGTAGGTGGAGCTGCCGACGGAAGCGATGGCGGAAGCGCCAGAAACAGTCGCGGAGGCACTGGCGGCGACGGAAGCGGTCTTGGTCTTGCAAGCAGCGATCTTGCTCCTGACAAAGCTCTTCGCAGCAGCGATATCCGAAGTAGCAGCATTCTTAAGAACCTTAACCTCACTCACGATCTCAGCCAACAAATTAGCCTTAGCAGTAGTAGATGCGAAAGCATGCGACGTCGTGGTAGAGGTAGTCTTGACCGAGGTAGTGGTGGTGGTACCCTTATGCTGAGCCGGAATGGCAGACACCACGTTCGCCGAGGCAGCGGTCAAGAGAAGTGCAACATATCCGAGGTTAACCATTGTCGATCAGGGGAGGGGGGCGCGAGATGACAGAGATGGGGGAAAACGCTCGAAAGCGGCAGAGCGCACACGCCTTTATATATCCTATATCACCCACGCACCAGAGGCGTGAACTGACTTCCAAAGAGCAAGCAAAGGAAGCTCATGGCGCGCCCCGGTTGGAACACAAACCACATTCCCATTCGCTTACGATCCCGACAATGTCTGGTCTTCCTCTTCCTTAGGGTGCTAAGCTTTCCCTTTCAATTTCGGTGGTGGTGGAGAACAATACGTATGCGCGTGTGAATGGCGAAGGTATTGTTCTCGCACCGCGCGTGTGCGAAAAATTTGGTCCGGAGATGAAGAAGCGAAGAGGGTCGCATCAGGTGATTGTTTGTGAATAGAGATGAAGTTCTTTGTGGTGAATAGAGCGTAGGTTGCCGCATGCGGATGCAACGGAAAGAACGATGATGCCGGGTGGAGGCGGGAAGAAGCCGGATCGAGAGATATTGTCCGTGCACGAGACAGTAGATACGATGGCGGCTCAGATGGTGTGACAGAAACCTTGTCCTGTGAACTGTTTTCCCGACCCGCAAACCACAAGTCCCTGCACGCCCCGTACCACCCCATGTCTGAACACCACTTGCGCATCTTTCTGCAATCGCTACTCCCATGGTCACCTCACCTCACATCACCAACCTCCACACCCCACCCAGAATCAACCCACCCCCAAACGCATAAACCCCAAACCTCCTCATAACAAACGGCATCCGCCCACTGGGCCCCATTCCCCACTCATGTACCTTGTCGGCCGGATATTGTTTGTTCAGTTCTTTCATGCCGCTGTGGATGATGTAACCGCCGAGACCTGTGAAAGCGCCGAAACCTGTGAGACGGCAGGGGAGGCAGTCGGTGGGGTCTTCGTCGAAGGAAGAGGAAGAGGAGCGCGAGTCGAGGGCGGGAGAGCCGGTGGAGGAGTTGGAGCGGAAGGCGGAGAGGTTGAAGTTTGACATGGCCTTTGAGTACTTGTTTGATGCGTGTGAGTGGTCCGGACTGGAGATTGATCGAGGAATTCAAAAGGTGGGGTCGCGATGTAACGATGACATTTGTTAAATAATTAACTTAAGAATCAATAAATTCTCCATCAATCTCGCCCGCCTCCCGCAGAAGCGCGCCCGCGCACAAAACTCCTCGAGCCTCACCCAACACCGCTCAGTCTCGACCGAGAAGGCACCGCTAAAGTTCGGAAGGCGATCATGCCCTGCATCCGAGATATTTCTTACGGTTAATCTAGATGGCCGTTTGCCGGGCGGGCGTTGTCACTCGGCTGTTGCGATCGTGCCGGGGCCGAATTCGAACGGCGTACGCGTTGCGTTTTCCGATCCCTATAAAGCAGGAAGCCTGACGACCTACAAGGTAGACCAGTACTTACACGACCACATTATAACAAATGTCCACTACCGACTACAAATTCGAGGGATGGGTCGGACACGACAAAGACTCCGTCGGTAACCTCAAATTCGGTACCTTCGAGCCCAAGACCTGGACCGAGGACGACGTCGACATCAAAATCGAGTTCTGCGGTATCTGCTCCTCCGACCTCCACACCCTCCGCTCCGGCTGGGGTCCCACCGACTACCCTCAAGTCGTCGGCCACGAAATCGCCGGAAAAGCCGTCCGTGTCGGCTCCAACGTCAAAGGCATCAAACTCGGTGACCGTATCGGCGTCGGCGCACAATCCGGTTCGTGTCTCGCCTGCGAGGACTGCAATAAGCAAAAAGAATCATACTGTGCCAATCCTCCTGGTATGATCCCAACCTATGGCGGGAAATACGCGGATGGATCGAAGAGTACGGGGGGTTATGCCAACTACGCTCGTGTTCCCTCGCATTTCTGTATTCCTATTCCCGAGGGGATCCCCTCTGAAATCGCGGCACCCATGATGTGCGGCGGCGTCACCGTCTACTCCCCCCTCAAGCAAAACAACGTCGGTCCCGGTATGAACGTCGGAATCGTCGGTATCGGCGGTCTCGGACACTTTGGACTCCTCTTTGCCAAGGCACTCGGGGCGCGCGTTACTGCTATCTCGCGCTCTCGTTCCAAAGAAGCCGATGCACGCGAACTCGGCGCTGACGATTTCATCGCTACATCCGAAGAAGGCTGGGTCCAGAAGTATGCGCGTCACTTCGACCTCATTGTTTGTACCGCAAACAACGCCGACATGCCCCTCGCCGAATACTGTACCACCCTCAAAGTCGGACACGGCAAGTTCGTCATGGTCGGTGCGCCCGAGGAAGCGATCACGTTCAGCGTCTTCCCGTTGTTGATGGCGAATGTCTCGATTGGTGGATCGTTGATTGGATCTCCGTCGGAGATTAGGGAGATGTTGGAGTTGGCTGTTAAGGCGAATGTTAGGTCTTGGATTGAGGTTAGGGATTTGAAGGATGTTAACCAGGCGTTGATTGATATGGAGGATGGCAAGCCCCGCTTCCGTTATGTTCTCAAGTGCGACTAGACAAGGATATATGATGCTAGATATATATGGGTGGATTGATGGATCATGGCTGGTACGATAGAATCTACACACTCTACTTTACAATCCTCTCGTTGAACGATGAAACTGAAACAGAACCCAGAACAACATTTCACTAGACAACCATCCCTCAACTCTCGCACCCCGCAAACACCACCATCATCTACGAAAAATCATCCCAATCCCCCTCGTCACCAACGCGATCAACCCAACTTTCTTGTCAATCACGAATAGTAGGATTGTTGGATTCTCCAAAACAGGAATCTGTACTGGCTTTATACCTATCTCAACACTACGAGACGATCTTAGGGTTTCGGGACCCGTGGGAACGCCGGATGGACAGCTTACAAGTCAAGTGAGGCTACAGAGATAAGCATAGAGATCGATGTTCTCCTTCGGACTACGTATACCATCACACAACATCAATCTCCTGTATTCCTCCACCTGGCCAACGTGCTATTGCCACCCCACGTTTACCCACCATACCCAACAACCTCCGGTTCAGTAACACTCATCCCAACATCCTTCCCCATATCAGGATCCTCCGCGCTTGCTTTACTCCCCCCCCCGTTACGTCCTCCGCCGCAGCGAGTGTTTCCTCGACAGTGGATTTGAGTTTAGTTTCGGGGTCGGGATCGGTGGGGTCTGTTGGCCTCAGTTAGTCGTGCAAACCAATGACCAGCGCGAAGTTGAGGCGAACCTTGAGCGCTAGAGATGTGGCCTTGGACAGCTTTATTGGATTCTTGGGCGCTCATTGTTGTGGACGTACTGCTTGCACGTTGCAGCTTGAACATACGTCGAGCTGGTAGCGGAATGGGTAACTGAGGCTTTGATGATTGACGGAAAGCTTGATGACGTTTCTTATCTGACGATTCCGCTACAGATCATTTAGATTGTACGGTCAACCAGCAGCTGTGTGAGGCATGGGATGGGGTACAGCGGCGCCTAAAACACGGCCCGTTGTCCGGCGTTGGTGGTGCGTAGGAACTGGATGTCACAACCTTAACCTAACTCCATTCCTCTTTGTTTGAACGGCCGCGGTATGAATGGACGAGTCCGATGCACGAATACTCGTGTATCACGGGTACCCTACTTCACAGCTTCCCCTTCCCCTCCCCACCCCCGCTCTCCACCAAAATCCTCTCCAACCCTCTCCGAACTCCCTCCTCCATCCCCTTAACCTTAACATGCCCAACCCTCCTCACAAAAACATGGGTCGCAAAGCACACCGCACACGCCAACCCCTCCTTCCCCTCCTCCCTCCCATGCGCCTTATCTTCCTCAGAGGGTGCCGGGGAGTCTTGCCACACAGCAATTTGGTACTCGACGGAGGTTGCGCCGATGTGGGAGACGGTTAGGCCGAGGGTTAGGGAGCCGGGGAAGGTTATTGGGCTGAAGAAGCGGACGGTTGAGGCGATCATTAGACCTACGAGGTCGGATTGTTCGGGGTTCATGTTGCAATGATTCACTGTGTACTCCGTTTGTGTGTTAGCTTGTCCTTGGATGGAAGGAAGGGGAAGGGAGACGAACCGAGATACTCATTGGCGATTGTATCAAAGTAATGGTGATAAATCGAGTTATTGACGTGTGCGTATCGATCAACGTCTGACCAGCGGACATTATGGGTGAGGAAGTATTTGTAGTTGGACTTCAGTCTTGCTGAGGGAGGGATGGTTGTTGGTGCCATTGCTTGCTGCTACGATGATTGACCGTATGTGATCGAGGAGAGGAGGGAGAGGGTGGCCTGTTGTACGAGGCTGCGGCTGCGCACTTCCCCGCACATTGACGTGTAACGTGGATAACCCGGGATACCCGATTGAGACTGTCCGGGTTTACATACAGGAATGTAGTATACGAGTTACGAGAGTACTGAATCATAAATCCGAGCTGAAAGAATCATGGGTAGCGAGCGGGTCGTCGTGTCGATAGTTGTCGCATCCATCCCCACACGTTCCGAATCACCAAAAACATGATTGAACAGGAACAATTCCAAAACAGAGAGACGCAACAGAAAACTGAGATTTCTCAATCCTACCACCGCCCAATTCCCGCAAAAATGTCAAGATTCGATTCCAAAACTCCGCGGACGGCTTGATCGGCTCAACCTCGAGTCTCCATGCCACTGCCACCTCAACCCAATATTTTCCAACTCATCCAATCATGCAAGTCGTTTATGAAACAACTTACACAACGGTACCAGAGTTAGAGGCAATACGAGGCCAAAGGTCAGCGCACTCCTTAGCAACAGGGCCAGTGATAGCAGAACCCTTCATCTCACCCTTAGGGTTAACAATAACACCAGCATTGTCCTCAAAGTACAAGAAAACACCATCGGGCCTCCTCCAGGGCTTACGCTGACGAACGACGACAGCGGGCATGATCTTCTTCCTCAACTCGGGCTTTCCCTTCTTGACGGTGGCCATGATCATGTCACCGGGGGCGGCGGCGGGGAGACGGTTAAGACGGGCGCCGGTACCGAAGACGGAGACGACGTAAAGGTTCTTGGCGCCAGAGTTGTCGGCGCAGTTCATGACGGCTCCGGTGGGGAGACCGAGGGTCATGCGGAATTTGTTACCGGCAGCACCACCACGTCCTGTTCATTTGTTAGTGACTGTCAACTGACAGATAGAAAGAGAAAGAGAGGTCTGTCAGTCGTCGTTCGAAGCGGAGCATCCACCACTCCCAATTCCCTCGCCATCCCAGCACCAGATTTTTCTCCTCGTCTCTCCACTCCCTCCACAACCTCACACGACGAGACGAACCGACAGCATCTCTCCTCCTCTCAACTCGAGAGTAACGTACCGCGCTTAGACATTTTTGCTGATTATGGGGGTTGAAAAGGGAAGGGTGGTTGTTGGGCGTAATCCAAAGAACGCTGGAACCCGGCCTCGAAATTCGCGGGCTAAGGTCCAGCGTTGGTGAGGCTCGTTGGTGTGGCGGTGCGCCTGTTCACGGTGGGAGAGTAGGGTTTGCGCGCGGTTGACCTACGAGAGAAAAATATAGCGACTGATCTGATCATGAACTGATCTGTTCGTTCAGCTGATTCTATTGCGATCCTATTCAGGCTGCATAAGTCCTTTACATTCTCTGTGCACTGCTTGACTGAGGAGCTCTGCCAGGACAGCCCGTGGAATGCCAATGAAGACCACTTCGTACACCACCCAGAAGTAAAACAGAAACAACGTAGGTATATTCACAATGAACAAAACAATGTACATAAATGTACAGAACAAATAATATCACAGATACACACTGTGCCGCGCGACAAGAATATCGATACGGTCGCCTCTGTTGGCATGTGCCTCGGAGCCATCTCCCGGACGAGCCCAAACTCACAAACCAACAGAGACTTTCCGCCGCGGACACCGTTTCTCACTCGCATACTCACATAAACCACATAACACCCCTCAACTTCTCTTCAACCTGCGGCAACTCCGGTACCCTCGCATCCTCCCTCTCACCGTGCCCACTAACCTCCGTGGCCGTCTCACTCCCCAATCCCAACAACAAATCCGCGTTCAGATGCGCTTTGACCCTATTACCTACAATATGCGCATAGTACGTTACCGGCACCAAACTAACACTTGTCGTAGAGCGTGCGTAGACATAACACAAGTCATGAACCAATTTCTGGAAATCGGCGGCGCGGAAGTTGTTTTCGTCGTGGATGACGTGCTAGTGGGCGGGACGGGCAGTGCCTTGGAGGGCTTTATGGGCCACAAGGTAGAAATCGAATTCGGAGGGGTGGGTGACGCCGTTGTCGACGCAGGTTCCGGGGATGACATTCCCGTGCTGATCACCGCCCTGCGGAGTCGCCGGCTGGAACCGAGTGTTATGGCGCTTCTGCGCAATCACCACCGTAATCTTGGGCGAATACCCATGCTCCAGGATTTCACACGCTTGCTTGATCGCGGCGAGCTCGATATCGAGACATTGCCTGAACTGCCCCTCACTCACACCATCCCTGAAATAGATAATCCTGGTCGGTTTTTTGTGCGTACCTTTGTAGAACGAACGAAGGAGTTGCATCGTCATCTCCTGCATATCCGCAATCATCTCCAACCTCCCCTCTTGGGCACGAGCAACAGCAGCGTACTTCGTTCCCTCAACATTCGTCGAACCAACCAAACTCGCCAACGATACCCCGCCACTCCCGGGAGGCGGATGCGAAACATCCGCACCGAGCAAAAGCGTCGTCTCCTTCGCCGATTGCAACACATTCTTCGGATCAGGACTCAAGACAACATTGACCCCTCCCAACTTGACATTAATCTTCATGAGAAGATTAGCGCAGTATTGGTCAGACGGGCGCTGCACGTGTTTCATAACAACCACCTGACTCGCAACCCCAAACTTCAAATCACAGACATGCTTGATAGCGAGATACACCTCCTGCCCAGGACTCGGTACCACAAAAATCAACAAAGTCGGTTTGCTGTTGACCGCGTTCCCCGTCGCGCGCCACAACCTCTCCACATCGCGTTCGACATCGCCCATGTCAGCGTGCATCACAGGCGGCTGCTGTGTCTGTATTCCCATCCCCAAATTCCTGGCCGTGGTTTGTAAGCACTTTAACCAATTCATTCCAACTGCAGCTGGCAAAACCCTGGGACTCTCCATGATCAACATCCCCATTCCAATGATAGGCTTCGGTTCGATGAGTTTCTTATCCCTCAAATTCCATTGTCCACCCCTCGGGACGACTTCATTCCCTTTACCTCTTCCATAGACGATTTTCGGCGGGGGGAGGAGACGGGCGTCACATGTTACCATGGTCTTGGAGACCGTCATACCGTAGTGCTTGAGGTACATGTCACCACTCCAATCCAACCTCTCCACATTGCGTCGAATAGCGCCAAATCGCTCGTTGGGACGTGTACACGCGATCTTGATCATCGCCTGCAACTGACGGGGGCTGAGTTGTCCCTTGAATTTCTGCCCGGGGAAGATGAACGCGAGTTCGAGGGGGAGGTGTGCTCCGCTCATCGTCTCTGCGACGAATGCGGTGGGGTGTTGGAGGCGGACGTTGTAGGTCTCCAACATATACTTCGTGACACTTACTTTAACCGTTGATCCGTCGCGGCCGGATTGATCGAAGATGAGCTTGGTCGCGTCACGTTCGACGACCCTCTTCAACATCTGTCCTTGTTCCTCCTTTGACGGACCACGGTGTTTGACGTACACCACCAACCCCCTCACAAACCTATTAAGGATCTTCATTGCTCTCTTCAACGCGACCCCCTTCATCGTACCAGGGGAAACGTCTTCAGTGCGGCGCGCATTGAGCACCAACTTGGCATACTCCAACACATTCAAATGTCCCTCCAAGAATGCAGTCATAACCGCATCAACATTCAACCCCATCCTCCCAAACGCCGGTCTCGCACTCTGGAAAATCCCACTCAAGACCTCGAGACCATCACCCAACTTCATGCCTCCCTCCAACGTGAAGAAGGATGAACGAATTGGGATGAGCCCGGAGGAAGGAGTTTGGCGGATAAGATGTGAGAGGAAGGTGATTGCTTCGGTGATGGCGGTATCCTTCGAATGTTTGTGATGGAGAAAAAGGGAGAGGGGTTCCATCTCGATGGTCGTCGCGAACTTTAAGGTGACGCGGAAGATGTCGCGGCGGTCTCCCTTAGGAGCCGCGGAAGTTGGAGCAAGAGCCGGAGTGGGGGCGGGGGCGGGGGCAGGGGTAGAGGAAGCAGCAGCAGCGCTCCCTCCACGGGCACCACCACGTCCTCCGCGACCACCACGTCCACCCTTTCCACCGCGCTCAGCCGTACCTCCCTCCGCAGCAACAGGAGCAGCCGGAGCAGCAGAAATTTTAGCCGGAGCAGGTCCTCCAACACTCAAATCAACCTCAAACACAACCCCACCCGCCCCCTCAAACGGCACCTCCCCACTCAAACTCCACGCAATCTTATCCCCATTGTAAACCACCGGCGCACCGCCCATCGCATCCCACGTCATCTTATTCCTCCAGACTTTCCACTTGACAGCTTGTGAGACTCGTGCGGTTTTGTTGTGGGCGGGAACGATGTCAACGTCCCATTGGATGATACGGCCTTGAGGGAGTTGCGTAACGGGATAGTGGTTTGCGTTGACGCGGGAAGGGGTGCCGTAGGATGTGTTAAAACCTGTGCTCAAAAGCGATCAATTGAAAACTTCGAAAACTTCAGAGGTGGGGACGTGTAACATACCCGGACGACGGACGAGATCCGTTAAAGCGATTGGCGGTGCGGAAGCAGCGGCCATGGTTGTTGGTTGTATCACTGCGAATTCAATCAAGAGACTTAACTGGATGATGGATTGAAGGAGGAGACGGTATATAGGATTGGTAACAACCGGTGTTGGGGGTGACTTGACAAAGGCTGGAGGTTGGGTTCGCGCGTCAGCCCCAACCCAGCTGCTCATCGGTCGACCGCACCCCGCGAAAATACCATTTCAACCAACAACCACTGCAATGTCTGACGAAATCGCCCACTTGAGACAAAAGGTCGCTGACCTCGTCGCCCGTATCGAGGAGCTCGAGCATGCCGCCGGAAAGAAGGTCTCCCAGGCCTTGACCCCCGCCGAGCAGCTTCGCATGATTTTGATCGGTCCTCCGGGAGCTGGTGCGCACATCTTACAGTTCGTCGACGAAGTCAATTGATTCGCTAATGCTGGAATATAGGTAAGGGAACCCAGGCCCCTGCTATCAAGGACAAGTTCAACGTCTGTCACTTGGCTACCGGTGACATGCTCCGCGCCCAAGTCACCCAGAAGACTCCCCTCGGTGTCGAGGCCAAGAAGATCATGGACGCCGGAGGCCTCGTCTCCGACGACATCATGGTCGGCATGATCAAGTCCGAGCTCACCTCCAACCCCGAATGCAAGCTCGGCTTCATCCTCGACGGTTTCCCCCGTACTGTCCCCCAGGCCCACAAGTTGGACGCCATGCTCGAGGAGAGGAAGGAGAAGTTGGATCACGCGATCGAGTTGCAGATCGATGACGCCCTCCTCGTTTCGCGTATCACTGGTCGTTTGATCCACCCCGCTTCCGGTCGTTCCTACCACAAGGAGTTCAACCCACCAAAGGTGGCCATGACTGACGACATTACCGGCGAGCCGCTCATCCAGCGTTCCGACGATAACGCCGAGACCCTCCGCAAGCGTTTGTCTACTTACCACGCTCAAACTGCTCCTGTTGTCGACTACTACCGCGCCAAGGGTATCTGGTCTGGCATTGACGCTTCTCAGTCTCCTAAGATCGTTTGGGCCTCTTTGTCTGCCATCTTTGCTAAGAAGGAGGTTGTGACTGGTGTTAAGGGTGCGATCAACAAGGCTGTTGCTTTCGAGCACAAGATTGAGGAGGCTGTTGGTTTGAGGAAGTAAGTGTAGGATATGAAAATATGTAGATGGATGTACGATGTAAAAATATGATGTGATTCGGACCGCTGCTCGCATTTGACCGTCCGGCACCATTTGTGACAGCGATCATCCAAAGGGCCGCGCAGCTAGGTATCTTTCTCTTCGAACCTTTCGCTGCGGATATCGATAGTCATGGATTAACTGAAATACAGGTACAACATAAGTCTGCTTAATCATCCCACATCAAGCCTCAAACAACATGTGATTTTTCACCTTCTCAGCGCTTCTTCCCGCGGCTAGAAGCGCTAGCCTTACCTCCCTTCCTCCCGGCCTCACGCTGGGCCTCCTTGGCGGGTGCAGACTTGGCGTTCTTCCCCGTGGGGTTGTTCGACTTCCTCTTCGTTCCCTTGGGCTTCGGTTCTTCCTCTTCCTCTTCTTCTTCGTCATCGTCGTCGGCGTCAGCGACGATTTCGTCTTCTTCCTCCACATCCCCCTCGACATCATCGTCAGCCGCCCCCTGCATAACCGCCGCATCCGGCTCAAACTCCGCCTCATCATCCTCATCATCCTCATCATCTACATCCTCAGTCAAATCCACCTCCTCTTCCTTCTTCTTCGGCTCCTCCTTCGGCTTCGCAGCTTGTCCCTTTCCCTTCGTCGTACGACGACGTTTACGCTCCGGTTGGCCCTTCCCACCCTCCCCAAACTCCCCACCATAAATCTCCCACCACTCACCCATCTCCTGCGGGCTCTCCCCCGTAATATCATGAAACGCATGCGTACTAATATACCCCGTAAAACACCCCTCCACCAAATCCCAATACTCCAACAAATACTCGATCTCGGCCTCATCGAGACTCGTATCATTCTCCAATAGTTTTTTGGCTTCGGCGGGGGTGGATTGGGTGTAGGTGATTCGTTTACCCGCGTGTTCGGAGGCGGTTTTGGCGAGTTCGGTGGGGGTTTGCATTGCGGGACCGGTCATGATGATGAGTTGCCCGCGGTGTTGGTCGGATAACCCATTCGGTCCACGTCCGACAGCGATATGGGCCAACAACAGACTCAAATCCCCAAGTGCGAGCGGTGCGAAAGCTCTATTTTCGCTCACCGGCAAAGGAAGCTCCGGACTCGTTTTCGTATAGAGAAGGAGATTCTCGGCGTAGAACCCGGCACGGACGATACATGGCGAATTACCCGTCTCAGAGTCAGGGTTCATCTTCCCACGGCGCATGAGCATGTGTTCCATCTCCTTGAACTCCGTGAGTCGTGGATGTTTCTTCGGATCCGCATAATCGATACCCGCCGAAGAAAGTAAGATCGTGTTAACAACCGTCCCAGCTTCAACAGCTGCTTCGACGGTCTCCGTGAACAACTCCATCTTGTTCTCCTTCGCGGGAGGGATAATCACGACAGTATCAATATTCCCCTCCTTCATCGCTTGCACCAACCCCTCTTTATCACCAGGGACGTGTTCGACAATCTTAGCCCCAGCCTCCTCGAGATCAGAACATTTAGATGGATCGAGGGTGAGACATGTCAGACTCGTGAATTGGGCGTGGAAGTCGTCGGCGGAGTCGGGGTCTAGGAGGAGTTCGGCGAGGAGGTGGCCGGTTTGGCCGTCGGCGGAGGTGATGAGGAGGTTGCGGGGAGATGATTTGTAGTCGTCTTCGTTGGGCATCTTTGAGCAATTGCAACCGTTCGCCGGTATAATGGGTATCTCGGTTCAATTGCAGTGGGGAAAACCAATTGAATCCATGACCCACCTTATATGCCCCTCATCCATGTCACGATATCGACCCGATCCCCAACACCCGGCCTGGCAGGAACCCATGGTCATATGTCAATGATGCCCATGTGACGTCGAGTGCACATGATCATAAGCTCGGTGCAACGCACGTCGACGTCGGTTAACTGTACTCCGGGTCCATATTGCACACCTTAATATCGACGGACCGCGACAAGGCCTGGGAGCGGTTTATGGTGAAGGGCGATCCATTCCCGAAAGGGTAAAGTTATTACATAGGTTTCGACGGTACTCGACATACTTCCCAAGAACGAAATAGGCAAGGCGTTTAGATCGGGTTTTGGTGTTTATTATTCTTTATTATAGTCCCGGTGGGTTTCTTGCTTCCGCAGTTGAGGCGGTCTTCTCTAATGCTGGTTCGCGTTGACGTCCTGCCTCGTCCTCCTGTCTCTCTCTTTCTCATCCTTCAAATAATTTGTGCCACGCATCTTCGCAGCTCCTTCGTTCGCACGCTTAGATATCCCTCTCTCCCTCCTTCTGTCCACTCAACAATGTCCAAGCCGGCGCATCCAACTTCTCCCTCCCCTTCAAGAAGTCCAACTCCAAGATGAAGATATACTCAACCGTCTTCGCACCACTCTTCTTCACCAACTCTCCTGCCGCAGCAGCAGATCCACCAGTCGCGATGATATCATCAACGACAACGACAACATCACCCTCCTTCACGCTACCCTCCTGAATCTCAAAGACGTCCTGTCCGTACTCCTTCTCATAGGTCGCCGAGATCGTAGGTCCAGGCAACTTGCCCTGCTTACGAACAGGAACGAAGCCGACACCGAGCTCGAGCGCGAGGGAGGGGCCGAAGAGGAATCCACGAGCGTCGAGGCCGATGAGGGTGGTGAGGTTGGGGTGCGCGGAACGGAGGTGTGCGGCGAGGGTGGAGATGAGGGTTTTGAAGGCCTTTGGGTCCTGGAAGATGGGGAGGATGTCTTCGAAGATAATGCCGGGGGAGGGGAAGTCGTTGAACTACATAAAGCGTTAGCGAATGCTCATGAGTTTACGAGTGCTCGACACCGAAATAGCCGATCAAGCAGAAAAAGCCGCAGATAACGGAATTGATCCGCGAGAAGGGAGAAGGAAAGGACATACCTGACGCAGCTTGGAGCGGAGGTACTCGACGTTCTGGGAGTGTTCAGCAGACATGGTTGCAATCGGTTGATGGGGATAAAGTTTTTGGTGGTGAGGTTTATCTTCGCGTAGAAATTCACTTCGGGTGCCTCGGCCGGACGTACATCCAGACGCACCGAACACAGACCGACAGCTTCTGACCGTACGTCAGAGTTTGCGAAAAGAAAAGATCAGAAGTGAGGAATCGCCATACAATGTCCGTTGCGTCTCTTCGACCCGTATGGGGGGCCTATAGAGCCCCGGGGCTCACTCAGCCTCGACGATCCTTCTTCATGAATGCACTGAAGGACCTCCCCGGGCCCGACGGCAAACCCCAAAAATTCACCGCATCAAGAGTTCTCTAGTAAGCTGCTCCTCCCCATCGCCAACCCTCTTCTCACGTAAATCTAACAACATCCAAAGCTATCCTCATCAAGACATCTACAAAATCGTCTCCGACATCGACTCCTACTCCTCCTTCCTCCCTTACTGTTTAGAATCAACCGTGACATCCCGAGACGCCTCAAACTATCCGAAAACGGCGGATCTACGAGTCGGTTTCAAAGGCATGGAAGAGAAATTCACTTCCAACGTCAAGTGTAGCGGAGGATCGCACATCCACGTACGTTACTCTCCTTCTCACCCCTCGATCCTACGCGCCCATCCATAGCGGCGGCTGGCTAACATGGTGATTGTCACAGGCAAGTGCATCCCGCCACCCCCTCTTCAAAACCTTAAACTGCGAATGGACGATAACCCCCGACAAGTTTACACCAGACTCTGCATGCAACGTATCTGTCGCGATCGAGTTCGCGTTCACGAATCCGTTGTATGCTGCTGTTGGGGGGGCTGCGGCACCGAAGGTTGCGCCGTTGATGATTGATGCGTTTCAGAAAAGAGCGGAGGAGGTTTTGGGTCGTAGTAAGAAGTGAGTTTAGGCTGAGAAGGGGGAGGGCTGGAGGAATGAAAATGCATGAAGATCAAGAGGGTGTACGATATGAAGACGATGTCAGGACGAGGCATGCTAGATCTCCAGTAGGGTTGCAAAGACAGAACGAAAGATAGATTGAGCAAACGTGCAGGGAAGGGACGCCGCTGTGGAGTCTCAAGTTGTAGAAGGGTATATCTAGGGAAAGCTTGGTAATATCATAGCTGCTGAACTTACCAAGGCATCGTTTATATATATGCAACGAAGGTGCATCCATGATATGCCTGGTAATTAGAAAACAAGAACCCGCCTCAACTGCGGAAAGAGACAAAGCCTACCCGAGGCTGCTAATAAAGAAGAATAACATCAAAAACACAAGAAGAAAGCCCAGAACGCCATGCTTTGTCTGCATCCATTCGCCATAATAATAACCTTGCCAGACTCCATCCTCCCAACTTAACATTGCGCTGTTTACGCCAAGAGATGATCTCGGACCTTCTCAGACGTTCTCCCTGTCGCTTTCCTTCCCGTTCCCACCCCCACTCCTCAAAAACTCCGGTATCCTATACCCATCCGTCTCGACCTCACTCCCGCTCCCTACCTCATGTCGCTTCTCTCCCATCGGCCCATCACCTTCCTCGCCCGAAACGAATAAACCGGAATCGAGACTGTCGCCGGCCGTGAAGTAATCCATTTCAGGACTCGTATCTGCCTCCGTGGACTTCTCCTTCTCATGTTCAGTCTCCTCGTCGACATCCTCCACGTCAGCTTCAGCGATGTCGTTGAGTTCATCCCCACACACCACGCAATCCCAGTCATGGCGGGGCACCATGGGACCTTCAACAACATTCCGGACATCACTCCAATACTCCAATCCCCCTCTCCCAACAAACTCCTCCGCAGCCCTAACCGCCTCGCCCAACCCCCTCTCCCTCTCTCCCTCAAGCTCACTATGTCCCGTCCACCCACCCGCATCTGGATTGACACAACTGTTCCTTCTCATATGAGCGTGGAGCCTATCGTGCTCTGCAACGAGAAGTTTCAGGACCTCAGTGCGGGAGGATTGAAAGACGAAGGTAGAGAGGAGAGTAGGTATGCGGGGGGCGAGGACACTGATTTCGGTCGGAGCGTCATGCAAGAAATTCCGTAACGCGGTAATCTTCTCGCGGTCAAGCCGTGCGCGTTTGAGTGCGCGTTCGAGGGCATTCACGTCTCGGATATCTTCGTCGTCGTCATCGGCGGGACCTCCGTCGTCTGGGCCGGCAAACATACTCTGAAACCGGGATTCGCGTTCGGCGGCGGAGTAGACGGTCCAGTAATCCTCGACTGGGGCGCTGATGCGGCTGCCGTCGGATTGTTGAAGGGGATTTTGGGTTGAAATGGGGAGTTGTCGTGTTCGTTTGCGTACCCATCGTCTCCGGCGCACGAATGATTGGAACCAGATGTGCGTCCCATGCCATCTCGTACCATGAAACTGGAATGAGTACGACCACCCGTTATCGTCCACATCCTGACTCATATCCACGAACCACCTCGGCCAAGCCCACGTCCACGTCGGATCGGGTGGTTGTGCGTCAGCTACCGTCACCGGGGAATGGACATGTCGGGTCTGGACCCCGCGCCAGCGGCCGGATGCGATTGAGGCTGTTTCGTCGGCCGGTGGTTGTCGTTTTTTGAAGGGGTTGCAGAAGGGGTTGTAGGTCTTTGCGGAGCGGATGATGCGGCGTTGGACGGGTGCGAGACGGGTCCACGGTGAGGGATCGAAATTCAACAAACCCGCTGATGAGAACAACGGAATACCGCAGAAGAAACATCCGCGTTGGTTTTCGTACAGAACATCCACCTCTTCCTGTTCCTCCCCTCCAATGTCCGTACCATCAAAGGTAGCTGTTGTAGCCCGTGATCGCGGTGATAGAATCGTCCTCATCCGCGTAGAAGCATCATCCGCGATCTCCTCCTCCTGCGCAGACATAATCTCATCCTCATCCGCCGTATCATCCTCGACCCCACCCAACCACCCATGCCGTCCCGTAACATGATCCTCGACCCGCACACGATGCGGTTCCCGAATATACGGTTCCCGCTTCTTCTTCCTCCTCATCAACTTCGGCACCTTCGAAACGCGGCGATGGATGTGGACACGGTCATTGGTCTTGTGAGACGCAGCAGCCGAAGCGAGCGACGTCCGTCGCGAGTGGATATCGTCGTGAGTCGCCAGGGCTCGTAACGCCGGCGTTGCCGGGAGGAGAGGCGAGCGCTCAGTTGGATGATGTCCGAAGTCGTTCAGCTTGGCACGCTCTTTCACGGATGTATGCGCCCTGTCCAGGCAGTGAATACGTCGTCCAACTGCCCCGTTGTCGTGGATGTATGCGCTGTTTGCTCAGTGGTTGGACCCTTGGCGTAGTGTTGTCTGCTATCAGCGTCGGTGGCAGTACTGCCGCGATGCGCCACTCCGAACTCGCAAACTCGCGCCCCATAACAATACTCCAGGAGTCCACCTGTCCAACACTCAAACTTATACCCCCCCCCCCCCCCATCGTCGCTCGCTTCACTTGTTAACCAGCAAGTAGTCACTCCTTCGACATGGATATCATTCTTGATATCTGCGATACCTATGCGTTCGACTATGCCTACGCCAAGGCCTTCCCCGTCCACTTGCCGAGCAATGTGACGCTCGATGCCGCGACACGGGACCACTTTTCGACCTTGTCGTCATTGGCGCGGGATAATGCACACAGACAGTATTTCTCTCTGTTCATGATTACCTGGATCTTTGGGATCTTGACATACTTCATGTTCGCTTCCCTCTCCTACGTCTTCATCTTCGACCACGACACGCTCAAACACCCCAAATACCTCAAAAACCAAGTCTGGCTCGAGATCAAGCTCACCCTCGAATCACTCCCGCAAATGGCGATCCTTACCGCGCCCTGGTTTTTGGCAGAGGTGAGGGGGTACAGCAAGTTGTACATGGACCCGAAGGAGTATGGGTTGTGGTATATGTTTGCGCAGTTTCCGCTGTTCATTATGTTTACGGATTGTTTCATTTATCTGATTCATCGGGGGTTGCATCATCCGCTTGTGTACAAGAGGTTGCATAAACCTCATCACAAGTGGATTGTGCCTACGCCGTATGCCTCGCATGCTTTCCACCCGTTAGATGGGTATGCTCAGGTTTGTGATCATCAAATTGAAAGACTTTCGTGTGGGTGGGAGCTAACAGTTGGTTGTGACAGTCTTTGCCGTACCACATCTTCCCATTCATCTTCCCCCTCCACAAAATCTCATACATCGCCCTCTTCACCTTTATCAACATCTGGACAATTCTAATCCACGACGGCGAATTCATCGCCAACAACCCCCTCATCAACGGTGCCGCCTGCCACACCATCCACCACCTCTACTTCAACCACAATTACGGACAGTTCACGACGTTGTGGGATCGGTTGGGCGCAAGTTATCGCAAGCCTGAACAGGAGTTGTTTGAGAAGGAGAAGAAGATGAGTGTGGAGATGTGGAAGAAGGAGGTTAAGGAGATGGAGAAGGTGCAGAAGGAGGTTGAGGGGGATGCGGATGATCGCCAATACCTCTCTGAGGCTCAGGCGAAGAAGACCATCTAAACGCCCCTCCCCTCAGCACTTTAGACTGTATACGCAATTGGACCTTGGCTTGCATGACCCGAGATTGCTTATTCTTCGGAATCCGTTCGTCTTCGTAGATTATTATCGAATTGCTACGATATCCTATTCTTATTTTCCTTCGTTGTTTGCCATTGTAACATCTCCATCTTCTCCCTGCTTCGCTTCGTCCTGGGGGTCCTTCTTGGCCGCCGGCCCAGACGACTTCGTAAACATCTCCCGAAACGCCGCATTGCCCAACGGCTTCTTCACCTCCGTCTTTTGCTCCCCTCCCTGCGTACCCGCCGCCCTCGCCTTATTCGCAACCGCCACCGGAATGCCCGACCGTCCACCCACAAAGCCCAACCCAACCCTCCCTCTCCCCCTTCCCCTTGCCGCCATCGGCCTCATCACACTCTGCGGCGGTAACATCACCCTAGGCATCGTCTTCGTCGATGCCGCCATCCCCGCCTCAGCCGGCTTCTCCAACATCGGCTCCCTCATCAACTCCTCATACGTCCCAATCCTGATATGTCTCCCACTCAATTCCGCACCTTCGAGTGCCATCGTAGCTTTCCCCGCATCAGCGACAGCGTCGAATTCCACCACCGCACCACCATGTTCGGGGATGAGGTTGACTCGGCGGAGGGATCCGAATGGCTCGAAGAGTGCGCGGAGTTTGGCGTCGTTGACGGTTTGTGCGACGTTCATCACACCCAGCGTCTTTCCCCTAATCTCACTCTTTGACGGTGGGGGTGGCATATCCGCATGCGCAACCATCGCCGCCTTCTTCTCCACCGTGATTCTTTGGCCGCCCTCGCCATCACCCTCACCCTCACCCCTTTGCGCAGCCCGCCTCTCCGACCGATTAGGCGCCGCGTTGGCGACCCGTTTGCGGGGATCCGCCTCACTCTTCTCAACCTTCAATACTCTCGTCAACAACTTCTCCCCATCCGCCCCAAGTGCCTTCTCCGCCTCCTCCCTCCCCCCAAAAATCACGAATGCAGCACCCCTATGCCGTCCCGGAACCTTCGTCGGCATTAACCGCACCTGCTCCACTGTCCCATATTTGCCAAAGAATTCCTTGAGCGTGGACTCATCGGCGGCGAAATCGACGTTCGTGACGTAGATCTCCCGTCCTTCGTACATCGCCCCACTCCTCCCCACCTTCTTCCCCGGATCCGAGATCTTCACAACCAACCTCCCCTTCCCCTCCTCACCCAGTTCAGCCAACTCCTTCCCATCCAACGCCTCGACCGCAGCATGCGCCTCCCCAGGCCCACTCATCTGCAAATAACAAAACCTCCGATGCTGATTCACCGTCAAACTCGGAAACCTAACATCGACAACCTCACCGAACTGTCCAAACGTCTGCCGCATCCATTTCTCGTCTGCGAGGGGAGGGAAGTTGGTTATCCATAACGTTGTACCACACGCTTCTTTGATCTCGATACTCTTACCCTCCAATTCTCTTCCATTACGGGTTAGGGCCATGAGTACGTCCTCCTTTGCTTCGAACTCGACGAATGCGGTGCTGGAGTCGGAGGTGGAGGTAAGTTGGATGGATTTCACTGTCCCGCACTCGCGGAAGAACTGGCGGACGCGAGTGTCGGTGATGGCGGAGGGGAGGTTTTGGACGAGAATAGTGAGGTGCTCGCGGTCGCGTTGCGGTTGCGTTTCGTCGGTCTTGGCCTTTTTGGGGGCTGGTTCGGGAGCTGACGCTTTTGACGACTCTTGCTCCAGTTTACGCTTGTTGTCGATTGGAACAGCAGCCTGCGCTGCGCCGGCCGGGAGCACGGGAGCCTCCTCCACGAGCGTACCGACAGCTTCCACAGCAACAGGTGCACCAGCACTCACCTGAGCCTGAAACTGCGCATACTCCTTTGCCTTCCTCGCCGCGTCGACCTTCCGTGCCTTCCTCGCCATAACCAGACACCTCTCCAAATCTTCCACCCCTCCAGCCTCCTCTTCAAGCGTCATCCACGCCTCCAACACCCTCTCAACGTCATCCAACGGCCTCAGACACGCTCCTTTGTAAACCTCTCTTGCGTGTTGTAAGGAGCCGTGCCGGCGTTCCCAGTCAGCATATCGGAGCCAGAAGGAGGCGAGCTTAGATGATCCACGACGCGCGATGAGGGAGAATAGGTCACGGGCTTTTTCGGGTTTGTTGAGGAGGGTTATGATGGAGATTTCGAGGTAGTCGAGAGTGTGGGCGGGGTCTTTTTCTTTGAAGGAGCGGAGTGTGTCTTTTGAGGCGGCTTTGATCTCTTTGTAGACTTCGAGGCCTTCGTCGCTTGCCCAGTCTTCGCAGTCGCGCTTTATGAACCCGATCCAGGCTTGGTGAACTTTGATAGTCTCCGTCAAGCTAGACTTTAGCAATCCGGTGCTGAACGCTCTGTCCTTGATTTTCTCGATTTCCTCTTCGGGAGCATGTAGACGCTCGAGTGTCCGAATATAGTGACCCCATAGGTCTCCGCTCCATGGGCATGTACGGACGGATCTCTCCAGCAGTGGCACGAGCTCCTGTACCGAACCTTCCACTTCAATCAGGTAAAGAACGTACTCATCCCAGATCCCCGCTGAGAATGGATGTGCTGCCATTGTACGCTCATACAATGCCTTCCTCAATTCCGGGATCTCATGCTCCCTCCTCGTAAACTCGAAGTGGATATATTCCGCGAATGCCTCAGCCGAGTTCCCGGACTGCTTCAGACTCGTCTCGAACGGTTCTCGTGCATGTAGCAGCCTCCGGGTATTAGCGACGATTGTATTAGCTGCCACGAGTTCGACCTCGTAATCAGCTTCGAGGTATTTGCTGACGAAGGAGGAGTAATTGCTGAAGGTCCCTTCGAGGTCGAGGTGGGGGATAGCGAGGCGGTCAAGGTAGAGCTTCCTCACGTCAGCGACAGACATCAAGCTACTCTCCAGTTGCCCTTGTTTCCATTCAATATAACGCTTCCATATTTGCGATGATGCAGCGACATGGTATTGCGTAGCTCTAACAGCATCCTCATAGACCTTCGCAACAAGAGCATCAGAGAACAGCTCCGCCAGTTGGTTCTCCGGCGCGTTGACATAATTCCAATGTCGCTCCTGCACGAAGTCCATATACTCCTCCCACAGCTGCACCGACAAAAAGTCCTGCACAGCCCTCTCATACAACTCCAACACATGCACATTCTCCTCTTCAACTGTCATTGTAGCCTTCGCATCACTTAACCATTCCAACCATTGCTGTTCCGTCAAAGGAAAGTACGCATGCAGGCTCTCCCGTGCGCTTTTGAGCTCGTCGGCGAGTGCTGGTCCACCGCGACGGAGGAGGGAAATGTGGGTCAAATGTGATTGATAGTCGTAGGGTGAAGAAGCGAGGTGAGCGGTTAAAGACGCAATGCTTTCGATGTCAGCTTCTGTGAGCTCCGGAAGAGCCATTGGCACCTCTGACATCTCCTGATCCGCCATGTTGATCGCGTTGGCGGTTATCGATGGTCGACATTACCGTTGTCATGCGCAACACTGCCGAACCTGCACCGGGGTACGACAGTGCCTTTCCAATGCTTATACGAGACGGCTTACTTTGAGGAAAACATTATGATTTTCGGTTATATCTGGGTATCTAATTTTATGCGTCTTTCGGTCGTGCGGCAGATGAACGTCGTCTCTACACGTTCACCTTCAAGACCTCCTTCAAAAAGCCCTTCGAGAACCCCACAGCCTGCTGGAAGTTCACCTCGAAGCCATCGATACCACCATAGTATGGATCATCAACAATGCGCTTTTCCCCCTTCTCTCCGTACTCGCCAAAGAGCTTGACGACCGCAGTCCCATCTCTCGGCTTTACCCGCTGAAGATCACTCAGGTTCGATCGATCCATGCACAAGACATAGTCAAATTCTGTGAAGTCCTTCTGACGGATTTGGCGAGCGTAGTGGTTTACTGGGACACCGTGCGATTCACACGTAGAGACTGAGCGAGGATCAGGTGCTTCGCCAACGTGGTAAGCGGCAGTACCACAAGAGTCAATCCTGGAAAAGCGATCCTCAAGACCCAATTCCTTCACAGTATGTTTGAAGACAGCCTCGGACATCGGTGAACTATACTCGTTGTCAGTTGAAGCTCGAGGAGGAAGGCGGCGGTGCGAGAATGATACCGGCAAATGTTGCCCAAGCAAACAAAGAGAACGGAGATTTGATCGTTTTGAGGCATGACGGAAATGAATGAGGAGATAGGAAACTTTCCCCCGTCTTTAAGCTGGCTAGTCGCGTTGCACGTCGAGATGGCGATATCAATACCGTACGTACAGAAGCTGCAGCGATCTGCAGTAACGACGATTCCCGAATACGGTTGACATATACAAGGCATATACAGAACGTTCAAGTCTTTAAATTCAATTTTCGAAACTTGTACTGATATTGATCCAAGCGGAAATCCCGTCTCTGAACCCCGCCTGAATGTACAAATTCAAACCCTCCCACGCTCCGTCCGTGTACAGTGTACCACCGTCTTTGCAGCTCAATGAAGATTGCTGCTAAGGAATGGAGCGTGCAGTGATGCTGCCACCTTTCCAGACCTGTGCATGACGTCTATCCTCGTTAACCTGCCAATTGCGTCCCCGCGGACGAACTGCACGGTTGCTGGAATGAAGGCGTCCGAATCATGCAAACCTATCTGCAACGAATTTACCACGCGGTCATCTTTGAGGGCGAAGAAGCTGGCAACATCAACAACGGACGAAGATGTGCGCGCAAGGTTTGCTGGGAGAGAACAAGAGAATTCACGAAGTTTGGTGAAGTTAGCAAGGGTCGCCGCAAGTTCCCTGAGTTCATCGTCCTAATTACAGAACATGGGCCAATGGACACTAGACAGCAGGGAAACAATATTCATACGTTCGCTGAGGTCACAGCTAAGAATCAAAGCTCGTATGTCAAGGCCTTCGAGTGTATCATGCAATTGGACTGCAAGTTAATCAAACAGAAAGTCTCCTAGATTATCAGCCAAATTGAATCGGGGGGTCCCGTTTCCCCGCCTCGTCGTACAGGCATGGATACTGAGGTCCGTTATGTGCTGAACATGTTCGAATCTGTGAAAGTTCTGCCCCTTCAATCCATTCCAACAAGGCTCCAGGGTCGTCAATGCATAAAACAACTTTTCTCAAACATCGGTAAGAAGCTTCCATACAACAAAGGCGAAGGGTTTTCACCAATGACAGCGAAAATTTCGCGGTTCGTGATGCAACAAAGGTTCTTGCAAGCTTGTCGGATCTGTCGCAGGTGGGCAGGATTAAGGAGTGCCACGACCGAGGTGAGGATCTCCACCGGGAGGTCGGTGAAGCTTCATGATTGAGGACGATTGGTGAGGCTCATGGTATTGAAACTCGCAAAGCCGCAGGTGTAATGTTTTCATAAGGGCCAAGGTCAAATTAAAGTCTGAGGTTGTTGGCGCGGTGGACAGCACAGCTGCGTCGGCAATGTTGAGGAGAGTCGGGAAGGGCCCGGCCCGTGCGAGCGGACAGCAGCTGATACGGAGCTAGCAACAAGTTGCTATAACGGCGAGGCAAAGGTCAATATAAGACAGGCAAGGACTTGAATGACCTTAAAAGGCAGATTGGGTGAACGCTGCTTATACTCTGGAGTGAGTCGTGACACCTATGCATTACCTCCACCGCTTCTCCTCCGTGTTCCTCATTACTCCTCCGCCTTCCTCCGCTGTCATTCTCCAAGAGATGCAGAGATTCCTCTTTGAAATCACAAAGGCTATGTTCGAACTATTGCAGCTGCGAGCCCTTCATAAAAATACGAATATCGTTCCATAACAACACGTAGATCAAGACTTCCCACGATCGCCTGCAGCCTGGATACCTATTACCCGCGTTTTTCTGGGATAATGGTCATGGAGCCGCCCAAAATGACATTGGCACAAGAAACGATGTTGAATCTAGGAAATCAAAAAGTGAGACATTCATTGTGGCAGCCAGATCCCCCAAGCGATACACCTCTATGCTCTCCAGCGCACGGTATTCACTGTCGCGATTGAAGCGAACATCTGCTGCCTCAAATCCATCGTTCACTAGCTGCATCGTTTCCAGCGCATTGTTGCCGAGATAGGCTATCTCGAATCAAGGGTATAACCGAGGCGCTCTTGGTGTATCGGGATCGCACAAACATGTTCCCGCAGCCTGGTGAACTTGCGAAGGGATTGCCCAAACGCTCTTGCGTCCTGGTTCAACAGCGTGAGCATATTTCGGCTGGTATTGTACATATGTCTTACCTCCAAGGATCCCTCTTCAATACGCAACTCATGTATGTCGAGGCGTTCCACATTATTATCCCAAACGGTTGATTTGCAATCATCATTGGACCTGGAATGATAGATGCAGACACCGTTTTGCCCTCCTCTTTCCTCTCACAGCATGCAAGGCAAGAAAGAGAGTCAAATGTTTCAAATGCGGAGTCTTGATCAGCATGAACAAGTTTGCAGAATAGTCTCGATACAACCGGACATCTGAGTACTTCACATGGAGCCTTAGGACACGCAACAGCTTCGGAGTACAAGAGCAGGACGGTCGGTTTCTGCATCCTGTAAGTTTTTGAATCCCTGTACAATCTCTATGGTCGAGGTGGAAGGGTTGCCTTCGAGGAAGTCTCTGAGGTTGATGTCGCGACGCGGGGTAACCAACCTGAAAGACACAATGCCTTGAGGTTTCGCAGTTGTAACATTCGAAAATGAGGCAGAATATATCACAGTAAAGGGCAGAACTGAGGTGAACATGTGCAATGCTCTATCACAGCCGGCGCCAGAAACGGAGTTCCCATGCGTGACAGAGCGCACCCAGCCAGCGCACCGCGACAACAGTAAATACTGACCTTCGATGTTGGATTTCATCATAGAGGTTTCGTAAACTCTGTCTATGCCCCATCGGCTTATATCTATGAAGTTCCCGTCGCATACTTGATGGACATAACCCCTCGTACTTATTCCTCCTCCGCCCTCCTCTTTTCACCTTTCGGGCCGGCCACCAAGGTTACGAGGAGGGCATCCACATTCTTCTTTGCACACACTGACATGAGGGTCGTGATCCATCAGGGAGGACGTTGGAGGACCACCTGCGCACATTTGCATACTGTATCGTTTCGCTTGAACTGCCACGGATATCCCTGTTCTTCGAAATTCCATGGATCCATCTACCGATCCTCGGCACCTCAACTCCCGTCTTCCTCGAATCAAACTGGAAAAACTTTTCCTCGAGGTTTGTATTCCATTGGTACTAAATAAAACTTGTCGCAAGGGAATCAGATCAGATCACATCTCGACCAGCTGACTCACCCTTTACCCGGGCCATATGTGTAAAAATAATTTGGTCGCGGTATACAGGCGCTCGTACGGCCTACAGGTGACTTCGGTTGACTCAGTGGAAGCCAAACTGTATTATAACTGATAGACTTCGAGCAAGTACAAACGGTCGATTATGCTTTTTCCTGCTGTCCTAAGAGCCAGCGCAAACTCTATTCTACGGAATCAGCTCAGCAGACCATCACCGGCAGCCAGAAGACTGTTTAACGCGACCTCACAAGCAATGGCCGCACGTAGGATTGACGGGAATGCGATCGCACGGTGCGTCATGGAGTCATATTCATGATCTTACAATTGCTAACATGTCGGTAGGTCAATCCGTGAGCGCTTGTCCGCTGAGATCACCGAGACGCAAAAGACCATTCCTGCTTTCCACCCTTCCCTCGCAATCATCCAGGTCGGAGAGCGTCCCGACTCCTCCCAATATGTTCGCATGAAGCAAAAGGCTGCGACCGAGGCCGGCATCACTTGCAACATCTACAAATTACCCGAGACCATCACCGAGCCCGAACTCCTCAAGGAGATCGGCAAGCTCGACAACGACCCCGCTGTGCACGGTATTCTCGTCCAGCTTCCCGTCCCCAAGCACATCAACGAGCAGGCCGTTACCGAGGCTGTGTCGCTGGCGAAGGACGTTGATGGTTTCTCTACTGTGAACATTGGAGAGTTGGCGAAGAGGGGTGGACAGCCTACCCACGTTCCCTGTACCCCGGCGGGTATCATGCACCTCCTCCGCGAATCCGGCGTTGACCCCAGCGGTAAGCGTGCCGTCGTTTTGGGTCGTTCCGACATTGTCGGATCTCCCGTTTCTTACTTGTTGAAGGAGGCCGACGCTACCGTCACCGTCTGCCACTCCCGCACCCAGAACATCGAGGAGATCGTCCGCGAGGCCGACATCGTCGTCGCTGCCATTGGTAAGGCCGAGTTCGTAAAGGGATCGTGGTTGAAGCCCGGATGTACCGTTATCGACGTTGGTACCAACTTTATCCCCGACTCTACCAAGAAGTCTGGGTCCCGTCTCGTCGGTGACGTTGAGTTTTCCGCTGCCGCCGAGGTCGCCGGTGCCATCACCCCCGTCCCCGGAGGTGTCGGACCCATGACCGTCGCCATGCTCTTGCAGAACGTCGTCAACTCCGCCAAGACCCACCAGACCGCCTCTGCCAAGAAGGCCATTCGTCCCCTCCCCCTCGACCTCCAGGACCCCGTTCCCAATGACATCACCATCGCCCGTTCCCAGACTCCTAAGCTCATCTCTGAGGTCGCTGAGGAGCTCGGTATCGCCGATACTGAGTTGGAGATGTACGGTCGCTACAAGGCCAAGGTCGACCTTTCCATCTTGAAGCGTTTGGAGCACAAGAAGGATGGTCGTTACGTCGTCGTCACTGGTATCACCCCCACTCCTCTCGGTGAGGGTAAGTCCACCACCGTCATGGGTCTCGTTCAGGCCCTCGGTGCTCACCTCGGTAAGACCGCTTTCGCTACCGTCCGTCAGCCCTCCCAGGGTCCTACTTTCGGTATCAAGGGTGGTGCCGCAGGTGGAGGTTACTCTCAGGTCATTCCCATGGATGAGTTCAACTTGCACTTGACTGGTGATATCCACGCTGTCACTGCTGCTAACAACTTGTTGGCTGCTGCCATTGACACCCGTATGTTCCACGAGAACACTCAGAAGGACAAGGCTTTGTACTCTCGTCTCGTGCCTGCTAAGGGCGGTGTCCGTAAGTTCGCACCTGTCATGTTCAGGCGTCTCAAGAAGTTGGGTATTGACAAGACCAACCCTGATGACTTGACCGAGGAGGAGATCACGAAGTTCGCTCGTCTCGATATCGACCCTGAGACCATCACTTGGCAGCGCGTCCTCGATGTTAACGACCGTTTCTTGAGGAAGATCACTGTTGGTCAGGGATCTACCGAGAAGGGCTTCACCCGCCAGGCTGGATTCGATATCTCTGTCGCTTCGGAGTGTATGGCCGTCCTTGCTCTCGCTAACGACTTGAAGGACATGCGTGAGCGTTTGGGCCAGATGGTCGTCGCCTCTTCTCGTTCCGGCGAGCCCATCACTGCCGATGACATCGGTATCGGAGGTGCTTTGACCGTCTTGATGAAGGACGCTATCAAGCCTAACCTCATGCAGACCATTGAGGGTACCCCCGTCTTCGTCCACGCTGGTCCCTTCGCTAACATCGCTCACGGAAACTCCTCCGTCATCGCTGACAAGATCGCCCTTAAGTTGGCTGGTACTACCCCTAACGCCGAGGAGGCTCCTGGATACGTCGTTACCGAGGCTGGCTTCGGTGCTGATATGGGTATGGAGAAGTTCTTTGACATCAAGGTCCGTCGCTCTGGTTTGACTCCCGACGCCGTCGTCCTCGTCGCTACCGTCCGTGCGCTTAAGTCCCACGGTGGTGCCCCGGACGTCACCCCCGGACGTGCCCTTCCCGCCGAGTACTCCACCGAGAACGTCGAGATGGTCCGCAAGGGTTGCGCCAACTTGCGCAAGCACATCGAGAACGCCGGCAAGTTCGGTATGCCCGTCGTTGTTGCCATTAACCAGTTCCACACTGATACTCAGGCTGAGCTCGACGCTGTCCGTGAGGAGGCTTTGGCTGCTGGTGCCAAGGCTGCTGTTCCTACTTACCACTGGGCTAAGGGTGGTGCGGGTGCCATTGACCTCGCCGAGGCTGTCATGGAGGCTTGTGAGTCTCCTGACAAGAACTTCAAGTTCTTGTACGAGCTCGACATCCCCATCGAGCAGAAGATCGAGACTATCTGCAAGGAGATTTACAACGCCGATGGTATCGAGCTCTCTGACCTCGCTAAGAAGAAGATCGAGACCTACACTAAGCAGGGTTTCGCTAATCTGCCCATCTGTATGGCCAAGACCCAGTACTCTATCTCCCACGACCCCACCCTCAAGGGATACCCCGCCAACTACGGCAAGGTTCCTATCCGTGATATCCGCGCTTCCGTCGGTGCTGGATTCTTGTACCCCTTGGCTGCTGAGATTCAGACTATCCCTGGATTGCCCACTGCCCCGGCCTACTTGAACATCGACATCAACGAGGACGGCGAGATCGAGGGTATGTTCTAGACGTTGACGTTTTAGAACTACAAAAAGTTCGTTACATTTGTATTCTAGCGATTTCTTTGGGTTTTTTTGACTTGTTTTGCATCCTTTCAACAAATGGTGCCGGTGTTCTTTGGGTTTGATATGGGCGATTCAACAGCGCTCGAGTTATCGTTCTTTTGGTTTTGGTTTTGTGTTTCCTTTCTGCTGCACTTGCATCGTATGGGGGACTTGTCATCACAGACGCTGTTGTCGAGATATAGACGAATATCACTTTTATTACCGTATCACGTTATTTCCCACAGTATCCTGCCCCTTCGAACTCCTTGGGGATAACTCATCCATACCAGTACTCCAATATGACTTTTGTGCACTCCAACTGATAGGATACTACTGGCCATTCGAAATTTTGTCGTGATTAAACTCCTTCTCGAGGTCTTCGTCTCGAGCTCCACCAGTCCTCCATGACCACTGTCGTCCCGTCTCTTTCTCAAGTCTATCGTAAGAACAGAATCGCAGGAGATAAGAAAGGCCGAGCCATTTAACATCAGTGACGAGACAACCTCGACGATAGTTGAGAGAAGTGAAATAAACGTGGAGCCTAAGCCGAACCCGGACATGACCATGAAGAACGACACAGCGAAGCAGAAGCAAAAAGCAATATGTATTAAGTGAGATGGATCAACGACTGGTGAAGCCAATGATACTGGTGTGGGAATTAATGATGTGTGCGCCTCTTCTTCTCATAATATGCCGACCAAATTCAACTGTTCGTATCCTCGTTTTTTTTTGTGGTGTCCCTCCTCGTCCTCGTTCCTCGGGCTCCTCATGATCCATCACATGCAAGATGCAACGTTTCACAACCCAAGAATACCCCAGTTGAACAACCCCCTCGTCGGTTGCTCCTCCTCATTGACATCAACCTCTATCGCATCTCTCTCCCTCTTCCTCCTCGCATTGTCGATGATGGCATCCCTTTGCCTATCAGCTTCATTGATAGAGGCTTGCTCGTACCGCCTCAAAGTATTACTGAGGCGATTCAACTCCTTGCCCCACATCCTCACCCTCACCGAATCCCTCAAATGCCTGTGAATCATCCTCAAAAACAACATGGCACTCCAGAGATCCTCTGCGTCGATATATCCGTGCGGGTTGCGCGCCGCATTGCTGGAGTTGCGGATCGGACGGTCATCCTCGAGGCGTTTGAGTGAGGAGATGGCGGTGCCGATTTGATATATGACGGACTCAGGCGCAGGAGCTCCGTTCGGCTTGTACGCTTTCGCCCACACTTCATGGAACGCCGTCCAAAAGTTTGCAAGACCCCACTGCGTTCCACAGGCGTACAATTGAGTCGTCTGATCCGCCCTCCTCGCCGCGTTCAGATATCGAGTCAACCCAGCTCCATCCTCGTCTTGCATCAAGAACTTCGTGATCATGACATTGCCAGCAGTGATCATTTTCTTAATGAGATAATCGACGTCCCATTCCTTGAGGATGTAGACACGACCAGCGTAATCTTCAAAATGGAATGGACGTGGCTGAAAATCACCACCCTCAGTAAACTTCGCGAAGGCGAAGTCGTCATGGGTGTGAGACTGAAAACAGACATTGCAAATGCCATTGCTGGGAAGAGGGAGGGCGTCCATACTAAGAGGATGGTTGCTCGGCGGGGTAGGAGTAGGCGTCTGATTACCCGCCGGCAATTGCTGTTGCTGTTGCTGAGTTTGCTGCTGAGATTCTTGCCCACCCATCTCCACACCCCCGACAGCATCATCCCCACCAACACCAACTCCAGAACCAGAACCAGAACCAACCTGCTCACTCAACGAAACCGGAGAAGCCAAGGGTGCAAGCGATAAGGCCGGAATAGCTTGGGTTGCCAATTCATTGAGATCGACAGGAAGATCCAGGTTCGATTCAGAGTCAGCGCCCGCTGAAGCGGGAGCAGAAATCTCTGCCGCGGCCAAAATGGGGATAGGAGTAGCAGTACCCAGGAGATGGAAGTCGTGCAACCAAGGGGCATCCGCCGGAGAGTCGGGGAGGTTATGTTGAGTGATGAATTCCGGCACATTTCGCACGATAACTTGCTCGATACGCTATACAAACATCATAGTTTAACAACACGAACAAGAGAAAGAGGAGGAAGGCAAGGATAACATACCCCGGACTTGACTAGCCTCTCCTGTCCCGACAAGTGTCTCCAACCCGGTGATCCCTCCGATGCCTCGCGCAAAGCCATGTGTACAAACGCCGCCCAAAGCTTCACAGCAAATACAACACCCCTCTCCCACTTTGCCTTCAGCACGAACTGTCTCAACCTCCAAATCACATCGTCGACAGACATAGGAGGGTCAGGGCGGCGGAGTTGCCAATGGATGTACGCGTAGTGAAGGATCTCGTAATCGAGATCAACCTGCAAATCAAAGAAGTTAGCAAAATGACTTCAAAGCAAAAGGTGTAAGTGCCAGCCGCGCCCCCACCCCCCAGCACTCCTCTCACAAATCCACTCAACTCTCCCCACATGTGTCCCATTCACATACACAGAAGTTCCCAGTAAAACAAAATATCCCCAACACCTCACGCAGCGCATCACAACTCCACTCTCGTGGAACATGCACCACCCACCAGTTTCATCCCAAAGCCAATTTGTACCAGACACACAAACTCTGACACCCTTAAACATCGCAACTAGGGCTATCATTTCCCACCTCCCTTGATAAATCACCTCGGGAGAGAAAATAACCTAGTCTGCACGCTGCCGAACTGTTGCCAGGACGGGTTCGTGTAGACCGCGGCGCCCGCCCTCTCGAACGGACACGTCGGCACGACCCAAAAGGTGGAATGTGTCAGAGTTTGCCGGAACAGCCGGCACAAACCGGGAATTGTGGGAGACTGTCCTTGTCAATGGGTGATCCGGGCCGTGACCAAATCCAAGTCCGTAAACAAGGTAAGCCATAAGGTCCGACTCACAAGAATCTCGGGGGTGATGGGTGCTGCGTCCCGCGTGAAAGCCCTAAAAAAGACGGACTCCATCGTGGCACGACTGTCGCACCCATAACCCGGTTGAGATCGTGAGGATGATGGGCTTATCGGAGAGCCCGAAGTGCTACGCTCGTGTTTAGTGCCAGTCATCAACAACATAAAGAACATAGTTGTTGAAACGTGCGGAGAAATTCACACCCGCGACGTGTGAAAACCCGAGGGTGTGATTGCCAGTGTGTGCACGTGTTGAGACGTGACTCTTATTTGGTGATTTTGGGTTGGTAGGGATTTGTGTGTGTGTGGTATGGAACGTGGGGTAGTTGGTGGGTTGATCGAGGCGTACCGGGAAAGATGGAGGGTTAGCTGTGGTGGGTGCACTTACCGTTTGGTGGTTGATGATTAGTTCGAGTGTGGTCTCCTGGGTGGGAGCTGGGAAGGGAGCCGCCATTGTAGCTGTTGAAGAAGTTGGGTAGATGTGAAGAAAGAGAAGGGAGGGACGGTGGAGGGCGGCGTTCTTATAGGGAAAACTTGGCACGGCAGGCATGTGGTTTTCTTGGCGGAGTTTCTTGGCACTAGGCCGTGTTGAGGCTAGATTTGATTTGTAATGTATCATGGGTCGCATTCGTGATCAAAGGGGGCGGGGCAATTGTCACGCTGGATGAGGGGCAACCCACGGAAGGCTCGTCTCGTGTTTTCAGGGGACGCCAACACTTGCCCACAATGAGCAAAATCCCCGCCTCCTGATCCCGCTGCCTGGACCGCTCGCCTGATGTCCGAGCAATGCAAACACTGGTCAGGATTACATCACTATTAAACTATGCGGAAATTGGGCGGAGGGCCCTCGGCCGGGTGTCTGGGGGTGCACTCGTTAGCGCGTGCACGTAAGAAATTAGCTTTGAGTGATCCTTGACACCATACCCATGACTTCTGCGATACTCGTCTGATTGCTGATCTGAGCACAGTTTCAAAATCCGATCATTGAGAGGAGCATCAACATGTCTCTTCTCTCAGAGTTTGACAGTTTTTAAGAAATGTTTCCTGGACGGTCGATGGGGGTCCCAGCGGACTAAGTTGCACTAGCGCGGAACGGGCAGTGCGCCTTTGAGTGATCCGTCTCACTGGTACGGAATTTGGAAACTTTTCGCATTCTTCGGCAATATCGATATCACAAAGTGATCTACATAGATGGAAGGGATCTTGGTAGACTTTTTACCCTCGGGGACATGGCAGCGGTGTCAAGGCAACGTCGCGACGGGGTGCTGGGTACGCGGGCCCGGGAGGATCAGACCTGGGCTCAAGAGTATTGTGTCTCCAAACTCCGTGGTATGTCATTGATAATGTCCAAGTCAGTTCTTAATTTATGTCGTTTCGCAGCTGAAATTAACCTCATCTCAACCCTGGGCGACGGCGAGGGCGCAGCGCGAACCTGTTGTGCACATGTCCAGTTGCCCGCAACGATTGCGAAGGGACACCAGCAGCACTTACAGCAGACCGCCATCATGAGCATTAGAACCGCAATCGCAGCAGGAATTCCTTATCTCCAGCCGAGCTCCCTCGATCGCCCTTCTCCTGCGGTCCACCTATGTATTGTTGAGCGATATGTCCATCTCAAGCTTGAACCAACCAGAGAAGGGGAGTCTTAGGGCACGCATACTGGACAACTTGAGGCCTTCCGATTTCAGTGGCCGAAAGGAGTATATCTCAGAGGTTTGTCCACCATCCAGAGTTCGTCCTCGAACTTCCGCTCACACAGATTACAACTGTCCTAGCTGCTGATTCGGAACTCCACCAACGACGCGACCAAACGAACTGCAGCAAACCAGCTGCCTTATTGCTCGTTCTTCCTCCCGAGCTCGACTTTAGCTTTGCCGTCATCGTCTGTGTTACTTTCACATCAACCCGGGAAAATATGCACCTCGACGAACTCCGGGCTGACCTGATCAGAGGAACACTGCCACCACCTATAGCATCTATGTTCGGTCTTCGCCTCGGGGTGGATCCGGTCGTTGGCGGTGGTTGGTTTTATTATGGTACCGCGTCAAGGCATATGGCTGGATACTCGTGATGTGGAGTAGTTGAGTGTAGGCGTCTCGGACTTTGGATCGTACGGGTGCTATACAAAAAACTGATCAGAGTAGAGTTAGCTATCTCGATGGTTTGGGACTGTGCTGGAGCAATATGGTTCTATATGTATCCAATACGTACGCCAAATTTTGCACTCCTTGTCTGAACCAGGCGATCATGATTTCGCTGGGGCGCAATGACCAGGTCCCTTTACTCACGATATTTCTCACTTCATATGACTCTATATCTGTGTCGTTTCGTGAAGGTTGTTGTCACGTCCTCGCCCACGCCAATTTTGACTTTCAATCGCGATCGAGGTCGTTAACTCTAAGCAGGTACTTGGCAGTGGATGTGGGTTGCACCATCCGAGGCACTCCCGTGTCCTTTATGGGTAGCGGCACAGGGAATATCACACCTCGAGTGTATCCTAGCTGGCTTATCTGGGGTTTCAATTATGCTTAGCATCTTCTTTGGACGGTCTTTGAAAATTCCCACGCCTTCACCAGCTGGGGAGTACACACGCCCACAGCCAGGTTTGAGGTGCAATGGTAAACAGGTTTATACATTAGGTATTATCAAGGTTTTGCTCGGTACATATCCACATGTAGCAATGGCCATTTGCAATGACATTTGAAGTTTCGTGAACAAGACTTGCATGCGTGATTCATAAAGATCTTTTGGATTACTCAAAGATACCTACCCCATATACTCTCACGTCTACTTAGACCAGCTCTTTCCCTCCCCATCCCTCCTCCTGACGTCGTTTCTCTGCTTCTCATAAACCTCCTTCTTCGAATCCCTATCAACACCCTCAATTCTCCTCGCAGTCCTCGGACGCCCAGAAACACTCCTCTTCGATTCTGTCTTACCACTCGCTCCAATCGTGATGTTCACCTTTGGCGGTACGTCTCCGAAACCGAAACTCTTACCAACAGCAACGAGATCGAGCTTGTTGATATCGAAGATGGATTTGAGGGAGTATGAGGCGTAGGCTTGGAGGTAAGAACGGTATCCATCCTTGGCGGATTTGTTGAGGTAGTAGTTCTTGGAGACGAGTTTCTCGAGTTGCGATTGGACGTTTGCAATCTTGGTCTTCTCGAATGCGAATTCGTTGAGGGGGACCTTGGCAGCCTTGAGATATCTTAAGAATCCGAGTTCGGAGGGAAGGAGGAAGAGGAGGGAACGGCCCTTTGCGCCAGCGCCGACACCACGAGCGGTACGTCCGACGCGGTGAATGTAATCACGAGGATCATCCGGAGGGTCGTACTGCACAATCCAGTCAACAGCCGGGATATCCAATCCACGAGCCGCAACATCAGTACAAATCAACACACCCCTCTCCGCATTCGAGAACTCAAAGAAAGTGTTCGTACGTTTCTGCTGCTTCTGTTTTCCGTGCAAGTCGAGGACGGGGAGGTCGATGTAGTTTAAAAGTTCGGCGTGGTATTTGACGGAGTTGCAGGAGGAGAAGAAGACGATGATTTTCTTCTTGAGGTTGCGCTTGAGGAAGGAGAAGAGGAGGAGGAAACGGGATTCGGAGGGGCAGACGACGTAACCCTGTTCGAGACCGTTGGCGGTTGAGGTTTCGGATCCAGAGTCGACGTTAATGTAGAGAGGACCAGGACGCAGCGAGATTCTTGCCAAGTCCTCGACCTTGGTAGTTTGGGTAGCGGAGAAGAGCATAGACTGACGGTTCTCGTTGGGAAGAATCTTAAGCTTTTTCGAGCAAGGGAGTCTGTTTGAAACGCGGATATGCATGCTACGAAACAAGGTTTAATTACCAAGCATGCCGGAGAGTAATGAGAGTCAGACGTCCAGAAAATGTATCATGAGCCGTGAAATGTCTTGACACTTCTAGACATCAACGAATGATTATGTTAAACTCACGGACGTTCAAGGTTGGTTCGTTGAAGTTTTCTCAATGAGCGTGGGAAGAACGGGTACCGTTGAACAGTGGACAAGGGCAGCACAGCTGCCGTAGCAAAAATAACTTCATAAAAAGGTGGACCATCAAGGCCAGTTGGTATATTCCTAGTCATCCACTATCGTATCCTACCACATCCGTGACGTTTTGGTTTAGTAAGCGGAAGGTCCACTCAACAAAAACCCACCATCAACCGGAATAATAACACCATTCGTGTACAACCCAGCCTTACTCGCCAAATACAAACGCCGTCCCAACCATCTCTTTGACATCG